TCGCTATAGCCGCTATTATGGTTGTTATGGTTGCTATGGTCGTAGCAATCATTCTGCTGTAAGAGTGAACTTGTTCAAGAAACTGATGATCAAAATCATTTAAGAAAGAGTTCAGATTACTGGTGTTGTCATTTGGAGGTGAAGACGTTACAGATGGCTGACAGTTGCTTTCCAAATAAGGTTTCTAACTGCTACTTGCTTGACTAGAATTTGCTAAAATCTATTTAAGGGAAGGGTGTAGTTGACTCTCGAGCCCGATCTCATAGAAAAAGGAAGAACTAACAGCTTTGAGAGCAGTGTCGCCCGTTGGCTGAGTAAGCTTAGATGCTGAGCCATACCTTTCTTATTCTATTTTTCTGGTCCAAGCATAAATTTTAGTGTTCAAAGCCTCTTCCCAAAGATTGCAATAACTCTACGAAAAAGTTAGCTAGAGCAATAAAAAAAGTATAGAAATACTCGTAGATCTCAGGCCTTCATGATCCGTGTGATACGCTTACAAAAAAAGAAAAAGAAAAAAAAACATTTTCAAAAATAATAAAAATATCAACAGGTATACCGAAATTACAAGTATGCCAATTGTGTACTCAAAAAATATTTTTTGAAAAATAATAAAAACTGCCATTTTAAAATAAAACTATTCTTGTAGAATAAATCAAAAGAATTTTTTGGAATGATAAAAGAAGTAGGTTTTTCAATTTTTTTTTTGTTTAAAATTTAAAAAAAGCTTGTTTTTCAATTTTTCTGTTCTAAGATATAAAACGAATCTACCAGATAGTAACACTACTGTTTTATTTTAAAGAAGAGACTACTGGTTGGTAGGTTCGTTTTTATTCTAAAACAGAAAAATTGAAAAAACGAGCTCTTTTTTTAAAATTTAAAACAGAAAATCTAGAAATTTTCTACTTTTTATATTTTTTTATTACAAAAAACATTCTATTTTTACTTTAGAGTAGTAGTTTCTATTTTATCTATAGAATATTTCTTTTGAGTACACAAATGGCATACCTACCATGTCGGCATAAATGTTGGCAGACTTTTGAATACGTTTTTTTTTTTTTTTTTTTTTTTTTTTTTTTGTAGATCCATTACATTCATGAGAAGTTCCTGACATCTACGGCTCTTATCGTAATTTTTTCTCATGGCTCTGGCTTTAGTTTCTGTATATATATCACAGATTTTAGTGATCTCCTGATTTTCCATATTTTTGATCTATGTTGGTGTTGGCCATACACACCTCACTGTTGACGAGTAGCACAAGTAGTCCCAATTCGTAAGAAAGGAAACTTAACTGATTCAGTCAATTACTACCTAACTAGCCTGACTACTAGTTCCAGAAGAGAAAACGCTCAAAGCATGCATCAAAGAACTTCTCCGAGGTAAAGTATCGTTCTTAAATACTGCTCAAGGTGGCTTTAGAGAATGCAAAAGTGTTCTTGACCAAGCTCTTTGTCTTTCAGAGATTTGCAGATTGTTTCCTCATAAAAACGCTCAAGACTGCTCGCTCTGTACTTTATTGGAGTAGCATATGAACATTTATGTATTCGCTTTCATCCCAAATCACCTCTATGTAACATGCTATCACAAATAATCTACTCCTTCTAACATCCAACCAAATGTTTCTATTTCTTCTCAGGTCACAAACAAGCATCCAAACATACCATTAGATTGACGCTCTCCTCTCTAACCCTTTTCTTCCCTTGTTCTCTTAAGATATTTTTAGCTTAGTATAGTCATTCTTATGAATTGATCAAGTCCGATCAGTCAAAGGCCACATTGAACCATGTGCTCAAAAGGACCTTTTCTATAAGATCAATAAATTAATAAACTTTAACTATAAGTCTGAAGAAATCAATACCAATGTGCAACTATGCTATTTGTGCCAACAGAAAAACATTTCTAGAAAATAAACATTTTTAGGCAAAAGAGATACACTCTCACTGCAGCGTAACCGGTTGCATTTTTCTCCATTTCTGAATGCATAACTCTTCCATCACTTATGCTGTAGTGTCTTTGATTTTAAAAGAACTAAAAAAAAAAGAAAAATGTTGTTAAAAATGTTGTCAAAAAAATTAATAAATTTTGCATAAATTTTGCATAAATTTTGCATAAATTTTGCATATATTGTCAAAAAAAAGGGTCAAAAGACTAACTTTTTTTTTTTTGGTTTTTCTGTTTTCATAAATCCATTACGGTAAGGAGCAAATTAATTTTAAAAATCTAAGATGCATATTTTTTTTTACTATACTACTCATCCATGCTATTTCTTGCTATTAAATGGTGTCTGATCATGAGTAATAGGCCTTGAATGATTTCCAATCTTAAAGCTTTGTGTCTGAGGTAGATTTACTCTGATTTTGAACGTGTTGTGACTCCAAACATAATTACATGTTAGACTTGCGTCTTTATAGTCTATCAGATGCGTTGGTTGTCGATCTTGTAGATGTTTATATATATATATATGTATATATATATATATATATATATATATATCTCAATAAAATAATCCAAATGGCATGTAATGATAAGAAAGAATACTCTAATTTAGGTGTATACATGTGCTTTCATGATTGGTATTTTTATCAAAACAACATACCATTGATTTTGGCTAAGCCATGCTAATGACAATGTACCTTTTGAGCTGAATGTATCTTTTACTGTAGGAAAAGTCAGCAACCAAACTAGAGTTGTAATTATATGGCAATTTATATTTTGCATATTGAGCGACGTAGAGCCAGATACTTACTCAATATTAAATACTTGGTGAAAAGAAACTCTTTTCTACTAGCTACAATGTGCAACGTGCTTTGAATGTAGATTTAAAGGCAATGTTCAAATGGACTCGGCTTTTTCGTCTCAGTAGACCCGTTTTCTTTTTCACGAGAGATACCCATAAACGGCTTCAGCTCACATCAGTTGGATCAAATCTACGTTGGGGGGTCAACCTGACATTCTAAAAAATTTTGATGAGTTTTTCTTTTTTTTTCATCTTCAAAAGCTCTTGGAATCCTCCATAGGTCAAGAAAAAATGAATCTTACCCAACTGCCAGACCAATGATACCGTTTGATTTTTGGAATCAAAAGAGCATGTCTTTAATAATAATAAAAAAACGGACTGTTTCGATGATTTAGTTGTCGAGCAATGTCGCATCAAAGGTTGGCCTCATTGAGCTGTGTTTCGAGCATTTTTGCTCTTGACATCATATAAAACTTGTCGACAATGAATCTATTTAAAGCATCTTGTGCTATTTAGAGTGTCATAGAATATAGAAAAATAGAAAAATAGGCATTTTATAATATAAATGGGAGAGGGGGACAAATTTTTTTTTGTAGTTGGATTTTATTTACAATATTATTGATTAGTCACACATCGCAGAGAGGTGGGACGTCGAAAAACAGGAGTAAAGAAAGACGAAGTAAAGATCATACAATGGTCAGGGTTAGCAAGGAGTGGTTTTTTGTAGCTAAGGCTACCTGGTAAATTGTATCTGAAATGATACAAGAATGTTCAAAAGCAACCTGGTTGAGAATCAGGTTTCAATAGGATTTCCAGATGTTCCATTGAGCTATCGCAACTATGAATAAAAGCTTGGAGCGGTTTGTAATGACAGGGGGAAGGCTTGAAGAGTGAGGATCTTGTGGAGGGAGGAAGGAATAAAGTATACCAGAGGGTAGTAGCAGTTCAGTATTTCCAACCAAACACTCCACTTGGTAGAGCAGTGGGCTATGAAATGATCATACGATTCCGGTTGTGATTTGCACAGACGGCAGACAGGAGTAGAGACAGTACCAATCTTAAAAAGTTCGGACGCAGTGGACAGTTTCTTGTGAAGCACACGATACCACAGTGTTCTAGCCTGAGGGATCATTGGAGTCCCCCAAAGGGGGGGGCAAATGAGCATAGGGCATATCAGATGGCTATCCTGCAGATATTGAAATAAAAGGCAACTCCAATCCTTCCCGCCACAATAAAAATCGGGCTTTTGCTTAGAACTATATAAAGATGTCGTTATTTGGCTTTAGTGCAGTAGCAAAAGCTGTAAATCTTGGCTTTGTAAGTCCATTGATGTAAAATACACAGCAAAGTTGCTGCTAAAATACTGAGTAAATAGACAAAAATGCTAATAAGGTTTTTTGTTCATATCTCATCATTTTTATAGTATGGTCAGCATGCAAACACATTCACCAAAAACTAGAGCTTTTAGCACACACTTTGAGTATTTAAGCTTGTCGATAACTCCATTTTTCTTCTTGTAGCGCTAAAAAGAAGATTTCTTTAAAATGTGTTTATTGATTGAGCCGCATACACTAAGAGTAATGGTCAAAGTGAAGAGGCGGGTGCAATTAAAATGAAAGTTAATAAAATAAAACGAAATATACTAAACAAAATAACTAAGCTAAAATAAAATATATAGAAAAAAAAAGTTACAGGATCGAATGGCATTGATCCTCTTCAATGGTCTGACGTACATTGAGTCGGATGCTTGCTAATATGGCTGTGGGTACAATGAAAGGGTCTTGTCAAAGATAAATCTCATATGAGCAAGCCAAATTTGTGAAAGAGTAATTATGAGGATTCTGTATGGTTTTATTCCTTTCCATTGGCAGTACAAAAGAAGATAAAGAGTTGTCAAAACAAGCAATTTTCATGACTAGTACCCTTTGGTCAAAAGACCAAAATGATCAAATTTTACAAGTTACGAAGTATGTTTGGCATTGATATATTGATGACGGTAAACCAATTTCATAAACGTTGTAGAGCGAGCTGAATGATAATATCTCTTTCTGTAAAGTGTCGAAAATGAAGATTTATCTTCTTTGTCTCAATAGAAAAAAAAAAACTTTTAACCCACGCTTACATAGAGTTGATATTTATAGAGACTGACAATTGCTATCTGCAAACTTTGCCAAATAGCATGACACTGAAAATATCTTTATTATCTTCAAAACAGTATATATATATATATATATATATTGCAAGAACTTGGCTTTTAATTTTTCAAGCTTTATATTCTAAAAAGACACATCTTTATTGATCAAGGTGCAATCCAATGTCTAACAATCGGACTTGCACCTAGTGTTGGATGTAATACAACATACTTAAAAAAATATTCCAAGTCTTTTCTACGCTGTTCAACAAAAGATGGGGTAAATTTACCAACGACTTTTTTGGGCGGTAATTTTGGTATGCTTCTTTTTAATGTGGGATGTTGTTTAACCAATTCTTCTCTTAAATCAACAAAATCAGAATATCGCTTTCTGACTGTAATAGGTGCGCCCTATATTCATGATCAGTTTATCACACATTTAAACGCAATACTTACCTTGTCGCTTAAAATGGTACAACTATAACAGATATAACTACCATATCCAACACCTATTCGCAAAGGATGATCAACAATGGCATCTGTGGCAAATATAAAATCTTTAGCATCTTTCTGCACATTGTCGTCTTTGAAAAAATTAATATGAACAGGTGCACTGTAATTTACAGGTGTAGACTGAGACGTTCTTAGGCCTTTCAGTAAAGGAAATAAGCTTGTTTTGGGCTTTTTTTCAAGATTTGTATCTTCAGTTAACTATCGTCCTGTGTTATTATATACCGAGAATAACAAATCAACTTACAATCACAGATCGTCGACCAAAAGTGGGTCGAGAAGATTCCTTTTGTTGATTCGAGATAGGTGAAGGTGATGTCATTACATCAATTGATGCTTCTGGTTCAATTTTCAAGAGTAGTTTACTGCTTCTTTCAGGTACATTGGCTTGATCAGAAGCATCCAAAAACTCGTCGTCGTCTTCTTCTTCCTCGTCTTCTTCTTTGATGTCCGAAATGCTTTCATTTGCCTTCTTGAATGTATTTGATAGTCTCAACGGTGAGGACTGACTTGTCATTGGTTTAATATTGGTAGTTACTATCCCAAACCTGAATAAATAATAAATAGACAACTTGTAACTTACAGTGAGTAGCATGCTGTAGTTTTGTCTTTACATCGTATAAGATAATATCTGCTCGTTTACTCCATTCTTTATTGTCAACAACATGCTCGATTTCGTCAAGATTGTCTTGAAGTTGAACTAGTTGCTTGATTCCTTCACGTAGATCTTGTGCAGCAAGTTGTATAGAGGGCGTTGATTTCTTTTGTTTAGTCATAATTTCCAAATTCACCCATTCATTTTGGCAATATGCTAGCAAATCTGTTATTTCTTGTTGATAGTCTACCATGACGATAAAGAAAAAAACAAAAAGAAAATCATGTTTATTGTTATTCGTTCTTTGAAGCGGCGAAACAAGCAACTGTACGACTTGCTACGTTTTACGAATGATTGCATGACCAATGATAAAAGAAGCCTGTCAAGATACATTTAGTAAAATACATATTGCTTCAGTTAACATGAAATAGTCTCTTGTTTAAAATGACAAACATAGACAGGATGAAGAAAAGGTAAACTTGGCATAAAATAAGCTTTTAATTGCATTTTAATTATACAGCCTATCAAAAGATGTGTAACCTAAGCGCGTGTTGAGCCCAATACATGTGTATAATAGCTCCAAAGTTCACTTTTCAGGAAAGTTAATTCGCTTTGGTCAATATAATTGGCTTATTTTGCTAAGGAAAACTTGCTTCTCTTCCAAGCCAACAAAATGGTCAGAGACAGAGAGAGCGTGTGTGTGTGTAAGCGAGTTTGAGACAAAAGTACACTCTGTAAAGGTTTGACATCTAAATGAGACTTGTAGAATCTCAACTAGATAACCAAAGCATATGCGATTATTATTTCAAAGCAGTGTTGATCCTTATAAACTGACAGCCATGCATACTGAGCTTCAATTTGAATACTGTTTTTACGCTTCAAATTCAGACGATGCGAGTTTTTTTTCTGACCGAATCAAAATTAGCTTTTTGAATGAATGACAGTTTACAATTAGACATTTAACTGTAAAGGGAAATCAATTGTTAGAGAAGCAATATCAAAATGACTGATTATTGTGGTGTTTTGGGACTTTCTAAATAAAAAAATTGAATATAGAAATTATAAAAAAATAAAGAGACGTGTAGAAAGTACTTTGAGACCGTTTATAAATGTTTATAAAGGTAAAAGTTCGAGAGAGATTTTTTATATTCTAGGTTTATATATGATTTGGATTATGTCCTTAGATGTAACCTGAGATAGGACTTGATGAGCTGAAGGTTATATTAGATGGAACAAGAGTATTGACTTTTTCAATAAAATATACTTTGCGAACCATCTTTACAGTTATTTATCATTCATAGATGAAATCTGTTTACTGGTTCCTGGATTATATGACTCTATTCCGTAGGAGTGTAAATGTTGATTCAGCTATATCATTGTTTAGAATGAACTCAGTTTTATTGCTATCAAACTATAACTAGCTGGCATAATAATAATAATAATAATATATGACAAATGTTCTTGTTATGAGAAAAGATTTATTTGTGATAATATACTTTTTTTTATTTAAAGTAATTTATACCAGATCACCAACAATATTTAGATTGACTTGTCTGTTATAATGTTTTTTTAACGAGGTTCATCTAATTTAAAGAAAAATTAAGTTTTCCATCTGCTCCAACCCTTAGCAATAGGTCTGGCTCATCTTTAAACGACAGAATACGGGCAACAACTCTTGGTATGGATAGGAGGGACTGATATAATGAGTTTCAAAAAATGCTGTCAATACCCGTGTCAATGATATGGGACAGTCTGATTTTTATGAGCTTTCCTTTTTCTTTATTTTGATATACCAAATCTATCATGCATCGTACAACTATATTCCTAAAAAAACTATCTGTTTATACAAATCGAATAGAAAAAAACGAATCTGAAGGTATGCAAGTAGCTTTTCGTGCAGTAAAAGTCTAGCTGACAATATCACTCGATTTAGATGCAACATGTTTGGACTGTGGTAAAAAAGGCCACTGGTCAAAGAGATTCTACAAATGTCAATTATATACTCAAGAAACTGGCCACGAAGGTATAATCATTAAGTGTTCAATTGATATGGCCATATTGGTCACTAAACCTATCTAATAGTTGGTACCAGAAAAAGAAAGAGAAAGCAGCCCGAAATACTGAAAAAAACAAAAAGAGCAGCAAAACGTCAAAGGAATCAAGCTGAAGTTAATCCGGGGGGTAATATGCAAGAAGTGTGAACTCTCCGGCCACTCTTCTACTCATTTTACATTACGAGTAAGTCAAATACTATGCTTTAGAATCTTGGGCCAAATTACACTGTTTACGCTCGTAAATTACCTTTTCAAAATTGTGTCAAGGAAGAATATCAAAACATATTGAAGCAGAAAATAACCTCGTGTTGTAGCGCTGTAAGAGAGATAGTGTTTAGAGCCAAACTTTTTGTGAACTTGTATCTTTCGAAAACCCCAAATGAATCCGTATCTGATGATATCTTTCGGCAACATTTTTGGTATCCTGTTTGCCAACTGGTGAACAATAGAGAACCTAAAAACACCAAGCTTCTGTCACAATTTTTTTTACAAGAATGAGATAACTTTAAAGCTGGAAATCCTAATGCCACTTTTAATGAATATTTGATTGGAGGAGCTAGCCAGTGCATCGCTGAGGCCTGCAAGGAGCTGGCAACCGCCTACGAGAATGCAGTTGTAGAAAGGCTTGAAAATATATTGAGAGGATTTTTGCAACATCAAATTCAATTATGTTTGTTGTAAGAGCTAATAATCACATCCATTTACTCTAAATACTTAAATATTATGTATATAGTCCATGGCTCCGAAGGACGTCGATGATATTGTTATAAAATATGGATATCAATATGTATGCCAAGGTGAAGCGGTGTGGCCTGAACAGAAATCACTTGAAGACCCTATGGTCAAACGAAGAATTGATGAACTATGCCTGCCACTTAAAAACAAACTCAATGCTAGAGTTAGTATAAAATCATTAGCTGATAACCCTGGCTCTTTTTTTCCTCTGTTGTTTCATATACTGGCTGTCTTTGAAAGGGAACATCAATCCCATAAAGCGTTTGACGTTAGAAGACTTCCTTTACCAAGACTGTTCAATGTATTCCCTTCATCATCATGCCATTGGCGATCAGTGATAATTTCGGTCAATGCATTAGCAGCATTTCTTCCTGGTGAACCACTCCCCAGAGGGTATAATGATCAGCTGCATTTATTTTACAAGGTATTTGATTTTAAACCGCTTAGAATCAAATCGTAAGTACATAGTTGTAAAAAAATGTTTTTATATAATAGTCATTTAAAATATGTTTATTATTAGGATTGAATCTTTATTACCCACTGGAACAAATAAGAGGCTCTTTGGTAACCTGATCAGATCAGACGGTTTTTCTGTTGATTTTGTTTTTAACAAACGAACAATCACAGAAAAACGTTTAACCAAGCAAATCAATCAAGTTGATCTGATCCTGGATGGTTTTGAGCAGCATGAAGTTGACAGCCACTATTTACCAATAGCCGTAGATCCAGGAAGAAAAAGGTTTTTAACTGTTTTTGCTGGTTCAAGTGGTAATATTAACGATTTCAGACAATGTTCCATCAAGGAATATTACCACTTGACAGGCTCTACAAAATTCTCAGCAGAGCAAGAGAGGAAAAAGAAAGCATGCGGTATTAAGACGATTGAAACAAATATACCTACCAATAAGACTGCCAATGAATCACTGTATATATGCTCGAAAACATTGGTCGTATTTTCAGTTTTTACAATCAAGAAACTGCAAAAGAAACCTTTTTCTTATACCAGGGTCGTCAACGAGCACCGGAGCGAATGGTGAAAATGTTTTTAGATGGTACCAAGAAATACAACAAGAAGTCAAGAGGAAACAAACGAAAAAGAGCAAAGAACAAAGGGAAGCGGAAGAAGAAGGGGAATAAGTCCGGAAAGAAGGATAAAGGAAAGAGAAAAATGGCACCGAAAACAACAAAAACAAGGTAAAAAGTTACTTGTGCATGGCTACGATAATTTTTATAGTCATAAGTTCATGATACTTAGAGAAAGCAATTTCTTTCAGTACAAACAGAAGGTACCACTGATAGTATCTGGTAGTGGCATGTTTGGGAAGAACCATGTGAAGATAAAAACGGTCCGGACTGGTGTCACTGGTCCTCTATACAGAACGTTGAAAAGAAGAGAGAGGACTGGTGACTTACTCGTTGTGGACATTGATGAATATTTGACGTCCTAAATATGTTCCAAATGTGAAAGTAGGGTTTTGGGTGGTATTATTGGTGCCCACGGTAATAGTGTTCTCGTTTGCAAGACATGCAGAACATTATGGCAGCGTGACATCAACGCTAGTTTGAATATGATGAACATTGCTAAGTCAATTTGGAAGGGTGAAGGCCGTCCAGAACGATTCAAGAGAAATTAAAAAGAAAAGAAATAATCGCCGTAATGAACACGGTATTTCCTTTGGGAATTAAGATTGTTATAGGTAAAATCATCTAACATGCTATTGTACCTTCTCTAATAATTCTTCTCTTTCAGTTTAATTTCCATCTGGAAATTAATTTTGATTCGTCCAGAAAAAAACTAACATCGTCTGAATTCAAAGTAGAAATACTGTATTATAAGGCAACCATGCTTTTAACTCATTCAAGATTTTTGCAATCATTTCAAATTATTTGGGGGTGGATCAAATTTTCTGAAGAGCAATACAAATCTTTCAGAGAAAAAATCCTAGTGAGGTATTCCAATAACGCATACAAAAACTTCAATATAAATGATTCAATTGTAGCTTCATCCTGGCTTCATCCTGACCTTTTTTCTTAACTCAGTTCATCCTGACCTCTTTTATATCAAAATGATCGTTATTACCAGAGAACAAGCCTTATGCATATTTTGAAATGATCGCAAAAATCTTGAATGAGTTAAAAGCATTTTGATTGGCCAAAAAAATTCTTAATTTTAATGAAAAAAAAAAACTGCATAAGCTTCTTATCTAATGCTATTGGTGGTTTTTCTAAATGGTTGTCTCTAAATATTCGCTTGCTTTTGTTGATACTTCTTCCTTTTTATAGTGTGACTTGATAACTTCCAATCAGTCAAATTGACCTTGAAACTAGTGTTTATTTGTAGTACCATTGGCCACCATTATTGAGCACTTCAACTTGGTGCCACTAGCCTTCATAATAGCTGCATATCTACTGAGCATACTTGAAACAAGCGCATGAAGGTATTGAGGATCAATGTGTTCCCATTCACACTTCAGTACCTGTTCTAATTGTTGATGTCACTCTCGCGCTTGTGTATATGAAGTTTCAAGCATGACCAAATGTTTTCAATTGGGTTAAGATCAAGGCTCTGGACGGGTCAAAATTCAAAAGTCGCAATCATACTCTTTGACTCATAGAACTTGACATACGTGCACTCGTATGACATGAGGCGTTGTCTTCTTGGTAGATAAAGTCTTTTTGGGTCGTAGCTCTCTTTCGTCAGGCATATGGAGCATTTGGGCTGCCTTTTCAGTTGCTTCGAAGCTGAAACTTAGCTTCATCAAACCCAATGGCCTTATTCCACTGATTAAAGCCTCAATCAGCCTTGTCTTTAGCCCAAATAAGTCGTCTATCCTTGTACTCCTTCGTGAGGTTGAGCTTCAAGACAGCACTGTAGAAATGGAAGCCCAGATCAGCGGTGCCTGGCGGAAGGTGTTGAACGAAACGCCGACACTAGCTTTACTTGTTCTGTGAAAACGATCGCGGATCGTCTCTTGAAGATCGCGGCGAACGTTCAAACAAATCGCGTTCCAATTGCTGTCGCTGATCTGCTTGGGTCTTCCAGAAGATGTCTTGGGAAGAGCAGTACCCCGTTCATCTATTATTAACTACTCACACTGTTGATTCAGGGACACTAAATGTTCTACCCGTCTTAGCAACAAAAGTTTCTACTGCGTATTTGCCCATACTTGTAAGATTCAAAGCACTTTTGTGAGTCTATGGCAGTTAAAATGTTGTTTATTGTTCAATGTGATTAGGAGAAAAGTGAGAGGGTTTTCCAAAATATAAATAACACGTTTTTGATTCCCATTATGCGTCCCTTTTTTTTTTCTATCAAGTCTTGACGTGTTTTGCCTACTATGCGCAACTTGCTTATTGTTAGCACACTTATCAAGCTATTGCTAATACCTGCCTAGTATGTTACTATTTGTATTTATATGATTACTTAGGACACTTGTTAGTCGTTCTACTGATTTTGAAGTCCATCGTAATTGGCTAGCTATTACACATAGTTTGCCCATCAGCCAATGGTACATTGAGGCAAGTGACAATCAATCGAAATAGACATAATAACGTTGAATATAGAATACATCCGAATGGACATTAGACTATCCACCTTTCTTTGCATGGTTTGAAAAGTGTCTGAGTGTAATGGGTGCTCTTGTGGATCCAAACATGGTCAAAATTGAGAATCTCGGTTATGAAAGCACACAGACCATTTTGTTTCAACGGCTAACAGTGATTGCAAGTGAACTTGTCTTGTATTGGGCACTAGTGAGGTAAAAGACAGACATGAATTTTGATATTGATCTGTAGACAGATATGCCCGCTATTTTGGCAACAAATATGTCAATTGGATGATTGTTGGATCCTTGTTTATGCATCCAGGCCTTATTATTGTAGATCATATTCATTTCCAATACAATGGTTTACTGTATGGTATCTTGATCTTGTCTATTGTAGAAGCAAAAAGAGTAAGCACCATATTCAACCCTGGAAAGATACATATATTTATTATGCATAGAACAACTTGCTGAGATCGGGCGCTCTATTCAGTATCTTGCTTAATTTTAAGCATATCTATCTCTACATGGCACCTGCTTATTTTGTTTATCTGCTTAAAGTCTATTGTTTTGTACCCGAGACAAACAAGAAGAAAGAAGGTATACACCACACATTTTCCTTGAGAAGGCTTGTAGTGTTGGGTAGTACAGTCGTTTGTATTTTTGTAATTTCATTTGGTCCTTTTGTCTATCTTGGCCAAATACCTCAGCTTCTTGGTCGTTTGTTCCCTTTCACGCGTGGTCTTTGTCATGCTTACTGGGCACCTAACTTTTGGGCACTTTATGCTGGTCTGGATCGTGTTTTGATCATTTTTGGGAAACGGTTTGGATGGTCATTAAATCAAGAAGCCATTACTTCTATGACAAGAGGGTATGTGGGTGATACACAGTTTGCTGTCCTACCTACTGTGGAAGCTATTCATACCATGATAATCACTGTCTTGGTTCAAATGGTTTGTATTTGGATTATCAACAATCTAAGGTATTCATGACAAAGGGCATAGATTGTACTGCAAAAGTTATGGAGAAAGCCTACATTTGACAACTTCTTAGCCTCATTGACACTTTGTGGATTTGCGTCTTATTTATTTGGATGGCATGTCCATGAAAAAGCCATCATGATTGTCTTGATTCCTTATGGGTAAAGTCTCTTTTGAGGTAATTTGACTTTGCTAACTCTATGTTTAGCTTAATGGCTGCTTACAGTAAGGTGCATCTACGTGTATTTGTGATTTTGAGCGCTTCTGGTATCTTTTCTTTGTATCCTTTGCTCTTCCATGCTACAGGTAAGACCAAGTTATGTATGAACCAAGTTTCTTAGTCTCTACAATAGAAACACCTATTAAAATTGCCATGACCTTATTGTGGTTCTGTGCTGTTCTTCCTGGTCTTGCTTATAGTGTCAATACGTAAGTTAGATACACTCTCTATCCTATAGACTCATCTTTTGATAGACCATTGAAACACTTGTTGTACAATGTGGAGCAATACTATGTGATTGGCTTATTCTTTCTTCAAGCCTATACAGGATGTCTTCATGACATGATCTTTGGCTCAGACAGATTAGAATTTTTGCCACTGATGATGACAAGTTTATATTGTGCTATAGGCATAGTCTATGGTTGGGGATTATTTATGTGGCATTACTTGTCCCATTAGCCTCCTTTTATTAAAAATAACGACCTTCTAACAAATAAGACTTTTCTTTTTGAGTAAAGGAAGGACCAAATACTGGATTAGGCAGACTATACTGTTTTAATTCCAACACACCTCTTCCACCAGGTATTAACTTTAAGAGCTCTTGTCTGGATGGTATAGGATCATACGAGACCTTATAATCATCATCATCAGCATCATCAGTCTATGATCAAACAGAATACAACTTACTGTATCATTAATCATGGTATATTTTGAAAGCAATTCTGTTACTGCTTCTTCTTCTTTAGCAGCCCTTGCAGCCACAGCTGATTTTCGAATATGAGCTTTAGATAAACTTGCATGTTGAATGGAGCGTAAATCAGTTTTAGAATCTCTAGCAAATCCAACAGCTTGACCCATTTTACTTGTTGTTTATGTTCAATCATGTTTCTTCTTTTTTTTTTTTTGGTTTCTTACTTACGAATTATCATTGGCATCCATAGCCAAGTATTTCTTTGCCATTGCCTATGGTATCGTATTAGACAACATTAGAGGTTTCTTCTTTACCTTGTAGAATAAAGTACCATCTGACAAATACTTTTTCAACTCATTCGAGACATCTTGTGTACCATTAATAGAAGATATTAAACCAAACGCCATTTCATACTGTCCTGTAATGCCCATATACAATTTGGCAATTAAAGATTTGGATATACTGCCAGTGGCTAATGCTTTATGGATAGCTACAGATTGAGCATCTGCTAATGCCATTCTGTTCCCTATGAGTATTGGGTAAAGAAAAAAAAAGGAGGGGTTGACTTACTTGGATAATGCTACAGAGAATTCAGGAATTGTTTCAATAGGTCGATTGGCAGGCGATTGTTTCCAAGTAGGTATCACATCATTGGCTACAAAATGAAAGACACTGGCAGCTGTATTCAAGGTATCGGCAGCCTTGTTATAATTGGATTGCTTCAACAAATCATTGGCTTGTAAAGAACAAGCATAAGCATAAGTCATCAAGACAAAAATAAGTTCATATTGTATATCGCTGCAGGTAATACGAGGCGCATTACTACCTGTGTGAATAAAATGATCACTCAAGGTGGATCGCCAAGAGGTCTCTTGGGTATCATGAGTATATACATGTGTGTGTGTGTGTGTGTGTAACTGATTACCTATGCTCTTCTTTAAAACGAGTTCATTGGCATCAAGACAGTTGACAATACCCACTAAATAGGGTAAGTATTCCTCTATTATCTAATAAAGCAATAGTGTTAAACAAGCAGATGATTGGATTGCTTACATTGATTAAGACTTGATAGTCGCGTGCTGATGGACTTTCTTTCTTGAGTTCTTTTAACACTGTTCTTAGTCTACCTCTTTGAGCAGTAGCATCTGATATCTCTGTTGAGTAAGGTGAAGCTGTCTCTAAATAGTCTACAAAAGACAATGTGCCTGTGGTAGGTAATGAGTAAGGGTAACTCATCTTTATTGAGAAAAGAGAAAAAAAAATAAAGGACTCGAGATAATGATATTATGCATGGTGACTGCCCAATAAGTGATGCTTATGCAATAATGCAGCTAGTTGACAGAAACTGGTCGTGGAGACATCTTCAGGTCTTGCTTTAAATTCTATAAATGATTCTATTTCGTCTAAAAGGGGATAAACACCTTTTACTTCTTTAGCAAGGCGATGTGTAATGTGTCCCATTGTTTTTCTTCGCTTTGTAAAATAATAACGAAGTATGTTTTCTAATGTACAGTATGTGCCTATACCAGTATGAATAATAAAGTGGTTGTGGTTGAATACTTACCAGACATGTCATCTGTAAAGAAAGGTTTTGGGCGTAATTGAATAACACTAGCATCTACTTTAGGTTTGGGTACAAAGATGGTCGCTGGTACATGATACACCTCTTTTACTTGGCATATACTTTGCGCCATCACTGCTAAACGGCCTCGTTTCGATGTAGAGACTGGAGCAATGATTCTCTTTCAAAATGTTAAGTAACAAGAGCTTGATAGGATCAACAAAACTTACATCGCCTACTTCTTTCTGAAACATAAGTGTCATCCAGACAGGATGGTCTAGTCCAAACAAGCCTGTCTGATTGACTTGTTGATGAAGCCATTGAACCAAAAGAGGAGACGCCACATTAAACGGCAAATTTCCAATGATATGAGCAGGATGGTCTGTTTGACAAGCGTCTATTTTATTCACGATCGCTTGTTGATCAATAGTCAGCATGTTGCCCTGAATCACTTGAAAACGACCACTAGATGCTTCTGAAAGTTGCTATCGGTGACAAGTATTAACATTGTATAGATCGATCAAGAAATAGTTACATGAAGCGTTGGCATGAAACGATCGTCTTTTTCAACAGCAATAACTTGTGTAGCGCCTGAATCAAGTATGGATCGTGTTAATAAACCGGGACCAGGACCTACTTCAACAACAAAAGGTGTCTTGTCTGACATAGTGGTGGTTCGAACAATTTTGTCTATTCTCAGAGTGAGCAAAGAGAACCATCGCAATCTTGTTTACCTGTAATGTTCTTGTCAAGAATAAAGTTCTGACTCAACTGAGACTTGGCAGTAAGGCCATAGAGTTTAATAAGTTCTCGAATAGAAGGTAAACGAGGCAAAGTACTCATGTCAAACACAAAGAAAGAGCAAAAAAAGAAAAAAAAATAGCAGGCTTGTCACCCGCATAAGTCAGCACTCTCCTGTTTTATGTTCGATACAAGAGAGTTATTCACTGCTTTTTGGTAGCCTCTATAATGACAAATGATAGTCTCACTAGTGTTAATACATAGGCTATTTATTGTCATTCGATAGAAACAGACACATGTTCAGAAAGAGCCTTTGCAAGCATAACAATGATTCTAGCCATGTTATCTTCAGTGGGTATGCCTACGATGGACGATACCACAGGATCTAAGAGAGCATGTCTCGCCATACGATTCACGATTTCAAAAGCTTGCTCTGTGGAATTTTGGATACCAAGTGTATCAACAAACGTCTTTTGCAAATGTTCAGCACTAATATCTTGAAGACGAAAACTCAAGATACCATCATCAAGAACTCTGGCAATGACACCAAGAATAATGTTGTGAAGGGTGTCTTGAACATGCGGATTGAAACTAGTAGTAATACCAGAAATCAAAGAGAGAATGGCACGACTGATTGGCTCAAAGAAGCTACCAAATTGTATAATATTGGACAAAATACCAGCTTGATTTTGAAATATAAAGGCTACAAGGTCTTGAAGAAAAGAGCCAAGCGGATTTTCACTGCCAGTCATCCTAGACATGGCTTGGGTAATGGCATCTATCAGTGATACGATAGGAACAGAGCTATTTTGAGCACTATTGATAATACCATTAATAAATTCAGTGAGAGCTTTTAGAGTATTGGCATTTAGGATGCTATTGTTTGCATTATTTGCAATTTGGCCCAAAAGAGAAGCGATCAGAGCAGGGACAACTAAGGGACTAATAAAAAAAGAGGTTTTAGTGGTACCTTCAATAACGCTGTCTACAGGGCTGGAAAGGTCGATTGTATGGCTGAATGGGTTACCAATAGCATTTTCCAAACTGGTTGTATTGTTCGATATGGTATCTGTAATAGTTACAACGCAATTGAGAGCGTCATTCAACATGTCATCTAAATCATTTGCAGAAGTAATAACAGGTACATTGTACTTATTTCCGTCAGAATCGCTAAAGATAATCTCAACAGCGCTAGATACAGTGTCGATTACATCACTCACAGTGGTGATTGTGTTATTTGCAGCACCTCCAATGACACTTCCATAATCACCAAAAGGGCTATCCATGCTGGTATTATTTAACGTACTTTCCAAAACACTCTTTGTAGTGTTGAGTATATCTTCAATAACTGTATTGGTAGCATTGGTACTGTTTAAACCGCCACCCAAAATAGTCCCAAGGCCTCCAGTACCATTTTTCATGTCTATCCCTAAAATACCACCCAATAGACCGGCTGTTGCATTAACTAGTTCTCCAAGAATATTGTTTGTCAGACCACCGAGACCATTGGTGATACCATTCAGTAAATCAAAAAGGGGATTCGTTAGGATGGGAGTGTTGGTAGTTAAAAGAGTAGTGCTGGTAATGTTACTAAGTCTGTCTAAACTACCGGCCAATCCGGCGATTGAATCCATGATGAACATAGTTGGGCTACCAGCAGTTGAAGAAATTTGATTATTTGCGCTATTTCCAAGATCAGCAAACAGGATAGCAAATAAATCTGTCGTTAGCATAGATGAACCGCTAGCAAGGGAAGAAGAAGTAGTTGTTGTAGCATTTTTGGGATGATCAAACAAGCTGGTAAACGGATTTGTGCCTGTGACATTGACAGATTGAGCAGCACTGATAGCTTCATTTGAAAATATGCTTTCAAATAGCTCAGACAGATTATGAGGACCTCCTTCTATGCCTAATGCTTCAGCATGACTTTGAATAGCTTTATTGGCTACCCTATGAGCTTCTTTAAAGAAAAGAGCCAGTCCTTGCTCAACTGTAAGCTCTGAAAAAAGGCCTAAACTATTCAGTCCTTCTAGTCCAATATCTTTCTATGTATGACGCATGAATCACTCTGTTATTTATATAAAGTTCTTCTTTTACCTCTATTCTGATGTTTGCTTCAGGAACGGTAATACAGAGCGCTATAGGCAGCAATGTAACTATGGATATCTTTGTCAGTTTCATGGCAACTTGATCAAAAGTGAATGAAAAAAAGTACAAAAATGGTTTCTTTTGTTTCTAAAACTGCATATTGTACCTTTAGGCATCAAAGATATTTCCCTTGCAGCTAGGAATGTATAGTTTTAATAAGCCTAAGAACAGCCTAAGAACAGCTTAAGAACAGCGTAAGATTGACATTCTTACATTTTTTGAAACACTGCAACGATATTAAAGAATTGGTCACCATCCTTATGCATTATGATAAATGGATCATAGATCAGGCACAGTAAATGAATTCTTTGTCTTTATACCCTCCCCTTCCCCCCTTTTTTTCTTAAGCTGAAATCAGAGAGAAACACACCTTAAATTCTAAAGATATGTAGACCACTTCTATTTTGTTCTTATCAAAAGTACGGTTTAATTAATCTTGGCTGGCTGCAACTTTCTTTTCAGCAACAGGTGTAAATATGAAATCATTAGCTGTAAGTGCCAAAGCCTTGATCATTCTTCTACAGGCAGCAAACCAAACGGCTACACTGACAGAGCCTTTAAATTTTATCAGTCTTTTTTCTTTTTCATTTTTTTGATTGCTATCACATACCTGCAGGAGCAAATGGCCATGAAAGAAAACGTTGAGCAGGTCCAAACCAACCAGGAGGAAGGTAAAACACTGCGCTCTTTCTAAACCACATAACCATGACTAATTGCGAGCCATGAACAACAAACCAAAGCACTGATTTGACTTTGAGCTCAAAAGCAGTTTTGGAAAAAGCAATTTCTGAGCCTATCATGGTGTTTAGCTTGCCTTTTCTCTCTCTCTCTCTCTCTCTCTCTCTTTTTTTTTTTTGCCCTTGTATCACTTACTAAGTTTCTCTAAATCAGCAGTTGCTTTATCCAACTTTCGTCTCAATTTGGCCCACTTGGCAAATTCGTCCTAAAGAAAAAAAGTGAATCAATTATCTGTATCTATTTACTTTTGTTTACCTGCGAGCTTGTTTGAGAGAGTTCTGCTTTAAGTTGAAGAGCGTCTCTCTTCATCTTTTGTTGCTTCATGACTCGACTGTCTTTTGTAAGTTTGACATAAAGATCATATGTCTAACCAATGTAAGAATCGTCGTGTTGAGCAGATCAAAAACTTACAGCAGAAGTAATGTAAGAATAGCCGAGGAAAAGGATCGACTCCGTAATCAAGACTAATAGAAATATGGTGATTGGCAAATACATGTCGCGATACAAAAGCAAAAACAAAGCGTGTAATCCAGCTATACTTTTCAAGGTCTTGACTGAGCTTGAAAATCGGTAGGGATGAATGCTGTCGATGATTGGCTTTTTTTTCTTTTTTTGTAAACAACAGCTTTGTTTCGTGATAAGCGTACATACTTTTTTTGTAACTGAACCTATTCAACTATTTTTATGCATAGTCTGCATACGACTTGAGTATCTAGAAGATGTATGCGCCGTTTTTTTTTTTTTCTGTTTATGTTCCCTCTGTAAAGGTAAATGCACACCTCAATTCTCCTTCAAACACCTTTTATTATCTAAGCAAAATACAATCAGAATAAAAGGCTATTTAGGGTTTATATATGCACCCGTAGCTTTAAAGACAATACTGTACATATTTATTTAAATTTTGACTTCCATGGGTAAACACAGTGCACTCAAAGAATAGTCTGAATTAGCAATACGTTGTGTGTATAAATAGTAAGTGCTTCCTTTATTAAAAATCAGTCAACAATGTCTTTGTTCTTTCGTGTTGGTTTCTTTATCTCTGCTTTTATTTTATCGTTTGCCTTGACTGCGAAACCCCCACTTGTGTCATTGACTATCACTATTCTCGGATTTCCTGAACCAAAATTCTATAGTTTGACTTGCGATCCTACTGGTGGAAACCATACAAAGGCAGATTCTGCATGCGATATCATTGATGACTCGAAAGGAAACATTACATATATTGATAGCTACCCTATTCCTTACTCAAAGGACAGCACTCCACCTATCAATATAACAATCGAAGGTCATTACCATGATACTCTTGTTAGCTATAGACATGAATATCCGAACCAAATCACTGCTATCAACAATCTTCGGGGTATTTATCCTGAAGAAGAATCTTAATAAAGTAAACTAGTAGTCTTGTGAGAATACATGTACCATTTTACGCAGATACTACCTCATTTCTTGCACTACAATGGTCATTTAAAAAAGAGAGAGAGAAAAGTCATGTGATAATGGTTTGCTTTTTTTTTTTTGTTTATATGATCGACAAGACGTTTATATTGAAAAAAAAAGAAGATTATATCTGTGTGTGTGATGGTGTGACTATACAAGTACTACCTTACACATCATGAAATCTCATATGATATAAAAGAAAAGCTGGGCCATTCTATAAAATCCCTTTCTTTCCTTTTTCCTTCTTTTTTATATTATTATTATTCCTCTTAGCATGAATGACCATCGTCAATTGAATACGCCGTCACCTGTTGTGTTTCCATCCGCATCTCCAACGCCTAAATTGTATAGTACGCCCTCAAAAAAACTACCCAATGTGAAATCATGGCAAGAAATCGGAGTTGATTCCGTGCCTCATATCATGTACCCTCAATATGATCATAGCAGAGAGAAACTCATGCCTTCTCCTTTGTCGATAGATATAGAAGAAGACTTTCTGGCTTCCATTATCTCATCTGGATCATCTCATGAACCACCCATTGTTGGAAGTCCATGTACGCCAACTGTGATGGATGATCCTGTTGTGGAAAGAAGACACGCTTCTCATGCATCAAAATTTGGCTCATTTCTGTCTCGCGTAAAGAAAGTGACTTCTGGAAAGTCTTTAAAAAATAGAACGCGCTAGACTCTTTTTAGAGTTGAATAATAAACAATTCAATTCTTTGTTTTTCTCTCCCTTTTTTTTTCTTTCTCTTTAGTATCTTTTGGTTATGTATATATGGATTATTATTTTTTTGCTCTGTGGAGCATGTATTTATGGGATCAGGCACGAAATGGAGATAAGCAAAAGACACAATGCACGCACAATTGATAACATGGAAAGAGAAGTGCTGGAACTTCGAATATCACAAATCAAAGCTCATATGGTATCGCGATCAAGTTTTACACATCGAAACAATATTAGATAGTTCTCTTTATTCAAGCAAAGATATGAATAAACGCTTGTTGTATGTTCAACTCTCGTTGATTTGTGACTATGCTAATATTGTGCATGAAAAGATATTTATGCAAATATAGTTTTAAACGGATCTAGTTTTGTAGTACAAACTTGTTTTCTATATACAGTTACTTTGAAATACTCAAAATCAAAATACAAGTTAAATACTTATTTATTTTAACAATTTATAGATCGAGCTTTCGGATAGTTGTAATGGTTATGGACAGAATTGACAAAAAAAATGTTTAAATGTTAAAAGTGATCAATAATGAACAAATGTATCATATTGTTTTTTGAACTTTCTCGTTCAATTTGAATTTCGCATACTTATATTGAACTTATAAATTCAAATCCAAAGACTAAGAAAAAAACAATAAAAAAGAATAGATAGTGTGATCTTTCGTTTTAGAATAAATAACGGAATTTTTTTCAAGATGGGTAAGATTTTATAGCTACTGGACACTAGATTATGACCAAGGAGTCCGGCGATAATAGTATGTAATATCTGTTTACAAGTGTCAAAATAATAAAATTTTAGTTTCATTTTAATATCGTTACAATGCCAACACAGTAGCTGATGACATACTCAGAGCCTATTTTGAAAACCAGTTTTTTAATGGTACTACTAAAGAAATGCCTTATGTCTACAGATCAGAAGAGACAGGCAAATATTTTAATACTGATTTAAATGTTGGTTAGCAACTCAAAATTACCAATTCAAAGCCCCTTAAAAAAAATAAAGTTACTGTGGACTATGTATACTACAAATTATGCCTTGTTGCTGTCTACAGCGACGAAAAGAGCTACAAGATATAGGATGAGGATAACAGACCATCTTTAAGCAAGAATCTTTTGAAAAGCATCTTTTCAAGAATGAAAACTATGTCATTCTTAGTTATTAAGTCATACGGGAAAATGGTTGGATATTTTTTAATTATATTTGAAATCAAAATAGAAATTGTATGAACAAATTCCCTGAAGTATAATAGATCAACACTGTAAACTGTGTAGATTAAAAGCTTAGGTTGCTTATTTAACAAGAAAAAAAAGAAAAAGGACTGATATTTGATGTAGCCACTATTTGCATCAATCACAGCTTAGTATTGGTCGGTACTATTGTCGATCAATCATGTACTGGTTCATATCTGTTACTAATCTCTTTCCCTACTATTCTTTGCTCTTTCTTATAATATAGTGTAAATATTATTCATGTATCTCATACTCTGCTTGATTTCAAGCACTTGATTTTTGCTCATTATTACTATGTATTACATGATATTGTCGTCGGGCTCCTCGATCATATTTTGGTATTCAGTAGCTATAAAATCCTACAGCAGTTCTTATTACAACATTTTTGTCTTTATCCTCCTACCAACTCTCGCAAGAAGGAGCTGTGGTGCGACATCCTTGAAAAACCTATGCAAAGGTACTTTGAGTCTTTTGAATCTGGAGGAGAACCAGATCTCAGTGTCAAAAGCATGGCTTTTGAGCCTTTGAAATGTGAATGTACTCATGCTACAGCAGATGTCACTCTTTACTTTTTGAAAGGTAAGTGGCGGTGACAACATTTTTGCGTCTTGTGCTTAAGCACTTGATGCCCGCATCGCCTAAAGAGCCAAGAAGAGCAATGCATTTCGCGGCAATTGATATGCTTCATCTTTTGGGGCTCAATACCCAGGTTTCGAATCATGCTTTTGCTAATACTGTAAAACAGTATTACTTTGATAGAAATCTCGTCAACAATGAGGTAGTTTATGCTTTATAGTTGGAAAAAGGAACTGAATAAGTCTTCTATCAGGAACCAGTTCTCCCAAAGGAAGTGTTGAACATTATCTACTTCATTTACAGAAGACTTATTCATCACGCAAGTGACCACGTTTGTGGAATGTACCTGATTGATTGTATCAATCAGTGTGTTACTTGTGAGATAATTTTCTAAAAGACATGTCAAATGTAGAGTTTCTTAAAAAAAAAATAGAATGCACCAAGAAAAATGGTAACAATGGATGGAAACTTCCAATTCAGAAGAAGAAAAGATGTTTCCATTCATTGCGAAAATGAAGTCAGCTACGGCATTTTTGCTCCCATCAGACACCAAGCTTCTCTTTGGAGCAGCAAAGAAGAAACAACCCAGTTTTCGAATGCTTTTATGGAATATAGAAGTGTAATGCCCTAATTACTGACGATAAATTTTAGGACTGATTACACTAATAGTGTTATCTGGATAACAACTTCAAGGCTGGAAGTAACATCGACAGAGGTTACTCTGGCCGCTATGATGAGAGCGGAGTTTTCTTTATGCCTTGTGCTCGCCACGGCTTATCTGAGCGAATGCACAGCATGTAGACGAAAGCTTCATGCAAAGTGAATGGGAAAATGACTGTCAGTATCTTGCCATGAGCACAACCGATAGGTTTTTGAATGCGTATCTTCGCGCCAATATACAACAACAAAAAACTGAAGAAAAAGAACATTATAAATATCTATCACTAAAAGGTTAACATCTTCGTCTTCAGCAAACGTAAGTATAAGAATAGAGTAATTTTGTTGTGTATCGAAGCTAACAAAATTCTTAGAGTGAACGAAGATGATGGTCAACTAAAAAAAAGACAAAATAATTCAAAAAAAATGAAACAACTTAAAGATTACTGTCTCTCTTATAAGGCAATAACTCTAAACCAATGGAAACGGCCGATCTCATCAAAACAAGACCTTTTTGAAACTGAAGCTTTCAACGAAATGATCGAAGAAGGAGTCAAGGAGATTCTGAAAGGCTTGATCAACAGCTATGCTTTTGCAATCAAGATCCAGCAAGCCCGCTTGCACAAAAGTGGCATGATTGGTACCTTTATTGATGAACAAAGCTAGTTACAAAAAAAAAAAAAAAAAAAAAAAAAAAAAAAAAAAAAAAAAAAAACTTGCTAAAAACTTTGCATCGCATTAGATCAAAACCTTGCAGCAAGACTTGTCATTTCAATCAAGAGCCTTTCAGCTACGGCTGAAAGAGTAATTGAGGCATTGAACAAGCTTCTTATTGAAAAACAATTTTACTCAAAGTAAGTTGGAAAGTTGCATTACTAAAAGAAAAAATAGGAAAACCAATTGAAGGTTTAAAAGAAGCGCTCAAAAAGTCAGGAAAATACTCCATTCCTTCAATACCCTTAACGTCATTGTTACAATGGCTAAAACTTTGCAGAACAAGGGAAGAACTGGAACTCTTGAAGGTAAAGCAGACAGCCCCAGTGTTTTGAAAACTCAAATTTGTTGTAAAATGAAGAAAAAAGATATTTAAAAATTACAGCACTTACGAAGTTAGCTTTACGCCACTGCGATATCACCACTGACAATCCTTCTTTCCCTTCCTCTGCTTCCTCTGCTTCCTCTCTCTCCGCTTCTTTTTTTTTGCTCCTTCTGCTTCCACTTCTTCTGTTCCCTCTGGTTTATTGCCTCACTCAGCCTCATCATATGATGATGGTGACAGTGGCGGTGACGTAGATGGAGGTCAAGCTGATTATGAAGACGATCAAGACGAAATCTCTTCAATTCTTGAAGAATTAAACTAAAGGAAATAAATATGCCGTTCAACATGATAAAAATGGTTAAAAAATGGAAAGATGGCTGTTATATCATCACAAGCAGGCAGGACGTTTTTCTCAGAATTTGTATGGGGGACGTATTCCTTGATTAAACATCAACTACAAATTCAGCTTTTGGCACTGTGACTTTTGATTGACATTCAAGAGTTCAATCAATATGCGGTATACCTTAAAAAAGAACATAGAAAAGGGTGTTTAATTCGGGCATTAGTGGCTTAGCCAATCAATGTTGTAGTAAGTGTTGTTTTGCCTTGTTGAAAGGTGCACAGACAGATGATTTTTGCATTACTTTCCAATCAGATTTATCGTAAAGTCTCTTTTAATTTTTCGAATAAAACAGTGTTTTTTCATGCATAAATTATTAGTTGAAGTTGATCAAATACACTTTGCACACTCCCTGTCTTTTTTACATTTACAAATCAAAAAGAAGTGCAAAAGAAATAAAGCAAGCTTTCTAACAAGTATAAAGCTGTAAATAACCAGATAAATAAAACTGATGAAAAAGTGTCTGGATGTTGAAAGTGATAGACAATTGACAAGTCCAACAAAATAAAAGCCTGATAAATTGCGTGTAAAAAGTGAATTTGCCTTGATTTCATACTTAGGCTCTGTATAAAATATGATTGAATATTTTGGGTTATCTAAATCATGATAACAATATAATATTCCTGTTGTAATGCAAACCATTTTATTTTCGTTTTTGTCCTATTTTGCTTGTTTGTTTGTTTTTGCCAAATAGTCTTCAATTCGCCATTTCCCCCCAACATTGATACACTCACGCAAAATCGATCTCTTTTTATTAACAGGCTGTCCCACTTTATCAACAACGCTAAGTACGACAAGTGTTACAAAAGAAGGAGAAAAATCAAGAACTGAAGTTTCAAAGCAAATACTAAATCAACATAGCTAAATCAAGCTTTAAGGTCAAGCTAAACTATTAGTTTAAAAGAATAAAGAAAAGTCACATCTAATTCTTCTCTGCTCATGCATGCTTGACAATAATACAGCAATATTTTAGGGCAACCAATACTAGGAAATCAACACTTATGGCAAACTAATTAAGAAAACTGAAATTTTAACATATTCGATTGCAGTTACGATCAGTGGATATGACATAAAAAAATTGCAATAAATGCAACAATGATCCTTTATCAAATGCTTCCATTTAGATTAACCATGGTGTCACCGCATGTAACGCTTGTAAAACCTGAGCGTTAGTGCTTACAGAAATATTTCACTCTGTTTACGACATACAGGTTTTTTAGCATGCAGTGTCATTTGACAGGGGGAAAAAAAGAAAAGCTTAATCTGTATTTAAATCTCGATTTTTATCTTATTTTATGTTATTGGAAATGTTGGGTAAATTTTTTTGCGTTTTAGTCTAGATGAATCTACTGGTCGAGCTCATCAATAACATGTCAAATCTTCACATCCAAGCGTGGCAAAAGTTTCAGATCAAGTGTTACACCAGAAAAATTTTAAAGATACAATACCTACCTATTCTTTCCGTTTTCTTTTCGTTTCTTTTTTGATTCAATAAAATAGTTAATTGATTCCGAATAGACATGTTAAATCCTGATCCAAGTGCAATTGCCGCCCAAGAAAGCTCCCACGAAATATCTGAATGTGTTAGTATAGCCTCTTCTGTCACAAGAAAACAAGCACCCTCTGTAGCGTCTACCGTTTTATCAAAAGAGAAGAGCAATCAAGAGTATGAATTTAAAAACGATCTCGAAGGAGTTGGTAAGTATTATATTCCTGAGAAAGAAAAACTTGTTGACATTTTTTATCTAGATGAAACTGAGGATTTGCCGGATGGTGGTTATGGTTGGTTTGTTGTTTTAGGTACATTTATGACTCAATTCACAAGTTTTGGTACCTCTGCATGCTGGTAAGTAAAAGTCATTCAAATCTTTGTTATTTTTTACTTATGTTTCTATCAAGGGGTAAGTGTTGTACTTGTTTAAATGAAGACCCTTTTTTTTCTGATAAATCAATGCAACAGGTATTTTACAAGATTACCTAGATGTAAACATGTTTCAAAATAAGACCACCAATTCGCAATTCAAGTTGAGTTTTGTTGGCACTCTTTTAGAAGTATGTACCACTTTATGTGGTCCATTAGCACAAATCATTTCATCTCAATTCGGTACCAAAACAGTGTTGATTATAGGCACTATTTTAGCAACACTAGGCCTTGAATTAGCCAGTTTAGGAACAGAGGTAAAAAAAAAAAGGGCATACGTCTATTGCTTATCCTCAATATATTATATAGCTATGGCATTTCTATCTCACAGTTGGTGTTATGTTTGGATGTGGTGCATCGCTATTGTTTGTGGCAAGTAGTTTGTTTGATCCGAAATATGTATCTAATGATTTGATAGACTGGTATGGGAACAACGCCTTTATGGTTCAATAAGCGTAGAGGAATTGCTACTGGCATTGCTTCAGGGGGCACAGGCATCGGTGGTGTTATCTTACCGTTTGTCATTACTCCATTAAATGAGTCATTAGGTATTGCATGGACGTTTCGTATTATGGGATTTATTTGCCTTGTATGCGATGTGATTGCATGTGTCTTTGTCAAAGATAAAGTATCTGTTAAGAAACAAGCTGGTGAACGCTCTCTAAAACATATCTTTGACTTCTCCATCTTGAAAGACATTAATTTCTTACTCTGGACATGTGGATCTGTTATTTCCATCATGGGCTACTTTATCCCATTCTTTTTCTTACCTGCATATGCTACTTATCTTGGACTATCTGCTTCACAAAGTTCAGCGCTTATCGCGGTAATGTCGGCCTGTAGTTTTATTGGTCGCATCCTCGTTGGGTAATTTTTTATTTTTTACCTTTTTGTTAACATAGTCATATAGGTATATCGGCGACCGTATTGGTAGACTGAACGCAAACATTATCTTTACGTTCTGCTGTTCACTGACCAACTTTCTTATATGGACATTTGCTTATAGTTATGGTTCTTTGATGGCTTATTCTGCTCTTTTTGGCCTATTCTGTGCTTCTTATTTTGCTATGAGTAAGTATCGTTTGTTTATTAGTGGCATCTTCTCATACATGAATGCTTTTTTTTTAGTGACAACCATTACAGCAGCAATCTTGAGTCCAGAGCAATATCGAACGGGCGTGTCTACATTGTTGTTATCAAACACAGTCTCTGTTTTGGGTATTACTATTGCTGGTGCAGTAGAAGCAAGCTTAAAGAACACAGAACCCTATTTCTCTTACAAAATGTTTACAGGCGTAGTTTATCTTGTAGGTGGTATTATTTTAGTTGCCCTAAAGATTAGAATTAAAGGCCTTTTTGCTAAGTTTTAAAATAAACTTTTTTTATTATTTGATCCATGATAAAGATACAAGTGTAGGTATACAAAAGCAAATGAAAAGAAGAAATATAAAACTTAACGAAACATACGTAAATAGGCCAAGAACAAAGCACCAGCACCAGTCATTGTACCAACCATGTATTGTAATATTTGGAATTTAATGGCTTCCATCTGTGTTCGTAGACCAGCAATTTCACTTTCTATATGTGTATCTGTTTCTTTCATTTTAATCTCTTGAGCACTTGCTTCATCTTTCACTCTTCCTTTTTCTAAATTGAGTTCGAGTCTAACGTTGGCTTGTGTTCTTGTTACTTCTTCTCTTAGGCGCTGTTTTAGACGTTCTACTTGAGCTTGTAAGCGTTCGTTTTCTGTTTTGAGCAGCGTAAAATCGTTCTTCTCAATAAACTGCATTTCTGACTGAAGTTGAGCAAAGTCAACCTTGTACATATAAACAGCTTTTTCCTGTTCTGATTTAGTCACCATGGGTTTTGTCAGTTCAGTCAAACTGTCATTCATCACTTTGCGTAAAGAGACCATGATGGCTTCACTTTGTTGGCGAGTAAACTTTTCTTTTTCTAAACGTTCAACAAACTTGAATGTGTCAAAGTGATACTTGTTGACTGAGCATGATCTTGTGTTGGTAAAGTTTCTTTTGATGACATGCAAGGTTGACATGATGAATACAAGATTTCCAGGATCAAATGTCGGGTGTGCTTTTATAGATTCAAATACCGAACAACGATTTCTCTCCGAGATAAAGTCAAAGGTTAGATGTTGACAAGGCTAGACTTGCACTTCACTGCGAAGATGAAGCGCCAACTATTGAAATTTACATTAGTATAAGCGGGAAGAAATACGCCAAGCTATACTTTAAAATATGGGAAGCAGACTTATAAAAGTACAAGAGGTTGAATTAAAAATAAATTTAAAAAAGCACATGCGTGACATCAAAACTGAATTTGCTTTTTGTCTGTCTATTGACTATCTAATACGCATAATAAAGTACTGTATTTATTTTACTTGTCTTGTTTTTTTTTTGACATGTCGCTCGTCATTTGTGAACTAACTGACTTAAAAAAGGATTGTGTGTATTAATTTTAGATTCTAGAATCAACTTTATTGTACAAATAAATAATGCTAACTTTCGAGAATTCGAAGGATTTCTCTTATATCTCTGGGGCCTCTTGTACACAAAAGAAGGGTTGTTTGAACTTTCTCCAGAGTCCTCTTTACTGGTACGGCAAGGATTTGAATACAGACAAGATTATTTAACTGAATTTGCCCAATTCTGTCTCAAGTCAAAGGTATTGTATTTCCTTTCGAAAAAGAGTGGAACGTAGACACATATTTCTGTTGTATTCATTGCACCTTCTAGCCATGATCAAATCCACAATACATTTATGTTGAGTATGCTCCTCTTTTTTATTGTTTTCTTTGTGTAATAAAAGCTATACGTGTAATCCACTTGTATGATGGCTTTATCCACTCAATTATGTTGCTTTATTGCTGCCTTTTATCCTTTTTATGGGCTTTAGTCATAGTCTATGTGGAGCAAAAAATAAAAACCTTTAAAAAAAACCGAACTTTTTCTTAGAACTATACAAAGACGTCATTATTTGGCTTTGTGAGTCTATTGATGTAAAGAACACAACAAATTTGCTGCTAAAATATTGAGTAAATGTACAAAAATATGTATAAGCTTTTTTGCTCATATCTCATTATTTCTGTAGTATGGTCAGCAAGCAAACGCATTCGCCAAGAACTAGAGCTTTTGGCACACATTTTGAGTACTTTAACTTGTTGATAGGTTTATTTTTCGTTTTTTAGTGTCCAAGAGAAGATCAAGTTTTGTCGAATCTAGGATTTTTATAAGTAATACCCTTTGGTCAAAAAGCCATTTCGATCAAATTTTAAACATGCTTTGTAGTTATTTGGAGCATTTGTGCGTATACAAATAGGTCTTACAACACCTTCATATTGTTCAAGAAAAAGAAGAAAACATTGCTGTCTTCTCTATTATTAAAGTACTTTTTTGCCAATACTTTATGTACTACTTGATGACTTATCAGATAATACGTTCTATCAAAAAGGGCAAACGTTTGCTTACGAAAATACCAAAGCATTGAAGAAATTCGTTTTAATTTTATCATACATGATATGTTAAAGGTAGCCTTTAGAGTGTACATTAAATATGATACGGACTTCCCTATATTCACAATTCTAGTACAATTACATACTTTTCTGTGGCAAAGATATACGAAACCTTTTCCATAAATTAACAGCATATTCTCTTAGAAAAAAGGACCTAATCGTTAATGTACATTTATGCATTCTATTTAAAACGTTCATTTCTTGTTTCTACAAGCCTTTTAGCTATTTGTTGGAATCTCTACTTTGACTACTATATCCATTGAAATCTATATGTATATTTGATTGATTTTGGTCTTTCTTCTCACCCTCCTCGACAGCACTAACACGATAAAAGCTTTTTTTTTGTATAGAAGTAATTATCTTTTGTTTTAAAAAAGAATAAATACAAATTCAACTCACCATTTTTTTGGCAAAATATATTCTTATCATTGGATTAAAGGCTTTAAATAAAGCAAGATACATTTGAGTTATTTTTTGTTTTATTAATGGATCCAGGAGCTCATTATATATAGCAAGTATGATAATAAACAAAACCTAGTATAAAATTCTTCGATTGTGAGATAAAAGGGAGCTCTGTTGTGTAGGAACCCTCTGCATATCTTAATGAAAAAATGAAGGGCACCTATATCCCGAGACGCTCACTCTGTTTTGGCAATTGGTATCGCTGGCTTCTCTCAATTAGTTTTTTGGTGGAACCTTGCCGGTTTTCAACCTTCTTAATCAGTGCAACACTTTTTTTTTCTATCTGGCCTCATTCTTACTTACACTAGAAGATCGATTGAGGATAAACTTGAAGTGTCTGCGAAAACTAACAAAAAAAGAGTATCTTTGCGAATGAATTAGGACTGCTAATTCGTTCACAGATTTAGCTTCTTTCCCTATTTGAGTCTGAGGTGAGTCTGAAGGTTCAGATACTGTATTGACATGTGAAATAAGGTATTTTCTCCCCATCCTTTTTTTTTTCTCCCCTTTATTTTTTCTCTCTCTTTCTTTTTTTTTTTTTTGTTTCTTTGTTTTATTTATCATATGACACAACCATCTTCAGCCATGTCTATTACACAGCTGTGTAATAGTGAAGACTCAAATGAAAATAGTAAGGATATTTATAGTATTCTTTATGTATTGATAGTCATAGTCCAACTACCACCTATTCAGCAACAAGAACACTTTATTCGTCGTTTGCCACTTGTTCACTCAGCATTAAAAGCATATGAGAATTCGAGTTCAGTTGTCAAATACGGTGCAGAAATGATTGAATCTTATGCAGGTCCTATATACGATAAACTAGGCTATGATCGTAAATTAAAACAAGAGGTAAGAAAACTAGATGGAAGCATGACTCATTTGTTTTTCTTTTTTGTACAGGAAGACGAAGATACAGTAGCAGCTACCACAGCGCTTGCCCGTGCCTCTCTTTATGACCATCATCAAGAAATAAATCATCGTCCTAAAGACCGTAAGTTGAACATATCCCCAATACAAATACCAAAAATAGAATATTAGGAAAATCAAGACCGACATCACGATCCACTTCGCCTCATCGTCCATATAAATTACACCGTCCAGCCAAGAGTCGCTGGCAACAGATCGTATTTCATGCAGGATCTGCTGCAGGCACCACAGCTGCAGTGATTTCAGAAGAATCCATGAAATGCTTGAAATACTGTCTAAGTTGGCTTCAATACGCCATAGGACATATTGATCAACAGATGAATATCTTGCGTCAATTCTTGGTCTCATTAGCGACTGGTTCGTCTAATCGAGTTCATCATGACCAGGTTTCTTCTGTCAAGAAAGAAATTGTAGATACTTTACGCAAAGTAGTCGAAGTTGTCAGTAAATATGCGGGTTCTGGATTACCTGAGCAAGCCAAGATTAGTGTACGTTCCTTTATCCTAGAGCTCCCTAGTCGTTGGGCTGTTTTGAACCAGAAGCCTAAAGAAGAACATCCTTTGCATGAAACATCCATACGATTATTAGATTTTGGTGGTGAATCGATTGATATGCTCAAGTCTGTCTCAACTGTGTTTTCAGACACGATTGACCGTGCTGAACTTTGGTTAAAACGACTTAAAGTAGTGTCCCCTTCAAGTATGGATAACTAGTCTATCATGTTTATTAAATAAAGATTATTGTGGCTGCTCTACAAAAGCAGCTGCTTGTCTTTCATAAGCAATACGCTGAAATCTTGATAAATCATGAATAAATTTTATACCAACAGGGCTTCTTTCGAGCCTTCGAAACAGATCAATCGCTTGTCTTCTGATATGTGGGTTTGAATGGAATAAACCTGCCCCTAAAGGAGACAGACCACCTTGATTTTGAGGCAAATAAGAAAGAAACTAATGAATGAGCGACTCATACAAACAAGGTCAAACTTACTTCAATCATCTGTCGATGTGTCACAATATTGTTTAAAAAGGCTTCATAAATAGCGGCTACTTCTTGATCTGGTATATGCTTTAGTTTCTTGAGTTTTGATATCTGTCTGTACACATCCAAGTTTTTAATACAAGCATTCTGTAACCAATGATTGATATCTCTTTCATAATATCTGTAAGAAATAGACTGCCTCCAACCTTCAATACGATTTGCATTGGCCTTGAGTTCTCTTTGTTTCGATGCCTCATCTGCAAATACAGGACCACAGCCCAAGATAACACCATTTGAGTGCCGGCCAATATTCGTGTGCCCATAGACTTGCTCTTCATAAAGAGCGGCCAGCCTGACAAACCGAAGCACATAGTCTTGAAATTTAGCTCGAATTGAAGTCTCACCATAATGGGATTGAATAGCTGTCATGACTTCATTCATAAATTCAACATCGCTGTCTCTTTTTTCTTCTGCTGGGAACTGTTGTTGATGAAAAGGGGGTGACTGTGCTTGTTCTACTCCTAAGGATGTCTCTTCTGAAACAGACTGTTTGCGAGTAGGTGTGGCAATGACATGATTGGACTCAATATGATGACTGACTGTGATTTTACCTGTACTGATATTACAGAGTACATCCCACCAACTTGTGTGTTCTTCATACGTGGGATTAGTGACACCTGCAATAAACCCAGGGCTATAGAATGTCACTATGTAAATTGGTATGTTCTTCTAGTTACCATTTCAGCAAATCATCCACACTCGTAAGATTAGTATAAGGAAAAGCACGTTCAGTAAATCCTTTTAGAACAGTACCACAACCTGATCCTAAAGCACAGGCTGCGAGTACATAATTAGCTACTTCCCCTGAAGGATGACCATAGCCCAAAAACACAATTCTCTTTTGTGTCAAGAGTGCATTTAACAATAGCATGATGGGGTGTGTGTATGGTCCACTACTGTCTAGATGAGGGTGATGTGGATTAGCTGATCCAGGATAGCTTGCACTGGGAGTAAAGGTATTGATCAATTTGATCACAGAGAACTATGTTTGATGAGCAATTGGCTACTTTGACAGCACCCACTTACATCGCCTACTTCTTCAGGATTCACCGTCAATGGGATTTTGATAGGCAGCTTTATACCATCATATTCAATTTTGGTCTCAAAGAAATGCCTGTCTTTACTAAACACAGGGATCTTTTCACGTACATGCCCTGAAGCCAGATCAATATAAGTTCCTCTTCTCAAGCGATGTGTGACATCTATTTCTTCCATCATGCTCATATCATCTGTTTCGCTTGTTGCACTAGTGGGTTCTTCATCAATAAACATTTCTTCAAATATGGTCTTATTATCAGATGCTCTTAATATCTGTCTTTCATGCCATGTAAATTTGGGCATTCTTGACAAGTCCATGGAGTTTACTGCTTCATACAATGATTCTAGGATCTCAATGGAAGGATTTTCAAAGTATTTCTCCATAGCCAATAATAAAACTGGCTATACAATGTCAAACAGGGCAATTAATGCAGTGCACTTACCTTGTAAATATGAAGATATTGATGTCGAGTACAGATAGCCATGGCTTTGACACGGGCACCTCTACAGGCTTGTTATTACATGCATCCTTAGAGGTGTCTGACTTTTTTTTACCTTCTGGCAGTAGCATCATGCTTTGTTCTGACTAAATTCAAGACATACAATAATGGTTTACTGTCTGAGTCTAGATTTTCTTGTTGATTTGGATCAGGCGTCAATTGGTTAAGACAAAAAATAGTCCAGTCTTCTGCTCTTAGATGAGCACCATCAGGCAACATGAGTTCAGACAGAACACTATTAAACAATAAATAGGCTTATTTCAACTAGAAGGTTTGTTATTTACTGCTCATCAGTGCCTGTTTCTGTAGGATACTGGTACTTGAGATTAGCCCCCTTGTCAATATCAAACTCTGCTAACAAGATATACTGAACGTGTTCACTATGGGTCATGTATAAAATAAAGGAAAAAGAGAAAAAAAAAGGTTAAATTCTGGTGCAACCATGCTTTTTATTGCATTTTCCTTTTTAATATATCGAATTCAAAAATCAACAAAAAAAAAAAAGAATGAATAAATAAATATACTCTAGACAGAGAAATGTCTTTTATCTTAAAACTGTTAATAAACAGAAATAGAAACAGAAAAAGAGAGAAAAGATACGTTTAACTTGATAAAATACCTTATTTAAAAAAAGAGGCGCTTTTATAAAAAAAAAAAAAAAAAAAAAAAGATACGTCACTTGTTTTGTATAGCCGCGTACAAAAAGCAAATAAAAAAAAAATACTCTTCTTTTCTCTTTTCCTTTCTATCTATCTATATATATATATATTCTTTTACTATTATGAGTGTACACCTTTTAAGTTCAGACAATGAAGAGTTCAAGGTTGACAAAGACGTTGCTGAACGCTCTGTCTTGATTAAGAACATGTTGGAAGGTAAAGTATTATTAGATAATTTTTTTTTTTGACGCGCATATCGCAATAGATATTGGTGACTCTGATGCTCCTATTCCTCTTCCTAATGTTACCTCTAAGGTGTTGAACAAAGTAAGTCATGGTTTGTGTTAAATCACATGAACTTATGGATGAACTAGGTTATTGAGTGGTGTACTCACCACCGTGATGATCCTGCTACTCAAGACGACCAAGAAAGACGCAATACTGATATTGATGAATGGGATCAAAAGTACATGGAAGTTGACCAAGAAACCTTGTTTGATATTATCTTGGTAAGTATCTATTTCTATGTCTACATCCCCTAATACAAGTAGGCTGCCAATTACCTTGATATTAAGCCTCTTCTTGATGTTGGATGTAAGACTGTTGCCAATATGATCAAAGGAAAGAGTGCTGAAGAAATCAGAAGAACCTTCAACATCACGAATGATTTCACACCTGAAGAAGAAGCTCAAATCAAGAAGGAAAACGTAAGTTCTACTTTTTTTTTCTTTGCTTTTGCTGAATACTTTTTTTTTTTCTAGGAATGGGCTGAAGATCGTTAAATGTTTATAAACAATAAAAAAAAAAGAAAGAAAGAAAGAAAATGAAGGTCTTTTTTATTTATTTATTTATTACATGCTACTTTCTTTTGCTTTGTCTAACCAAGACTTAAACTTGGCATCCTCTTCTCTTTGTGCTTTAGAAGGAGGATATTTAGATGCACTGGGCAAAGGATTTTCATCACTATCGTAGTCTTCTTCTTCCTCTTCCTCTTCCCATGTATCTTGAAAATGCATGATTAGTTCATTCATTTTAATTTTGCATATATACCTTCTTTTTCTAAAGAGACTTCAGAACCCTTTGAGACTTTCATGTCTTTCATCAATTTTTCTAATTGTTGTTCACGATTCTTTTCTTCTTTAGCCATCTTTTCACGAATCATACGCTCGATTTCAGGCTTGTATTCAGTCTCGTATTCTTCTGCTGCTTCATTCACAGCTGCAAAAAAATCATCCACACCAGCTCCTGTCACAGCAGACACACCCACCACTTTAAGATGATTGTAAAATTCATCCAGCACTAAACTCATCGAAGACATCAAACTGCTCATATAAGTAGTGTCTTGACTTAAAGCCAATTGAAATTTCTCGAAATCTGTCATCCATTCAACAGCAAATTCATGAGACACAACATCTGTCTTGTTGAAGACCAAGATAAAGGGTAACTTGGTCTTGTACAAAATACTACAGGCATAAAGCATATTGCTCATGAAAGTGGCAGGTGAAGTAGTACGTGGTGTGTCAATGATATAAGCAATCATAGTAGGATAAGAAGCAGCCAACGTGTCTGTGATAATAGCACCAGATGCTGACCATGTAAAAATTTCGATTTGTCCAGGTGTGTCGACAAGGATGTTACTAATAGTCTGTGTTATTCGACTATGTCTCCATATAACTGCTTTATGTTACCTGACACTTTGAGCACGTTTGGCAACAAGGTTAAGTACTTGATCGAATTTGGTGGTAAACAAGTTGAGACTGGTCAAAATACCACCATTAGGACCAAGATTATATCTATAGAGAATAGAATGAATACCATGGATGATGTTAATCAACATATTACTGTTTCATGACTTCTTTATAATTGACTGTATCTCGAATATCAATATTGGCTGTGAAAGGAAGAGAAGAGACAGCAGGATCGAGATTTAATACATAAGGTGGTGTCTTCTTTTCATGAAGGTGTGCATTGATTCTCTATGTAACAAACTTTGAGGAAAATGTTATTTTAAATGGATAATATTTACCTGCATAAAAGTGGTCTTTCCAGAACCTGCCATACCAATGCAAAGAATGACAGGAGGCTGTTTCTTGTTGTCTTTTTCTGTCGACATATGGCTATAAAGTATAGGAAGAAAAAAAAAAGGAAAGAAAAAAAAACTATGCTTGTCTGAATAAGCAAACCCTTTTTCGTCTAAAAAAGAAAAAAAAACTGTCACGGCCTTACAGTCACATATGCACTTGAAGTTTTTGTGTAACAGCATTCTTGATATATTCCATGTCTTTTATTATTGTATAAAGCGCAGTGATTGAACGGAACAAAGTCTATTAACAAAAAGCAATTACTTTGGCGTAGTGTAAATAGCATTTTACTTCAAGAAATAGTCTATATATGCTTCTAAAATTTAGCAAAAAGTCCCTTGAATTTGATCTTGAGTGCCACTAAAATTATCCCACCCATAAGATAGACCACACCTGTAAACATCTTGTATGAAAAATAAGGTTCAGCATTGGCATTTGTCTCAATGGCACTAGCAATGGTAATACCAAAGACAGCAATGACATTAAATAACAAAAGTGTAGATACACCAGTACGATACTGTTCAGGAGTCAAAATGGATGCTGCAATAGGTGTCACTATAGGAAAGATCAGTTTCTCTCCTTTTTCTTAGAAAAAAAAATCCTTACTCATGGCAAAATAAGATCCGCAAAAGAGTCCAAACAAGACAGAATAACCGATCAAAACACTATAATTGAAAGCAAATGTCCATACAAGTAAATTACTAAGGGCACAACAAAAGGTAAAGATAATGTCTGCATTAAGTCTACCAATACGATCACCAATAAACCTAAAACACATGTCAACAACAACATATTTGTACAAGATCATACTTTACCCTACTAATATTCGTCCTACAAAGTTAGCAGCAGACATAATAGCAATCAGGGTTGAGCTTTGTGAAGCGGATAAGCCCAAATAAGTAGCATAAGCAGGCAAGAAGAAGTAAGGGATAAAATAACCCATAAGAGAAATCACAGAACCGCAAGCAAACAGCAAGAAATTGGTGTCTTTAAAGACGGAAAGATCAAAGATATTGCTCAAGGACTGACTCCTTTTCTTTCTCATTGCTGGATCTTTTTCTTTGATGAAGATACATGCCAAAACGTCGCAAACAAGACAGATAAAACCCAAGATACGGAAGCTCCACGCAACACCCAGTGCTTCATTAATAGGTGAAATAACAAAGGGTAAAACAAGGCCTCCTAAGCCTGAACCACCTGAAGCAAGACCCAGAGCAAAACCTCTGCTTTTATTAAACCATAATGGGGCTATCCCCATAGCAGTCTATCATATGCGTGTTAGTCAAAAATGCTTGCCGATCTTATGTATATACATACGACGTAAAGGAGAGAAGCACCAGAACCAAACATGATACCTTGCGTTAAATAAAAATGCCAGATCTGAGTCGAGTTTCAGTAACAGTAATAGTCAACAAAAGACATCAACATACCTCTGTTCCAAGACTTGCTAATTCAAGGCCCAAGGTAGCTAGAATGGTGCCCAGAATTAATACAGTTTTGCTACCAAAGCGTGAAGCAATGATCTGTGCCAAGGGCCCCATCAAGTTGACAAAAATTTCCAATAATGTACCAACAAAACTCAATTTGAATTGCGAATCAGTTACTTTATCTTGAAACATGTTGACATCTAAGTAATCTTGGAAAATACCTACGCAGAAGATTATCAATTCGTGATCGTGAATCCATAGATCAGCATGACTTACCCCTTTTTGACGATAATAAAAATAATAAAAAAAAAAAAAAAGGAAAGCTAAGGTTAGTATCACATCATGAAATGTATTCAACTAGTAAAGAGAAATGCTCATGTATCATTCTCAACAGTTAATTACCAGCATGAAGCAGTGCCAAAACTAGTGACCTGAACCATGAATGTCCCGAAAATCACAAGCCAACCGTAACCACCCTCTTTTTCTTCGTGTTCTTGTTCGGGCTTGTTAATTCCGGTCTCGAGATTATCATCTAAGAAGTATAAGAAAAATAAAAGGGTAAACAGGTCAGATGTCATTTGTCTTTTTTAGAAAACCACTGCGTTTTGTGGATGAAGCATACTTACGGTTTTCAAGATCACTTTTGTTTTTGGCACTTTTTTCATCTGATAAGATGGTAGGTGTAATAGAAGCAGATGATGCTATAGAAGATATAATAGCACACTCAGGGTTTTGTTTAATTGCATCGACCGACATTGGCTTTTGATAACAAAAACAAAAAAAAAAAAAGAAAGAAATCGAATAAAAAAAATAATCTTTTTAAATGACTTTTTTTATTTTTTACCACGCTAAGATGCACTAAGAATTTTTCACTGGTAATCAAATCTTGTACTACGCAACACAACATAATATCTGATTTGATGTTTTTGAATGATTTGATTTAAATCGAATCTGCATAGCATTGCATATTCTGTTTTCAGATGGCTATTTTTTCGGTTACAAAAAGCTTATTTCCTATACATGATAAAGGAATACCTGTATAAAGAAGATATAAATAAATGACTCATGTTGGGGAAAATGGCAGTTTTACAGCAATATTGACAACAAATGGCTTCTTTATGCGCTCAGCTTTGTCAAAACAATCAAGTGCGTTTTCGTAAATGATTTTTGCAGAACTCATGCTTTGCATAAAAAAGTGTCGACTCGCCCTAACCAAAATGTCTTTGTATCGTTCATTTGCTTGATCTTACTTTTTCGATTCAGTTCCTGACAGCATCTTGACCAGTTACTTAATAACCAATACTTACATAACGAGACAACCCAAAATTCTTTAGTTTATAGAGATTACAAATAGAATGTTAGTTTGCCCTGGTCTCGGCCTAGAGGCCAGCTTTATAGATGAAGGCACAGATGCCAACGATATCATTGTTGAAAAACATGGTTTAGCAAACAATTTTGCATATGGCGAATTAATGGTGACAAAAAAAAAATAGACCAGGTACAAATAAATTTTCAGGCTTTTAATTTTGTAAAGCTAATAACTCTACTCCTCTATAAATGATTGAGCATAATAAAAAAAAATGCAACTCAAGAATTTGATCTTCAAATCGAGAGTGTCACCATTTTAATAGCGACTGAACGGTTGCTCAAAAATATCAAGATAATTCAGCTAAAGGTACTAAGCACATCTGCCCTTTTAAATGTCACCTTTATCATGGACTCTGCATTGCTATGTATGAATCTGAAATTGGGAAGGCTAGAATATGGAGAAACAAAAGATTTACGAGGTCTATTATATAATATTCTGAGATTTGAAAACAATGTCTTTAGGAGGATTCACATGTCTGAGGTGAAAAAAGGATAGAAATCTTTCAAATACATGTACACAAAGAGCTAAAGGTCTTTCTTTGTGATATGACAAATGAATGCTAAGAGAACATGATTTTCCTTTGACTCAAACTTCTTTTTTTTAAAGACTATCACATTTCTTTTCATCTTGATGAACAATTATAAAAAATATAACATTATTTATTGGATAAACATGTATTGAGCTTTGTTTGTAGAGCCAAGGTAAGGTTGGTTCAAGAATTTAAAAAAGAAAAGAGGGTTTAGCATTGCTGGCCATATTTCAGGCTTATAGGATTTGGAAAGAAGAGGCACTACAGATCGAAATCAATTCTTTTTGATGTCAGCAATAAAAGTGGAAGAGATTTCATCTTTTTTTTTTTTTGACAAGACAGATAATCATTCAAACCCATGGGACAAAGGAGTATAGGCTACAAGAACTGTTTGCATTATTTTTCTCAATAACTTAGCATGACCAAAAGATCTTTGTGTCCATAGCCCTACATCAAAGCAAACATAAAAACATTCATTTGAAAAGAAAAGAGACATCTGATAACGAGTGGGTTTCAATAAACATTTTGTTACACAAAGAATGTCATGCATGCTCATGATTGGTCAGTAATATGTAGTCGTGACTTGAAAGAATTTAGGATGGTAAAGCAGTATTCCCCTCATGTGCTCTCCCCCTCTCTTCTCTCTTTTTCTTCTTTTCTTTCTTTTTCTTAAAAAAAAAAATATCTTTAAAAATGAGTCCTGAATAGTAAGTGAGACTGTCTTGTTGACTACAATACTAAACTACAAATAGCGACTACTTATTTAAACTCTTACTTATTGGTGACTCTGGCGTAGGCAAATCCTGTCTTTTGCTTCGTTTCGCTGACGATACCTATACAGAGAGTTATATCTCAACTATCGGTGTTGATTTTGTAAGTTGTCTTTTGTTTCTCTCTAGAAAAAAAAAAAAGGAGTGAAAGATAAGAAATGCTAAGCCCACACTAGAAAATTAGAACTATCGAACTAGAAGGCAAGACTGTCAAGCTTCAAATTGTAAGTTAAGCTATCTATACACTCTAACTAATTCATATATGATAGTGGGATACAGCTGGTCAAGAACGTTTCCGTACAATTACCTCATCCTATTATAGAGGTGCACACGGTATCATTGTGGTTTATGATGTCACTGACGAAGACAGTTTCAATAACGTGAAGCAATGGTTGCAAGAAATCGACCGATATGCTGCAGAGGGCGTCAACAAGTTGTTAGTAGGAAATAAGAGTGATTTGGTTGATAAGAAAGTGGTCAATACAGAACAAGCAACAGAATTTGCTGAATCTCTCAAAATACCTCTTTTAGAAACTTCTGCCAAGGATGCTACAAATGTGGAACAAGCCTTCTTGACAATGGCTAAACAAATCAAGGATAGAATGGGCTCCACTATGCAACAATCGCAAGCCAAGGCAACTGTTAAGGTTGGTCAAGGTGCTTCACTTGAACCCAAGCAATCTGGTGGATGTTGTTAATTAAATAAAATAAGGGCATTTTATAATTAAGAAAACGCCCTAATAAAAGGAGCAGTGCACAGACAAAAAGAGAAGAAATTCTTGTTTTTAGATGAATACAAATAATCAGATAATATTCACAAAGACAACAAATAATCGGCTATAAATCACTCATATTTCAATCCTATTTTTCCGCCTCTCCACATTTTTATTTTGTTTTTCTTTTCTTTATTCCGCCTTGAGTGTTTAAAGTCATGCAAAGTAAAGAATATAATCACATAAAATAGAATCTAACAAACGCTAAACAGATATAAATTCAGAGGCGAATTATTACAGGAATCGACCAGAAGCACCTTCCTGGAGTTCTGTTTCATCACGTGAAACTAATGTACAACAACAACCAGCCAAAGATCCAGATCAAGAGAAACCACTGACCGCCTGGCAAAGATTTAAGCAAAACAAGACTCGTGTGGCTCTTCTTGTTACACTGGCCACATTAGTGTTACTAGCCATCATCATTGTACCTATTGTTGTCTGTGGTATTGTAACAAAGGAACAGAATAAAGAAACACCTCGCATGATTACGCCTACTTCGTCTGATTATCGAGACCCTTTTGATGATTCTGCAAGGCCCAATAATTTCACACCACCACTCAACCAACAGTTTCGTTACACTCAGGACCCTGTACGAGGCATCAATTTAGGTGGCTGGCTGGTTCTAGAGCCCTTTATTACGCCCAAGATATTTGAACAAAAGTTGAATGAAACTACACTCATTGATGAATGGGAGCTCTGTGAGGCACTAGGTCCTGAAGAAGCGAAGCGTCAGTTGACACACCACTATGACACATTTATTACTGAAGCTGATTTCAAAAAGATTGCTGAAATGGGTTTCAACCACGTCCGTATTCCTACAGGTCATTGGGCTATTAAAGTAATGGAAGGTGAACCTTTTGTTCCGTATGTATCATGGCAGTACCTTCTTAAGGGTATTCAATGGGCACGTAAATATGGTCTTCGTGTAATGGTGGAACTTCATACAGCGCCTGGATCACAAAATGGCTGGAACCATTCTGGCAAATCAGGCCCTGTTGGTTTCCTAAACGGTACTCATGGTGAAGAAAATGCAGACAAAACAATCAAAGTTGTGAATGAAATGATTCAGTTTTTTACTAAGCCAGAATGGTCGAATGTTGTGCCTGTTTTTGGCGTATTGAATGAGCCTGCCATGATTAAAATTCCAGAAAAAAAGGTTAGAAAATGGTATGAGACAAGTTATGAAGCTATCCGCAAGATGCTTGGACCAGGAAATGGCCCCTATTTAACCTATCATGATGGTTTTTATCCTTTAAAGTATTGGGAAGGCTTCTTTGGTCCTCAAAGAGAAAAGGCTATTTTGGGTAAGCACAACTCATTCATGATGCTTCTGTTAATTACATTTAATAGAAACTCACCTGTACCTGATCTTCAACAATGGTCTTGTCTCTATGCCTAGAAGTCAACAAGTTGAGTTCCCATGTACTGCATGGAAAAACGATCTTGAAAATGCCTCCAAGAATATATCTCCCACATTAGTAGGTGAATTCTCAGTGGCTACAAATGATTGCGCTAAATATTTGAATGGTATTGGCATGGGTGCGCGTTATGATGGTACTCTGGGAGATCCACCACAACCTGTATGTCCAGATTGTACATGTCAAGGAGCAGATGACTGGCATAAATTTACGGATGAATACAAGCTCTTCTTACTCAAGTTTATGGAGAAACAGATGGACGCTTACGAGACTAGTGCTGGTTGGTTCTATTGGACTTACAAAACAGAAGATCACATCAATCCTCATTGGGACTACCTGCTTGCTTGGGAACAAGGATTTGCTCCCAAAGATGTGAATGTTCGAGAGTATTCATGCAAGACATCTAAATCTTCTCCAGAAGAAGAATAATAAAACTTTTTATTGTTGTGGATCAACATCCTCTTCTTCTAATAAAACAATTTCTCCTTCAACTAAAGATAATCCACCTTGATTTGTTTCTTTAATAGGCGACAATGCATCGTCTATGTTTGATGGCAAATAAGAATCTTGCTTCCAGTTTTTTAACCCTTCCAGATAATGCGTCTCTAAACCTGATCGATATTCCTCTAATTTTTCCATGTTTTCAATAGCCAGCTCATGGCCATAATGCTGAATTTCTCTTCCTTGAATCGACATTTTTTGTGCATAACTAATAGATGAATCCACGATATCACCTGCTGTTGTCAGAAGTTTACCCATAACAACACGTAATACATTGTTGTACCAATATGAAACCAAAGGCACAGACTGTAATAAGCCTATATGCATATTAGCTTGGCCTTTTTGTTATTTTTACCTTCTAATGTCCAACTGTCCTGTTGTTTGTAAATTTTCAAGAGTCCACTATCACACTCGGTTTCTCGAAAACTCAAGGTTGTAATTGCAGGTATCTGTAATTGAACAAAGCTGGGTAAAATAGTAGGTGATAAATTATGGATCAAGTGGACAACAGCTGTCTTTCTAATGAACTGGGTCAATAGTCAGCAAAGTCTTTTTTTATTTTCCTACCCATCAAACACAATATTAGTAATTGTTGGTTCTTTTCGATTCAGAGTTTGCCATATGGTACAGACACTAAACTATGAGTTTCTAAACTATGTAATAAAATATACAAACTATTGAATGTTATTTACACCTTCTGTACTCATCACAGGTGAACTCAGTGTGGCGTCATGAAAGAAATAGTATTCAAGTACACGTTTTCGTTTGATTGTATTATACGAGAATAAGTCTTGAATAATATCTAGAAGATGCTTAGATACTGTTGATCAAAGAGAATATAGGTTTACTTCGGACTATGTTTGAAGAAGAAATCTCGCTGCAAAAGTCAGAAACAGACATATATTTATTCTGAAAAAAAAAAGAGAGAGAGAAATGCAAAAAAAAAAAGAGGAGCTCTATTACACTTTATAATATCATTTTGTGTTACAAAGACCAAAAATTTCCCTACTCATCATATTTTAGAGAGGGCAGTTTTGAGCAGCCATGTCACTGGAAACGGACAGTCTTTTTTTTTTACATGAACAAGGCTGAAGCTGGGCGACATGTAGATTTGAGTTAATGTGTCTATTGTGGTATTAAGCCAGAGAAATTCTTGAATATGATCGTCCCAAAAGATGAACTTTATAAAACAACGAAAATGTCCTCTGTATTGACACAGAGATTATAAGCAGAAGTGTATAAACATTAGTGACACAAAGATTGAACCACATTGAGCGGGTATGAGTATTGTTATAATATGCTCCTCTAGATGGTAGTTAAGCAGAGCTGCCAAAAGCTTTTTTCGAAGAAGACATTGTTGGAGCTGTTTGACCTATATTTGTAAAGACGATCCACTCAAGTAAGAGTCAAAATGCCTTGAGTGGCACCTAGGATTCTTTTAAACGAGATCCATCGGCATCAAGACAGAGGCGTCTACAAGAAGTTTTGACCTTGTATTTGCCTGTTGCTATTGTATTGAAAGAACACGTAGTAACACACTCAATCAAAAGATCAAACCAAGTGCGGAACTTGGGCTGTAGGAAGTGAATAACAGAATGGTAGCCGTATGTTTTAGAGATTGGCAATGTATCAAGTTTATGATACATGTCGAACGATCGATTAGGACGACAATGGAGTGTAAAGACAGCAGCAGTAATTCTAGGGAGAAATGAAAATATATCTGAATTGTGTAGGTGCTAACAGAAGGGCCAGGAAGAGTAGGACTAATCTTTAGTATCTAAATTAAGATTTTTACATCTAAGATCAGAAGAGAATTATTGAGATATTTTTCGTTAACATCTTGGGTCACACCAGGCTTTTTTCTTTGTATGGTTTTTAGTTGAGTGCATAATCTAAATAAGACTTTTGAATACGATGCTTGATGACAAATCGATGTGACTTTGTCTCAAGAGGATGACCCTTTTTTTGGAAACCCCCAAATTGAATTTAACGCCTTCGATGAACGGACATGTCTAAATTTATACTCGATGCACCGTGAAGTTCTTTCTTTACTGAAGACTACGTAGTTAGTTGATGTGATGAATATGCATGCTAAATGTTTACAGAAATTTATTTAATTGACAGCTGTTACATTAGAGCAAACAAAAAAAAGTGTATACACGCAAAAAGCGCGGTATTGAATGTATTTCTTTTTCGTAAACTAATTACAGTATTTTCACTTTAAATTCAAATGATGTTAGTTTCTTCTAGACGAATCAAAATTAATTTTTAGATTTTTAGCTTACCTTTTTTGGACAAAACGAAAAAGGAAATTAGACAAAATGGAAATTAGTTTTCAGATGAAGTGAAAAATAAAATTAAAATAATGAACTCACCCTGTATCATGGATTGAAAGCAGCGATAACTACTTCGGATTCATTATTGTCTTTTTCTACTGTCATTTTCAATAGAAGGAGATCTTTGTCTTTTTTGGTTTTTTTTTGTGTTTGCTTGGCTGGTCTTTGAAAATAAATCGGTCTTGCACCGTGGTCACGTAAACTAAAGAGAATCTCACAAAAGTTGAGGGTGGCGAGTAAGTCTCTGTTCCAAAGACGACGACCTTCTTTCAAGCATTGTCCATTTTTACACCTAGATGACATACAAATGTTATCAATAAACTAAGCATAATTAAAAGTTGCATACCTTAAAAGACCATGACGTTTTACGGTTGGATATTTTTCCCTTCTAAAGGGCCTTGGATTTACAACTTCTTTGAAAGTTTCTACATCACCTTTACATACCGGGCATATACTAGATGTTTTGAATTCATCAATCAGATGCACCAGAAAACCTTCTTTTTGAAGCATTCTTCTCATGCCAACTCCTCTAATCGGTTCATGGAACTTGACATTCCTGCAGACCAGTTACCAATAACAATAACAGCATCGTTGCCAAAAATTTTTCTGATATTCTTACAAAGACATTTGTCAGATTGCTGTCGATTAATGTAGCTTGACAGTTTTAGCTTTCGAAATGGTAACATATTAGTATTACGTTCTTCTAAAGGTAAGTCTTCATTCGAGTAGTATTCCTGAAGAACTTGAGTCACGGCAGCTTTATGTCTTATATATTCTACGTATTGAACTTTTATGACTGTGGATGACTTCAAACGTGAAAGAATTGCTTCTGCATTGCTTACGGCCTCTGGTTTCAGTCTTTCACAAAGTTTCATGAACTTTCTTGTTTTTGTTTCAATGTCCCTTTGATTTCTCGCATAGCGGTAAGTTCTTTTCTTTTCAACGGTACTGCTTTCGTGCATACAGAACAACATATCATGCCGTCCGGGGTCAATCAAAACACAATTATTTTTGTAAGTTCTTGAAGTTTTTCTTGCGACAGACTTTCTATATAAGCAATGTCTTCTTCTATCTTCTTATCATTTCGCATGCCGCCTCCAGAACCTTTCTTCTTACTGTCATAGGTCTGCTTCAAAATGGATACGGCAATACCATCTGTGTAAATAGTACCTCTAAACTTCATTTGTTTATTGTCTCCTTGAGGCTTCATAGCTTTGGATCTCATGTTCAGTACGGCTCCCCAGATTACTTCTTTGTCTAAGTGGCTAATGACAGAGTTTCTTAAAATTTGAGTGTTTACAATATATGTGTCTATAGTCATATAACTAGGTATGAATGTTCTTCTTAGAGGAAAGCAGTTGAACGACTTATTGTAGAGAGATTCAGAACATCGCGTCAGATAATAAAATGCCTTCAGATGCTTCGATGGGTCCGCTTTACAATCATAATAAATAGAATTCTTCTTGAAGTGAGTGTCAGGAGGGTAGCAATCAAAAAACTGTTGAAGGACGCCGACTTCTTGTGAGTTAAAAAGATGCGCTGGCAATTCAGTGATGTTCCTTAAAGAGATGTTCATTTTTACTTTGGTGCACTGGCTTGCTATGGTTTTGACCGCAGCAGAGATTTCGCTTTCTGTGCAATTTTTCTTTTTCATTTCACTTTTCAAAGCGCCAATTCTTTCCTGCTTCTTTAACAGTAGGTTCAAAAACATACGCAATCTGTTCCCGAAATGAAGAGCGACGCCATTCATGTATGCAGTGTGGATTTTCGTAGCTTCATAGCTTCCTATTTGTTGCGCATATTTCAGTTTGATTGGAACATAAGAGGAGAGTTGGCAATAGGTATCTCGATGCTTGTTGATAAGTTCCTTGTGACTTCTTGCCTTTTCTTTTCGTTTTGCTTTATCCGGTTTATAGCTATCAAGTAGTGAAATAAAGACTTCTCTGAAGAAATCAACATTGGGAGGATCCTGTAAAGCAAAATCCATGTTGTTTTCAAGTTCTTGCGTAAAGATATACTTCAAAAGTGCATAAGTATGTGTTACGAGAGTATGTACTTTAAGTACAAGAGATTTGAGACTTGGAATGTATCTCGTTTTCCACTCAATGCCAGTAATAGAACTTTTAACTGTAGTTATCCTTAGAGGAGGTTCCATAAGGAAAAAAAGAAGAAAGAGTACAGCTGACAGCTTTTCATCTTTTTATTCAGAGTTTCAATCACTGATGCATTATCTTTATTTGAGGCCCTACAGATATATGTCTATTTAATTGTGCGTATTTTATAATAATTGAAAATAACTCTGGCTTTTGTCCAGTACCTGAAAAATATAAAAAAGCCTGAGTAACTAAAAGTATGATTTGACGTGTATCTGCTAAAATCATCCCGCATCGTTATTTAAAGGAGAAAGTAACTTTTAGTTTCCTTTTTCGTTTTGTCCAAAAAAAGTAAGCTAAAATTCTAAAGATTAATTTTGATTCGTCTAGAAAAAATTAACATCGTCTGATTTTGAAGTGTAAAAACTGTATAAAAGTCGGTCAAAGAACAATGTTTTTAATTGGTTCTGAAAGAATTTTTGTTTAATTGGATTTTGTTAAGTTACTTGAGGAATTACTTGTATAAATCGAACTCATGAAAGAGAGAAAATGAGGAGCACAATGGTCAATTTGAAAAGACAATAAACTCTATATTCCTAGAATCTTTTTCTTTGTTTCTTTGATGAACGTTACCTAAGCACAAAAAACACATGATTTCATGTTACACTGTCTTCTTTCTATATCTTCTGTCTCTTCCAATTACATAACATAAATCGTCGACTTTTTTTTCTTTTTTTCTTTTTCTTTCCTTCCTTTATGGTTAATTTATAGACGCTATAAATTTTGTCTATTCACAAATAGATAAATAGAAATGGGAAACACTATCTCAAACTCAACATTAAGCACAAGAACATTCACTAATAGCAATGAATTCATATCAATTGAGAGAAGAAAAATACCAAGACATCTTCAGCCGTTGAAAAGAAAACATACATCAAAACATACAGGAGCAACCAGTAATGATGAACATGTTCCAGACAATCAGCAGCATAAAAAGAAACAGGAAAACGTAATTATAAAACACCAGACGTCAAGTAATGATAATGTCAATACTTTAATTCCACAAGGAAAGAACAACGAACTGAATGAAATTAACCAAATATTTATCGATCATTCTTCATCGAGTCCTCAGCTGTTTCGTTGGACAAAAGGAAGAAGATTCCAAAATGCAGAAGTAATGGAGGTTTTTATTACACAAACTTTGTTTTTTCTAGTTTTCCAGATTTTTCTGATTTATTCTGTAGAACATGCCTTATCCGCTACCAAATGATCAAATTGAAATTGATAGACATCGAGTTCAATTTTATGTTATACGTTGGGCATTTGAAAGGTAAATATACTGAAAGTATATATGTAGTATCTAATAATGATGGTAGTCGACACATTACGCCGCCTCCTATTAAACAAAAGTTATTCGAGGGTATTCGGGTATTGAACGTAGGGTAAGTTATGTGAATTATAATATACAAGTCCTCTTAAGCATATGTTTATATAGATGTGGACCTGGATTACGAGTAAGAAATGATATGAGATAGACCGCTGAATTCTAAAATGCATAGTTTAGATAGGCCATCCAATCATAGACATGGCTGAAGATTTTTGTAATTCTACTTTTGATGCCTTGGATGTCTGTAATTTACTGCCATCATCTAAAACTTCACCAAAGAACGATACACGCTCTGAATATGTTCATGTTACACCTCCACCAGAGAGAGAAAGCAATCTGCGATTCACATTACACAACATACTGGAGGGTCCATTACCATTTGAGTCAGAGACATTCGAATACGTACAACAAAGTATCACCATATTGGCATACAAAATAGAGGACTGGCCAGTTGTTCTAAATGAATTAAAGAGAGTCACCAAACCAGGGGGATATATACAGCTTATTGAGACTGAGCTTTATCCACATCAGTTGGGACCAAAGGGTGAATCATGGCGGGACCAGAGTATATATCGGACTAGATACATGCTGCATATATTAATCGTTTTATAGTTCTCGATGCCATTAAATCAAAACGAGGAAATGATGGTAGAATTACTCTTCAATTTGAAAGGTTATTGAATAATCTTGACCTTGAAGATGTTACTGTTAAATTTGTTTCAATACCTATCGGGTCATGGGGTCTTGATATTGGCAACTTATGGGGGCAAAACTTTTATGCTTTTTTGGAATCCGCTGGTACCTTTTTAGTTGATTTAATGCAAATGACCAATGCTGAATACAAGAAAGGAACACAAGGTCTTAGAGAGGAATTAGAATCTGGCGAGTATAAGGCATTTAGTAATGTTTATGTTGCTTATGGACGTAAGAAAAAAAACCATTGATATTGAATGAAGAAAAAAAAACCAACTATCTCCTTGTATTGTCTCCTTGTTTTCTTAAATGTTTATAAATCGATACTTTTTTGTTTGATTTGTTTATTTATCTTTTTTCTTCTTCTTTTCTTATTTCATGACAGACAACAATATACATGGGCATTCTGATAACACAGCTAGTTCAAGTTGTCCATACATAGACGCATCAAACTCATGTAAATCGTCTACTTTATTAGACACTTCCAAAGCAGTTGGTTCGATATCATTGTCTGAAGATACAGCTATTCTAAAACATGTTTCAGACCATCAGAATCGCCGCCCAAGTATTTATCCAGATCACCATCCACCTTCACAAGCACAGATAGACATTGTTCGCTATACCTGGGAACGCGTGATTGAAACACATCTACCCACAGACAGACCCAACGTATCTCCTTCGCATGCTTTTGGTTTGGCCTTTTATGACGCATTGTTTCAAATTGACCCAGCATTAAAACCTCTTTTTACAAACATTGTTCAACAAGCAAAAGCACTAGCTGGTATGATTTCTTATATCGTGAGATCACCTGAAGTCATAGATCCAAGACCACCAACACCGTCAGTAACAAACGAATCCTCTACTAAGAAAAGAGCACGCACCATTCGTGAGATAAATGCAAACAAACGGAAACAAAGCAATGCATCTAGCTTTCCTGAACTTATTTTACAAACTGCCTCCTCTAAAAACTCAGGCAAAACGAACGATACAGCAGCTAAAGACGACGAGTATCTGTTGTTATGCAAACTTCGAGAATTAGGTGCCCGCCATTATCTCTATGGTGCTAGGACTGAACATTTTGCGTTAATTGGGTCTGCATTATTAATTGCTCTGGAAGTGAGGTTAGGAAAAGAGTATATACCTGAAGTGGCAGAAGCTTGGATGCGAGTAAGTACTGCCAGTTATTGTGTTCCTGTTTAATTTTAGTGGTAGGCACATGCATTCACAGTTTATCATATGAAAACAGGCTTGCAATTGCAAATTGCTTGGGAAGAACATGAAAAAAGAGGCTCAAGTAGCTTAAGGCTTAATCATGTCTCAATCAATAGCAAGAATGCCAAAACAAACTGTTCAATTCAATAAAAACTGACTTCCTTCTTGGAGGTGCATCAATTGCATATTTGACGATATTATTGTTAATTTTTCTTTTTATTTGTTGACTCAAATTTACTTGAATCTTTGCAGTTGATCTATTCAAAACTAATAGATACTATCAAAAAATGCTTTACCTCTGATTCCATTGCATCGGTAGTAAAAATAAAGTAGCCCTGTATATGGTTCAAAAAGAACTACACACCCCACATCTCTTACTAAGGAAGAGAGAAAAAGTAAGAGGAATCCGTGATTCGAACACGGGACCTAAAGATTTGCAATCTTTCGCTACTACCGCTGAGCTAATCCCTCCTGATGACTGGCGAGTCTGTAAGTAACATTTCAGACAAAATTTAAAATTTCTATTACAAGTGCCCTTTAAACTTTTTGATTATCAAAAAATGCAAAGACAACACAATTCTTTGAATTTTATAAATATCAGAATTTTATGTTTGGTTCTTGATGAGTTATAGCGTTTTTTCTTCAAGGTTTCGGAAGATATGTAATTCCGAAACAATCATTATGTATCTAGTTTTAATGCGCAAAAAGGCACAAATAACTTCTTTTTCTTGTCTCATGGATCGAATGATATCTAGGGAAAAACTGTTTGATACCCTTTAATACCATTTAAAATTGAACTTTAATAAGACGATAATATCACTGCTCATCGTTGTTTAATCAAATATAAACTTAATATGCATAAAAAATAATGAATTGGCTTATGTGAGAACATACAGCTAATTTGAACAGTCGACCTACTCGAAGTCGCATCATTCATGATGCATATATATACTCTCAAAACATAAAAAAAAAGAATAGCATTAAATAGAAAGCAACACTAAATTTAGGGAGCTAATTTCTTTTTGTATTTCTTTTTTAACATCAACATAACTATAAATCATAACCAAGATCCTTTTTTTGAGATGGACATCTTGAAGTTTACACGAGATACCCTGCACTATACTGCCAGTTACTGTGAGGAGAACATCTATAAACTTTGTCAAGACATTCAATCCAGAAAACCAGAGTTACTCGAGTATTTTCAAGTTGTTTTTATCAGTAACAACAATCGAGCTGTAATTTATCTGTTCATTGTTTAGAACAGTTTTTAAGAAAGTCTTAGGTACCATTGTGGCAACAAAAAGTAGGCCAAGAAGAAGAGCATATGGTGATATGGGTAAAGTAAAATAAATTCAAGACAAAAAAAATTGATTTCTTATCATAGGATTACCATGTCATTCTTTATTTCGAAAAAGAAGGGTAAGTATATCTTCTATATATCACATATATAAATCCTTCGATAGTAGTGAATCACTTGTATATGATTTCGATACATTACTGCCTTTCCCAGCGCCAGCAGACATGTATGCTATGCACACCTTTAAGCCCAATTCGGTATTCAATAAGAAATACCAACATGCTTTCCGACTGATTCCAGCAGAAGTATATCTACAACAATTTCAATCTGACAGAAGCCACATGGTATTGTGTATATACGTCTATATTTCTCTCACATATTTTATAGTTAAAGAATGGAGAGTATATTGCAAAACCGCCTTCTTATCCTGCCATCACAAGAGGTAAGAAACACGCTACAAGTTCAGTATCTAATTTGTAAAGGGATGCATAATTTGGATAGCTTTATTTCAATGAACCCAAGTAGTGGTCATGGTACAGTACTTTCAAACGATCAATTCTTTTCAAAACTATTCAATACTTTGGATTGATTTTGCCAGTTGTTTCATATTGTTTAATAGCCTCTAATAAAGCTTCTTCAGGCACGCGATGTTGCATTAAAAATTGATCATTTAAATGGACAACAGGAATATCAAAGATGTATTTATCTCGGAATTCTTTAGGACAATCTTTGTCTTTATGAATATCAAGTACTTTTAAACTAAAAGGCGCCTAACAATATTTAACAAACCATTGCTTGTATTAAGCTTACCTTTTTTTGTACTCTAAGTATAGACTCTTTTGCAGTTGTACATAGAGAACAAGTACTTGAAGAGAACAAAGTCAAAGCTACTTTTCTAGTTGTCATTGAAATTAAAGAAAAAGAAAAGAGGTGTTAAACAAGTCACGACAGTTTGACATGCAAAAAAAAAAAAAGCTTTCTTTTTCTTCATGGCAAAGAAATCAAAGAGAAAACAGCCCTTCACCTCACAAACACAATCAACAACTTCAAAATTCAAGCATTCTCGGGTAGAGACTGCTCGTTTGATTCGTCGTTTTCATGTACTCAATAAAGAACTAGCAAAGTGTCGATCTGAAGTCCAGATCGACACAGCAAAAGAACAATCTATCTTGGTAGAAATGGAATCCTTGGGTGGTCTAGACTGGTATCAAAAAGCCTCCCAGTTAGGTCAAAGCAAGACAAGAGGAGGCGATTCTTCAAAATGGCTAGTTCAGACATTAAAACAGTATGGAGATAAAAACGTCAAATCACTGCGTGTGCTGGATGTAGGAGCTGTTGCGCCCGATAATTACAAGCCATATGCCTCTTGGATTACAGCTAAACCAGTTGATTTGAACCCACAGCATCCAGATATTGAGAAACAGGACTTTTTGAAAATGAAACCACCTGTGCAGGACAAAGACAAGTTTGATATTGTCTGCCTAAGTCTAGTGATTAACTTTGTGGGCGATCCAAGAGACAGAGGTAAAGCAAGCATACGATACAAGTATTTACTGATTGTTATAGGGCAAATGTTAATCCACACTCGAAATTTCTTAACTTCACCTACTATAAGTGATCGCCTGCATTATTTATTTTTGGTTGTACCTCTTCCTTGTGTGACAAATTCAAGATACATGACACATATACATTTATTAGAGATGATGACATCTATTGGATATACCAAATGTCTTCATCATCATTTCTCTAACAAACTAGCCTATTATTTATTTGAATTGACTGAAAAGACAAACGTCAAAAAGGTGCATTGGAAAAAAAAAGTAATACAAGATGGTGGTGGAAAGAATAACTTCTCTGTAGTAATAGAATAATAAAAGCTTTGTAATATTAATCATCTTCAGGCAAAAATCCCCCTCCACCAAAATCATGATTGGGTTCAATAGATCGTTCACCATTGAACTTGTCCCATTTGTCTTCTCCTCTTTCTTCAGATTTGCCGTATGTCTGATCCACACGAGCCTTGATCAATAATCCTTTGATAAGCTTTCTCCAATTTTTATAGACTTCTTCTTCTTTTTTAGCAATGGCTTTGACTGCTTCGCTTTGTTCATGTTCTTCCCATGCTTCTAACAAAATGTATTTGTTCTCTTCTGCTACAACAATACCATCCACAACAGGCACAGCTCTCATTTTTACAAAGTCAAAATCAACTATTGCATCAGCATAATCAATGTTAAGTTTCTTGGCCATTTTAGCAATGCCTTTGACTATACAATCGTGTGAGTAAAATAATTCAAATTAAATCAAACGTACTCGGTATATGCGCTGCTCCTTGAGGCAACATCTCTGGTGTAAACAAATCAATGCTTCCATAAGCATTTTTTACCAATTTACCCTATAGTTTGGTCAATCATAAGCCAACCTATACTTGTACCTACATTCACAACAGGTGGTGGACAGTAAGGTTGTGTTTGCCATTCTCCATAACAGGCAACAAGTAATTCTTGACCATCTTGTTTTGCTTGCTCTTTTAATCGTCGTTTTTCGATCGTCATTGCGTTTGCTTTGACCATTTTGACAGGCTGTTCTCCTTCTTTGATTTCTCTTCCCTTTTTACGGTACGCATCTGCTGTATTTACCGTCTTGACACAAGAACGAGGGTAGATTTTTTCACCTCGAATGCTGCCTAAAACAGGTTCTTTTGGATGTAATACCTCATATTTCTTCAAATGCCTTTCAAGTGCATATAAACTGTGGTTCTTGAACGCATTAATAGAAGTAGGCATAATCTCTCTTGTCTCTAATTCTTCCAGAAATGCTTGTTCTTCATTATCTCGTTCATCGTGTTTTTGAATCAAACAAGAGAGAAAAATATCAGACCAGAGTTTCATACCGCCCTCTTTTTCTCGCTTGGTCAAAGGTCTCTCTCGTAACCGAATCGCTCTTTCTAAGTTTGAGGTGTATCGACGAGTCACATCTACCACATTCTTGTTGTCATTGGAAAAAGCAAGCACAAAAGACATGCAGTTGGATCTGTTTAAAGCAGCTGGTTCCATCAATCCTGGCTTATCAATGTGTCCTCGAATCATATCAATGCACATCCATCGTTTGGTGTCAGGACACCATACTTCTGCCCACACACAAGGTGGTTTTGCTCTTGGATGACAGAGCTCTTTACTTGGATCCACATAAGTTCTTGATCTCGGCCTGAAGGGAAACAGAGTTTTGGTCTTCTCCTCTTCTTTTTCCTCTTCTTCTTTTTCTGTTGGCTCTCCTTTCTTTGTTGTTTCTGGTGCAATTTTATACGGTATAGGCTGTAATGAGCACACCAGTCGCGTATCACATCCACAAGCTCTTAAGATACCTACAAACAATTCAGCGCTTGTGTCTCTTGTAGCTGATTTACGAGACAAAAGATGCAGAAAGGCTTCAATATCTTTGATACAATCACCATATTCATCAGACTGTTCTTGATCTATCCATTGTCTAATCGTTATATCTTTCCGAATGGCTTCTGAATATGGGACTGTCAACAAGCCGGGTCCTGTCAAACGAAAGTAATCAGACCACCAACCAATCAACCATTTAATGCCTGTCTTTAATGCAGACTCTGTTTTATCTTTTTTGAGTAAGCGTTTTGCATGATCAGGGATAATGGAAAGACAGACTGACTATTTACAATGAGTGGTTGTGGTTCTGAATCATACTCTACCTTCATATCTGAGTGTGAGCACCATCTATTTCGCAGTTTATAATGGGCGACAAGCAAAACAACATGAGAGTGATGCATCCATTCTCTTAAATTGCGCTGGTATGCTCTTTCCCAGTTCGATTTCCTATACCCATGATAAGCATATGCATTCTTGCATTTGATGATTTACTTCAGAACAGGTCTTGGTGCTTCCATGACAATTTCAACATCGTTATAGACAGGTTTATCTTCATTTGGCATATCCTCAAACCGAGGAGGCAAATCAATATGCTCCCAATCAATTCTATCTTCTTCTTCAGTAGGTGGCAAGTCGATCGTCATAAACTCTTCATTGTCATACTCATCGTCAGTACTGTCAATAACTGTTTCTTCTATTTTTTGTTTTCCTTTACTCTTTTTTCGAGGAATATCATTTTTTTCTGTATCTCTTCTTTTTCTACTACGAGTATTTGCCATAAAAAATATGTCAAAAAGGAATTTTTTTTGTGCTGCGTGAATTTCCCTTTTTACTTTTTGCATTACCGAGTCGCAACGAAAAGATACATTACAGAATTGTACGACAAAGAAAAAAAAAAAAAGAGCTGATTTCACATTATCGTGTTTAAAAAAAAGGGCTAGGTTTTTTTTCTCTTTCTTTTCTTTTTCTTTATGTCTCTTCAAAACAAAAAACCACGTCAAGTTGCTATTGCAGTAGATCCTTTATCCGAAGAAGCCAATAAAACAATTTGTTGGGCCAAGGAAAATTTCTTTAGACCTACAGATGAAATTCATGCTGTTATGGTCATGGTTCTGGACTGTGAATTTGGTGAACAAGGTAAACATATCTAGTTCTGTGGCTACTCATAGGGTAACATATATATATATATAGAAGCAATCGAATTACCACCTACGGACTCGCTAGAAACTATTGAAAAAGAGGCAAGTATACAACTGTTTTAAATGATCTTGCCAACGTATATCTCAGTTGACATTGGAGAAAATGAGAGCAATGGATAAAATAGTTCAGGAGATTGAGAAAGATGGATTCAAGGTCATAAAGCATGTCTTCAAGACTGATTCGACACATGCTTGTAATGTGTTGGTTGACTATATCGAAACAGAGAAGAAAGATTGCTTGATACTAGGAAGTAGAAACTTATCAGGATGGAAAAGGTTGAGTAAAGCAGCGCATGTGTAGTATTTTAATCGTGTGTATCCATAGATTTTTTATGGGAAGCTTTAGTGACTATGTACAATCTCATGTGAATTGTCCAGTTTTGATTGTTAAATGATTTTTATTCATCTTTTGGATGAAGGGGAAAATACAATAAAAATATTCTTGAGTTTCTTAAAGATACCTGTTTTGGGCTTTTTCTGTGTTTTGTCAGAAGGGATATCTTTGACGCAGTCTTCAATTTGACTTGTCATGTCTTTTGTGATAGCAGTCGTCTGTTGTGTTGAAAGACTGTCAGAAGGAGCTGAAAAGAACCCATTTTTCTGAAGATCGGTTAAGATGAATCTTTCTTTACGCCTAAGAGTAGGCTGACGGCTTTCTGATTGATCTTGTTCTAATGCGAGTGTCTTTTCTCCATCCTTCTCATATTGATACTTGTTACTTTGTGCTCCATACAAAAGACTTTTGTCAGTTACTGGATGCTCTACAGCATTGTCGTTTGTCATTTGGAAAGTAAATAAATACAAAAAAAAACAAGAAAGAAAGAGAAAGAGAAAGACAAAGAACCACTTTAAATATACACAGTCTACTTTGATCGTGGTTTCTGACAACAGTTACATATCATTTTTATTTACAACTATGTACATGGTATTTTTCTTTTTTTTTCTCTACCAACACTCATCAAATAAACCAGGAATGACCATGGCTTCAATCAAATCAGCACCTTGAATGCCTTTTGAAGCTCGTGTCATATAAACAGACCTTTCTTTACGTTCTCTAACAAATTCAAATTGTGGAGGTATAGTAGGAATGCTAAAGTAGTTTGGAGGATCATCCCGCGGTGTAGAAGTCATCAGTGCTTGTTGGATTGAACCCATCATCTGATTCGATACAGTAGGTTGTTCAGCTGGCTCATCCAACGTAGGATCAAAGAATCTAGGGGGCTCTTTGCTTGTCTTGTAAAACTCAATGGATGTCAAGCTAGGAATACGCAGCAGTTGGTCATATGGCAAATTAGCAATCGTGATAGGAATAGTAAACTCAGTCGTATGGGTTGATTTGAACAGCCCTCCCGAGTCCAAAGTGACAGAAAAAAGAAGATCATAATAGACTCTTGTATGATGTGAGATGAAGGAAGGAGAAACGAGTCGAGTAGGCACATCAAATGATATATCTTGTTCCATTTTAGACTCCGTACCAGGAATTGGGATTTGGCCCTGTAGTACAACACGTATATGTTCTCGGAAAGCAGTACCCTTTTGAACGAGCATTTTACCTTCATGGTGCTTACGAAACTTGAAATGCACTGAAACAATACGAGAATCTGGTTGTCCTGCAAATAATTTCAAATGCATCACAAATGGCTCATCTAAAGAGAGTTGTAAACAACTTTGGTTTTTGTTCAAAAAAGATCTTACCTGGACAATACGATTGTTTTAACAGCTTGGCAAACACTTCTACAGCGGCTGATTTTTTGTCTCGCATCAAGGTTTTTTTAAACTCCCATTCTCGGTCTAAATTCGAGCTGTTAGATCCTACTATAAATACAACTATGGTTTACCTGGTGTAGAAACAATGATAGGTCGATAAGGAGTCAAATATTCTCGACTTTTTAATCCTGAATGAAGAGCAGGACCGTCCGTCTGTGCTGTCCAGACATAACGAATACCAAAACCCTTGGGTTCTTCCATTGAAGGCGGGTAATTCACGTTAGGAAACTAAATAAAGTAGTACAAGATTGTTTTAACTTGACGTTACATATGATGTCAATCTATGACAATATACCTTCAAAGCAAAAGGAAATTCATATACGCCTGCTTCTAATTCATCCCATCCTGCTTGTGAATATGCTATTGAAGATTAAGTACAAGTCTGAAAGGCTTATTTTTTACCTGTTGCTTCATTTCCCCATAATTTCCAATCTACATCAAAAAAAGTAGTGATTGTCTCATGTAAACGATCGCCTCCTTTGCTGTCTCCTGCACCTTCATCGACTCGAACAAGTGCCACTTCTTCTGCTCGAAACTAAGAGAGAAAAAAAATGACAGTTCAATAACTATCTCCCCTCTCTCCTTTTTTTCTATAGGTGTACTTACTTTAATACGAATTCTGGTCACATACAAACGTTCAGTAGCATTCAATATCACTTTTCCACGCACAATACGATTGGGTCTTACAATAACATGCGAGCCACCATCAAATTCTATGACCATCGTGCTTGCTGGAACATCCACTAGACCCGCTTGTGAAGAACGTCTATTGCTTGTACTATCTATTGTAGTGGATATCAAATGAGAGTGACTTGTAGGTGCATTAGAAGAAAAATCACCGGAAAGACGATGGTTTTGAGTCACATTTGTGTGTTGAGGTGGTTGAGGTACAGATAAAGAAGCTGCTGTACTATTATTGCTTGTATGGACCGAGCTACGGTGCCTTGTGGTAGCAGCACGAGCAAGGTTACCAATAGTATGCGTAATATTGCTTGGGTCAGCAATAGTATCTGAAAGATTAGGCATGGAAAAGAACGATAAAAGAAAGAAAGAAAGAAAACGCTGGATTTTAAATTTATTTTTGACAATGCCGTCATTGCCTGCCTGTAAGCTGGACATTGACTCTTTTGTGATCACGTGATGTAGCTGGTTATATTTTTGGAAAAGAGGATTTAGACTCACTGGAAATCAGAATTTTAGAATTGCTCAGTGTGATTTTCTCAAGTTTTTTTAAAACTATATTTTCTTGAAAATTGTTTGGCACAGTAACAAAGAAACAAGTGAAAAAAATAAAATAAAAATAAAGTGTGACTCAGAGAGCATTGTACCACAAAGATTGTTTATTCGCATTGTCAATCTCTTCTCAATTGAACATAGAATCAGAAAAGTGTAAATTTATACAAACAACATTATTTTACTTTTGTTTGACTAGGTGCAAATATGGTATACATGTAGTGTGTATGAAGTCTATCGGAATTCAATAATACCATCTATTCTTTGAGTGTGTAACACATACGATTATATTATTACGGATACTGAGACTGTAACAGAAAACACTTTTATGAATTTATTTAAACGACAAACTTTTCATGCTTGTACAAGTCTTGATCCAGCATATGTAAGCCTAGGCCTTCTCCACCAACACGTTTGAGTTGAGTATAGCCCTTGGCAACATTTTCAATGGTTTGAACCTTGGCCTTTAAATGGTTTGTCCTATCCATTATATATATATATATATTTTTTAGTGATTATATATATATAAAAAGAGATATATCCCTTACTTTAAAGTGTGTTTCAAATGGGGATCTGTTTCGTTATAGGCAATGATAGTCAAGTTCAATAAAGACTTGTTTACATCCTTTTCAAGAGCTAAACATGTCTCAACAGCATTGACAGCCGATTTCCAATCAAGCTATCTCGATTATTTTTACTACGCCAAAAAAAAAAAAGAAAGCTTCCCACTTACCAATGGTTGAGGTACACTTCCAATAATACAGATGCCACCACGAGTGATTTGATAATCAATCAAATACTGAGCTAGTTCGCCTTCATGTTCTGCACGCTCATGAAAGAATTTCGTAAAACCCTAATATTTCAAGATAAGATATATGATACGCGTCTATCATTTTACTTACAGGTAAAGCAGCTTCGCAGTGATTGAAATAAGCAGCAGCAGATAAATAGGTCTGTTGAGCCATTTGATGCATTTGAATCTGAGTATTGATAGCATCTTCAGCTGCTTGACTAAAGTTTTGCTTTGCAAGTGATGTAGCAACCATCTTTTTGATATGAATATATATATATTATTCTTATTAATGTAAGAAAGAGGGAAAGAAAATATATACTTGAAGAAACAAAAAAAAAAAAATTGACACAAAGCCAGATTTAAATCGAATCGTTGTGTAACTTGGATAAAAAATGCTTGATTTTGATTTGCTATACAAAAGAATCTTGTTTGTTATTGTTTTTTTTTATTGAGCAGAAGCGGATTTTCGTAACTTGACAAGGAAAGCAGTATGACCTTTGACATCAAAATTTTTTGGTCTGCATACCCAAGCATCTGGCTTGATTTCTTCTGATGGTTGACGACTTCTGATATGTGTCGCTCTTACTTCCCATTCTTTCCATTCTGCCTCAATACATGCTTCCATCACCAAAGGTAAATCAAGAATCTTTTCTGCTAGAGTAAGTACCTGTGTCATATTGGGTAAATAACACACAATGAATCGATCATTTCTTAAATAAGGCAAGAGTCGAGGTATTTGATCGTTGGGTTCAGGCATATCAAGGGCAATTGCATCATATTGCTCTTTTGGTTCCATCAACAGAGGAAGTTGGTCAGCTACTGCACCAATATGAAAAGAGACATGTGGGCTGTATCTTCCTCGAGCATAGCGTTCAACATGCTTTTTAGCTGTGTTTGAATGGGATTCTCGAATGTCAAATGTATCAATGCGACCTGCAGAATTACCTGCCACTGCTCTTGCCATATAAAGTGTTAATGATCCATTTCCTGTGCCTGCTTCAAGCACAGAATGTCCAGGTTCCAAATCTAACATTTGTACCTTTAAAGAGGTGTGTTAGTCATACTTGTATATTGTGCTATCATATTACAATAGTAGCAGCATCTTTAGGATAAATTGGCGTACATGCTCTTGGCACATTTGTCACATACCTGTATAGAGTTAGTTTTTCAAGGCCCTTTTCTTCTTTTCTGATACTTACTCTTCCAATGTGGGGAAATGCGCCATATATTTAAAGCTTTCTAAACAAAAGGGCTTAATCATTTACTTTTTGGCACTTGTCATGGCTTACCATCCTGTGTGTTAAGAATAGATCTTGTCTTTTTTCCAATAATGTCATCGTGAGCTACAACACCACCTCGAAGGCTTCTTGTGCCTGCCTGTTCAAGAGGACCGACAAAGATCTTTTTGCTTGACTTCAGTTGACGAAGCATGCAAAAGTCTCCTTGTTCAAAAGTGTAAAAAGATCTTATTTGTCTACATGATCTACTTAACATGCCACATGTTGAGCTTTTCAAGATCATCATGATTGAAGAAAAGGAAAAAAAAAATAGATCTCGAAACGGTACTTGAATCGACTCGACGCGCCCCGTTATCCCTTTTCTCTCCCACTCTATAAGCTTGCATAAAATGGATAATATTCAGACCAACGATGACATTGTGAGAGGAACTAATGATGATGCTACAGTTAGCCGATTGCAAGTAAATAAAGAGTTTGATTCTTGTAGACTAACAACAAACCAGATCTGCTGCTTCACTCAACTATATACAGGATCCTTTTGTCCAGTTCTTTGTCAAAAAGCCTATTCGTCGCTCACCTATTATCAATAGAGGTAATACATATGTATATAAGCAAGTTTATTTACTTGGCATAACTAGGTACCTTTATTCGTTGTTTTGCCTTAGACTCGATAGTATCACAATTCCTTGCCCTACCAGGTCCTAAAAAACAGATTGTTGCTTTAGGTGCAGGATTCGATACAAGATACTTTAATATTAAGGTAACATCACTAGTTGTGAAATACTTATCAACAAGCTCTGCATAGGCTGGTCATCTAGGCGAGACACTCTTTGATCGTTTGGAACGATATTACGAGGTTGATTTCCCTGAGATTACCATGAAGAAAGCCATGTCAATCAAAAGACGCAAACAACTCGACACACTTGTTGATCATACAGAAATAGAGCGTGGAGGCATGGATTTTAAAAGTGATCACTACTGTCTACTTGGTGGTGACTTACGAGACTGGCAAGATGTCTCTAAAAGACTGATAAAAGCTGGCCTTAATGTTGAGTAAGCGATAAATTAGACGTTCGTATCATTGATGTTGTTAGATTGCCTACCTTGTTTCTGTCTGAATGTGTCTTTATCTATTTATCACCTAGTGATTCCAGCCATATTCTACAATGGATTACAGATCATATGAAAAATGCCATGTTTGCTTTGTACGAGCAAATCAAGCCAGACGATGCTTTTGGCAAAATGATGATACGGAACCTAAAGAGTCGAGATATTGATCTGAAAGGCATACACGCCTTTCCTGACTTGATACATCAAGAAAAACGATTTAAAGATCTTGGTTGGCAGAGTGCCAAAGCAGTGGATATCAATACTATTCATGATACTTGTCTCAATCAATCAGAAATAACAAGGCACGTATCTATCTAACAAGAAGATGAACTAATATCTTTATAGAATAGCCAAATTAGAGATTCTAGACGAACTTGAAGAATGGCGCCTTTTATCGGCTCATTACTGTGTTGCATGGGCAATTCATTCAGTTGATTATGAAAGCGAGTTTAGTCACATTGGACTTCAATTGTCTCCTTAACCACTCTAAGATGTAGTACTAAATTTAAAATTCAACATTCATCGTTTACTTAATAAAAAAAAAAAAGGAGGAGGGGGGAGAGATAGAACCATTTTTTCTTTTGCAGGTCTATAAAGGGAAGGAAAAAAAAGGAGGGGGAAGGAGAGGGGGAGGAGGACAAACTATTTGTTATATTAAGCCATTTATTTTCTTTCTCTTTTTTCTTCTTTTTATACAAAACAATGTTGAACTCTCAAATTAATTGGTTTATTGGTCTTTTTTGTCTACTTCAATTTGTTACTTTGTCTGTATCCGCCGCAACTTGTGCTGCCGAAGCAAAGTAAGTTTACTCTTACTTGTTTGAAGACTCACTTTTATTTAGCTTTCAAGGATGTAAAACAATTCAGGAAACTGCACTCAAAACATGTGGGCCTGTTGACTATGCTTGTCAATGTAAAGCTCAGGTAAGAGAAAATAGCTGTGATTTCTTTCTCTAAATTATCTTTGTAGAACTTGATTCGTCAATGCTATGATTTGTGTCCAGAGTATTCTTCAGACGCGACTATTCAAAGTGGCGTTGCTGCTGGCATCTGTGCTGCTGTTCCCTCAAGCTCTTCTGTTGCGTTGCCCTCAGCTACTCTTCGTCCTTCCAATGTAGTAGCTAGCGTCAGTCCCAGTGTTGCTGCTTCAAGTAGCACACCTTCTGCTAGTACGCCTACCAATACGTCCTTTGCTCATCATATCACACCCATGACCCAGTGTGTTTTTGTTGTTGTGTTTGTTGTTATTAGTGTCATTGTTTAATACATCTTTATTAATACTCGTATGCATCCTTGTACTTTTTTGCATGTTTGGCACGATTTGCGTTCTTTCTTGATCTAACTGAGCTCAATTCATCGTCTTCATCATCCATACCACTATCCATACTGATTTGCTCTTCTTCTGAATCGTCGTCTTGTAGACCACCTGAAAATACACCTTGAACGAGCTCATTGCTTTCGAAATGATTAGCTAAGCCTGCCCCTAAAATCGAACGGAACGCATGCAGTTCCAAGATTTGGGCTAAACAAAGGAAAATCATTAAACAATCTTACATTTCTCTTTACCTTACCCCAACCACGAAAGATAAACTTTTGTCGGCCCAACTTCAACTTCTCTTTAGGTCTGCTACCTGTTTGAATACTCTTTAGAATATCTCGAAATGCACTTTTTTGTTCTTTTCTGTCTTGTTTGTTGACACGACGACTACTTTCATTCGCAAGTCGTTGCAAAATATCAATCAAATCGTCTAATTCTTCATATTCGCTCATATCGTTTTCTTCGACTTCTTGTGCATCTTCTTCTAGCAAATCATTCTTTTTCTGTACATGAGAGCATTCGTACATGAGAGCTACATTTTCTCCAGCAGCTACGCGTACATCCTTTGATTTGGATTCCAATAAGTCTAAATGAGCTGGCATAGCACTAATCTAAAGTCAGTTACAAAGCAACACAGATCTTTTAACTTACGATTGCCATTCATCCCAAGCATCGTCTATATTACCTCTCTGTTCACCAAAAACAGAAGCATAAAGTAATCCATAAGCATGTAAAGTAGATTCCAAGACAAGTAAAACATCCTGAGTAGATAGTTCTGCTTCATCCGGCTGAACATTATTTGCATTGGATATAAGAATCTTGTAGAGATAGTCTAAAGCACCTTTTGTGCTAGAGGTAGAGGCAGCAGCAAACGTTACAGTAGCCAATGTGTCAATTGCCTGTTTTTACTTATAATTAGATATTTCCTCAGTAATATCTGCGTATCTTACCTGACACTTGAGTTCAACATGAGTAGAGTCTTTAATCACATCTTTAAGATAGGGTATCACCATAGCATACAGTGATTCTTGTTCACTCTCAGATTGTTCCCCAGCATTAACAAACACTAAACCAATCACTCGAGTTGCCAGCACAGCTTCTTCAGGTGTACCAGGCTTACGCATGAGTCTCAACAAGAGCTGCAGCAATGCCTCTTGAGCTGAAGAATGACTATCAAAAAATGATCCACAATAATAATGTCTCATCACTTTTGATAGATTGGTCAATGCTGATTCTCTGGAACTTGCTCTTTTTTCACCCAGCTCGTCAACGCAATGCCTAATATCGTCTTCTAATACAGAGCTGTCAACATCAGGTAAGACAGAGTCACCAAGTACAGACGAGGACTCGGATTCTGTTTCTGATTCTGCTTCTGAACCTACAGGTGTGCCCAAAAGATCCAATGCAGCTAGTCTACTTTGCTGCTTAACTACTTTTTTTCTTAAACTATTTGACATAAAGAAGAAGCAAAAAAAAAAAAGAGAAAAAAAAGTGACAAGGGATTGTATACTCGCATGATATAATTATCACGTAAGACAAACATATTTAATGGGAAAACTGATTATATCAGGTTAGTTTAACTATAGACAAATATGGTAATAGTGATGGGGTCTTTACGCGGTAACATCATGAGATTGTACATGTATACGGGAAAAGCACGAACTTTAATTTTCCCTACACATATAAATATAGTTCGTCTTTTTTCTATTCTTCTTCTTTTTCTTTATCAATATGGACACTACTTATCTTGTTTATCCACAAAAAGACATGGATGCAGAATTAACTCAGAAGCGTAAGACCTCTGTTACTTTTGATCTGCCGGCAGAACAACAAGGTGACGAGGAAACTGCCCAAGAGCTGTTGTCACCATGCGCTACATCACCTACCATTGATATTCATGCTCAGATTGTACCTGATACTATGCTTGTTGCTTTATTTGACCGTGCATCTGAAATGAAAGAACTTATTCATTATAACAAAACGTTCTTTTTAGCTCTAAAGTCTCATCTTGGTACAAAATGGCCTCGATTTGAAAACACATTGTATTGCGAACGCCAAAAAATGCCTGATTATGAATGGATGAAGCGTATTTCAAAAGCATTACAGGCTGTACCTTCATTGCTCGAGAAATTCAAAGAATTAGTAGGCTATTTGGGTGAGGAAGAAGAGGAAGAAGAAGCAGCAGATACCGCAAGTGATTATTTCTTTTCGCATGTGCCTATCAGTCGTATCCGAAGAATGCCTCAAAGACTTTCAAAAGAATCTTATCCTCAGTTCTTTATTAATTGCCAAGAAAGTTTGGGAGATGATTATCAAGCATTTTATGATCTGTTGTTCACAAGTCCTGATCAACTCGAGGATCATGCTTGGGAACAACAAATGCACGAACGCTTAAAATCCCGTAAAAATATCTTAGAGCAACTGCAGGAGATTGTTGCATATGAAATAGAAGAAGAGGAATAACAATAATAATAAAAAAAAAGCTCGCTTAAATTTGCATATTTATTTGTTGATAACAATATCATTTTCTTTCAAGGCAATGATTTCAGATTCTAATTGCATCTGTGCAACTAACGTTAATTGATGTCGCTTTTCTTTTTCAATTGGAAATTCCTAATAACATGAGTCATCAATAAAGAAACTTTCTTGCTGTTTATTTTTTTTTTTTTTTACCTGTCTTAATCTGTCCACAGATACTTCAAGGTTTGGATCACGAATTAAGATCTCTAACAATTGACTGGCAGTCTTGCCCATGATATGATTTGGCATGAGTTGTTTACACAAGATTTTCATTGCATTTAGCCATTTCTCTCTTGATGCTGTATCTGATAATAAAGTCTGTAGTTGGTGAGCAGGTAAAGGCTCATTTGATATGGGTTGTGTATGTTGAATCAAAGGCATAATTTCATGTTGAAATGCGTCTAAATAACGCCCACAATTCTCTATTGTAAGTGGTGATGCTTTGCTGTTGTTAATAGTCAAGGTAGTTATAATAGAATCTAGCATGTTTAAATGGGCTGGGATAGAGTCTTGTGCAGGCTCTATCAAGCAATAAGCCATCTTTGGAATAAATATACATGCATTTGAAATTACCTTGCGAGGATAGCGCTGTCTGTTGTTGCATTTCTTTGATTTGTTGATCCAATTCTTTCAATTCTTTTAGCAAGCGGTCCTCTTCTTGTTCTTGTTCTCTCTCTGTATTTCGTGTTTGAATACTTGCTTCTTCAAGCTCTTTTTCGACCTCTAAATTCTCTCGTTTTAACATCAACACTTGATTATGCTACAACCCTATATAAGCGTCTATGCTTTTTAAATATCACACTTGCCTCTTCTATGATCAATTCGTCTTCTGCTTCACATAGTTTATTTAGGTTTTGATTTCGAATGTCAACTTGTTTCAATAGACTGGATTCTTCTATTGTGAGTTGTTTAAAAGGGCGTACTGGCGCTTTTCTAACTTGGCCTTCTTTAAGGTTTTTAAGGTACAGTTCCTGTTTTTGAACTCGATCCAATAAATCCGTTTCGATCTCTTTTAGAGCAGCAATGGAAGCATCAATACTTTCTGAGATTTTTTTCCCATTGCCTGTTGTCAACAGTTTATCGACTTCTTTCCTCACTTGTCTAATATCACTCACAGTAGCTAAATCATAATTCTATTGAGTTCGTAAGTGTCAATTCGTTTTTTTTTTTTTTTTTTTTTTTTTTTTTTTTTTTTTTGGTTTCCTTACTCGAGAATAATCAAAGATTTCTTTGTAAATAGCTGTTTCTATTCGAACAGGTTCAAGTAAAGACAGGAGTGAATCTAGCTATATGGAGATGAGCTTTTCTTTTTTATTCTCTTTGAGCGTCATACCGTACAGTTTGGTTACATGAAGTTAAGCTATCTACACAGCTATTAAGAGAGTCAAACATAGTGTTTGAATATTCTGATCGACTCTTTTTGCCCAACATGGATAAAGAAAAAGGGAAAGGAATGTACAACAAAGAATAGAAAAAAAAAGTTTTTTTATTCTTTTATTAGAGCACAGTTGAATCAACGATATCGCGTCTTGGGGGGGGGGGGGAGGAATTTTCAAGAAATGAAGCGATACGCATTATTTTAGTATATTACAAAAGAAGAAAAAGATAAAAAGCACTTTGCTCTACTACATATCGTCTTTAAATTTGTCTCGAAAAGATATGTTGCAATGTATGTTACCAAAATGAATATGAAAACACTGTTATTTAAGTGACATAAATGAATAGGAGAGAGCTCAGTTTAGCATCATTCTATTTGGAAAACACAAGAAAACAGCTTATAACAAGGTATGTCATGTTTTCCATGTAATCCTATCAATAAAAGTGTGGCGTTCTTTACATCATTAAATTTTTGAACTAAGCATATACAACTTTTACTAAGACATCAAGAAGAAAAAATGGTGTTAAAATGTTCTTTTGACCAAAAGTTTGATCTGAGCAAAATTCGATAGCCAGTGTAAACTCCGACACACCTATATAATATGCTTCTTTATTCTTTCATGTTATGCAAGCTCATCTTCCAGCAACTGACATAAACCATCCTCTTGACAATGAAGCATCTTATCAGACACCCAATTATAATACTCATTTTCGAGCAATTGGCATTCAATCAAGTTTAAAATACGAAAGTTCGACAGCAATTCATACCGAAGCACACCTAACCTTTCCTTCATGATATCAATCTCGGCTGCCATAGTCCTATGTTGTTTGCTTGTCCATTGATATCGTACTTTTGCCTCTCTGAACAAGTTGTAGACTGTGCTGTTGACATGGACCATTTGTTTTTGTGCCAATTGTTCTTCTACATCACGCAGATAGATACCGTACCAAGTCACTGTCTGTTGATCCTGTAACAAAGCTTGATATCTATGCTGAACATATAATTGGTATATAGCAGACAATATACACATCAAGCCCAATATCCACGTCCATAAGGAAGGCATCTTGTTTTCCAAACTAACATAGGGTCTTTTATTTGGTATGTCAGTTGGTTTTGGTTTTGGTTTATCTTCTTCTTTTTGTTGTTGTTTTGTTTCTTTGGATACTTCTGCTTTGACGAGAGGTAATATACCAGCAATTGTTTCTTGCATACCTTTGATGGCTGCACGATTGACCATGCCTTTGACAAAGATATTCTTTAACCATTGAACACCAATAGAACATACCAGTCGAGACTCTGTAGGCGATACAAACGTAATGCAGTACTTGATGGTAGGCAAGAATGCATCAGCATAAGGTAAGTGAGGTGTCTTGGTTTTCACCACCACAGTATAGCACAGATGAGGTTTTTCTTGCAGGATATGTTGTGTCTCAATCACTTGGGTCTCTTTGGCTTTAATCATTGGATTGGATACAGGCATGATATATTGCATCGTACGTTCTTGGTTTTGCCAGGATGAAAATTCAGGATCACTACAGTCTTTAGATTGATTTAATTTTGTCCATACTGTACTTTGATCTGAGAACAATAGATCAAATAACTGCTTAGCATTGCAAGAGAGAGCGAGATCAGCTTCTATCTTTTCAAGATGGTCTTTACATCCACAAGAGACAGGTTCTTTAGGTTGTGGTATATCGGATGGCCAATCATGGTTTGAAGGTGTTGTTGTTGTTGTTTTTGTTGAAGAAGTAGGCTTCATGATAGATTTTCGTTTTTGTTGGTTACTCTTTGCTGCTACAGCAGCTAAAGCGCCTTGTGCAGGAGAATTATGAGCAAAAGATGTGCCTGTGTTATCTTCTTCATGATGATGGCTGGTACTATGATTGTCTTCTCCCTCATCTGTTGTTGTGGTTGTAGAAGTAGAAGCATTTGGTTTAAGAGATAAGTACTGTTGTTGTGCTTGCACGGTAATTGGGGTGATAGAAGCATATAAAGCACTGGATGTGGTGACATGGTTTGTAGGTATCTTTTTTGTTTTAGGGGGAGGGTTGATATTTCGAAGAGTATCATATAGTTGTTTGATATCCATGGTCTTGTAATTCTCGACGGCACATTTTAGTTTCTCTGAAATCATGCTGGGGAGTGTAAGCCAAAGACTAAAACAAAACTGCTTGGGTTCTGTATCAATCAGCATCATTGTGTCTTCTAAACGGACAGATTTGATCTTTTCAAACGGAATGACGACCATATTGACACACGTCATGAATGTACAGCTGTAGAACCAAAGGTTAGTTTGGGTTAGATATGCTTTTCCACTATAGCCAAAGGAGTCTTCTAAAAAAGGATAGAAAGAAGCTACAAATGACTCGAGCACAGTCTCTTGTTCAGGCACATGACTAAAGTATCTTCTTAATTCTCGTTGACTTTCTTCTAAGTAAGTAGGATAGGGCATCAAGCTAGGCTTCGAGACATCCATTTCCAGTTTTGTAGGCCAAATAACCACTTGGTTTGGTTCATGTAAGGCTATTGATTTGTTGTCTTGCAGAGACTGATCGTCATCTAGACCAGCAAACGCATTAATACCCGTGCTTAACCAAGGCATTCCCCAAGAAGAGAGATGGTTAGAAATATTGCTGTTTGTATTTGTCTGACTGGTTGCTTCACTGGTTAAAGCAGACTGATAACTTTCTCGAATCATGAGGCAAGTTAAGGAAGAAGTAGTTGTGGATGAATTGGGCTCTAACTTGGGGCTAGGCAAAGGAGAAGTAGACATGGCAATGAGACCATCTATGTTTGTGCTTTTCATATTGGTCTTGGGAGACAACAATGCACCAAGTGATGGTGTTGAGGTTGATGCTGGATTGTCTCTGCTGTTCTCAATAGCCCATAGCCATTGTTGCATTTCTTGTTCAGTTTCTGCTTGTAAATAGAAAGTATATTTAGGATGAGTTACTTCAAAACAAAACCGACGATCCACATCTGAACATATACGAAAGATGGCTTCTGAGATGCGAATACGGTCACCCAAAACAATACAGCCTTTCTCTTTTTGAACAGTAGACACAGTGCATGTACCAAACCAGCCATCTTGTAAGAAAAACCACTTTCTGTTCCATGGTGGTCGAGTAACTTTGGGTGTAGCAATACGACAATTAAGATAGCCTTGCTTTTCATTCTTGTTTGTGTCTGGTGTGCTTAAATCATCATCACTTTCCATAGGGGATACAGCAGACATGGGATCATTACTTGAAGTAGAATATCTCTTGAGAGAACGGTGTGGTTTAGACTGGTTAATGTACGCATCCTGCAGCTCTGTATATCGCTTGTTCATCTTTTCCAGTTGGTAATCACTGGTTCTTTTCTTTTCGTCTAGCCAGTATTTCCAACCATTGATTTTTGTACGTGCATGAGCACACGCTGCTGCAGATTCGTCAATATCATCAATATAAGCGTCTAATGCTCCTGTAAAGCAGCTCACTAGCATTTGTTCTAGACTTTCTTTGAATGCTACTAATATTGAAAAATACTCGCCACTGCTGCGGACATAGGCCTTGCGCAGTTCATGCATTTGAAAAGCATCTTCTCTTAAAGCACTTGCTTCTTTTTGTTTACTAAGTACATGGTATCTGTTTAATTGTGCCTCATATCGGTCCAATGCCCTTTCGAATTGTTTTCTGCTTTCTTTATAGCCCTTCAAGTCATTCTTGATCATCAACTGTAAAGGAACGAGTAGCGAATCCTCTAAATCAGAAGCCTACATTGTATAAGCAAACAAAATAAAGAAGGCATGTCTGTTTTACCATTTTCGTTTTATATGCAATAGTAGACTGTAGGGTAGTAGCAAATCTTGTTACTACATTGCCTGCAATCTTATCATCTATCAACATGTTAAATTGATAAAACACGATGTCTTTTTTTCTATACCAATCAAGGTGCCATCCAGACCAGTTAGTAGTGTCTTCTTACATAGCGTGCTTGCCTGTATATTATGTTCTATGAACAACTTAATACAAATTTATAAAGAATAAACATCTTACTTATCATGGTTTCAATGTAACTCTTTAATGCTTTGATAAACCCATCTATCCATTTCTCAAATATATCAATCTGATCTTGTAAATGTAACACATTAGCCCTCCAAACAGGCGAATCAAGCACAACATCTTGTATTGTCAGTATATTTGTAGAAGAAGAGACAAGGGATGGTACTTCTTGATGTGACATGATGAAACCTTGAAAACACAAAAGTAACAACGATTTACATTTTTATGCAAATCTGCAATTTTTCATAGTAATTGGGGTTTTTATTATTATTATTATGATGATGATGATGACAGCATTTTCATACCATATCTGGCAATATCCATAAGGATTTGTGCTGCCTAACAATGGGTTTAGAAAAAAAAATTAAATAAAGTGTAGCTTACCTCTAGTAGTTGCGTTTGTTGTTGTTTAGTCATACCAAGACGTATTTCAGTATGTTCCCAGCCATGTTTCTGAAGACAATTCAAGTGTTTGTAATTACAACCACAGTATTCACATTCAAAAGAACCTCCTTGACCTAAACAAGACTCTAAATGGACACATTCATTGTCTGCTTCTGATCCTTCGTCGTCTGTATCTTCTCTTGGTGAAGCAGAAGCAAAAGAAGCCAAAGTAGCAGCAGAAGCAAAAGAAGCCAAAGTAGCAGCAGCAGCAGACACAGCTTCTGATTCTTTACGTTGTTTTTTAGTTGATTTCTTTTTTAGTTCTAATATTTCATAATGGTATGGTGATGTTGATTTTTTTTTTTTGGATTGCAGATTTTGGTTGGTTTCTTTTTGACGTCTTTTTCTTTTTTGTGTTTGTTTTGATGCATACTTTTCTTCTCGGAATATGTTTTTGCGTGGGTAAAGAGTAGAAGATGGATAGAGGTATTGGTTATTAGAGGGGGATTAGGTGGCGGTAAATGGTATCCAGGAAAGCTAGAAGGTGGGGGTAAAATATATCCAGATCGGGCTTGTTCTATCACCATTGGCTTTGTCGTCCCTGGAGAAAGGTAATAGTAGTTTGATCCAAACAATACAGAAGGTGGAGGTAAATGTTCTTTTTCTACGTTCGATAACATGTAATAAATAAGCGAGAGAAAGAAAGTTTAAAGAATAAAGAAATTTATTTCTCTCTCTCTTTGAGTCGCCGTCTTTATAAATTAAAGAAATTCAACAACAGATATGTCTATTTGTGTTGTATTTGTACATATATAATACTAACTTTAGAAAGATACAGAGGAGCCTTTCAAAATGACTATGTATAAAGATAGAGCGTAGGCTAGAGGGTTTATGTTGCACACCTTTTTTTTTTTTGCTTCAGCAGCCCTTGAGTTTTGACATTTCTATGTATGTTGCACCAATTTCTGCTACGGTGGCGCGCGTGGACGTATCACTTTGGATCACATAAAAATAACCAACTCCTATGAATCATTTTGACTTGCATAAAAACTGAAGATGAACATCACAAGGTGTAGGTTTGCTTCTTGACCAGAAGAAAGCCTATGATCGAGTATTACCAACATATCTTCAACAAGCTCTTGTGTCCCTAGGCTTTCCTACCTTATTTATACAGAGTATTTATAATTTGTTCTTTGATAACTCAGTAGCAATCAATGTCAACGGATCCTTTACGGATCCAGTACATCAGCAACGTGGGTTAAGGCAGGGTGATCCTTTGTCCCCTTTATTGTTCAACATCGCTTTGGAGCCACTGATTCTTTCAATCCAGCAAGACCCTACATATCAAAGTTATGTCCCGACAATGAGCACTACGTTTCAACAGATCAAGTGCATCGCATATGCTGATGATGTCTGTGTGTTTGTCAAGGATGCCACTGATTTTATGCGTCTCCAACATTACTTGACTAAGTATAGTGCTGTATCAAATGCAAGATTTAACAAGCACAAGACGGAAGCTTTCTCACTGAATAGTGTCAAGTCAGAATCTTGGGAATCATTGCTTTTGAGTCATGATATCGAAACATACTACCACCATCATTCCCCTTCTGCTTTTCGATACCTTGGCTTTTATATGCCATGCACAAATTCTCAACGGAATCGTGTTCAGGATATGTTATTGGAAAAAGTGCGTACACGGGTTCATGGTTACTCTCAGCGTCACCTCTCGCTTCAAGGAAGAGCTACCGTTGCCAACACTTTGATTTTATCCAAAATTTGGTACTGTTCGCGATTGTTTGCGCCTACTAAGCGATTTCTGAATGAACTTTGTTTGATTATCTATGTTTACGTGTGGCAAAAGAAGTTTCCTTATGTTTCTTTTGACCAGTTATGTCTCCCTAAGGATCAAGGTGGTGTAGGAGCCCTCAAACCTATCACACAATACTTGGTGCTGCAGATGAGATGGGTCTTTACTCTGTTTAGTTCGTCTAATCTTCCTTCTCAGCTCCGAGTGCTTATGACAGAACACTTCGGCATCATGTCTTCAGATGCTGACAATACATTGCTACCCTTTTTCTCTAGAACTCTTCGCCGTCATGGTCTTTGTCATCCCACTTCAGTTGTCAATGGTATTTATGCTGTCTTTAATCACTTTGGTATCAACTTCAAACTTGATAATGTGCCCCTAGCCAACTTGCTTTACTTTCCGCTGATTAACATGTTTCAAGAGGCACCTCAGAACCACTGGCTTCATCGACATTCAAAAGTACCGGCATTTCTTTTCTTCCTCTTTGATGAACAGAGTAACCGGTTACGCCTAAAGGTTCGCCATGAATATGGAACATTGCCAGGATTGTGCCATCAGCTCTTTATAGACGTCCTTCGCAGACGAACAATAAAACTTCAACCTTTTCTGTGGCAATATATTATACAAGATGTGACACCATCTACTGTCTCTGTCTATGATGCTTTGACCAAGCAATTAATTGATACAAGGTTGTAGCGCTCTTTCTCTTCTAGGGATTTCTGCCTGCATCCTTATGAAGACAAAGCTAAATCGCAAATAAAGGCTTCTCATACCTCACTCTCTCTGTTTTGGAGGACTCCAATGCTCCCTCAGGCTAGAACACTGTGGTATCATGTGCTTCACAAGAAACTGTCCACTGCTTCCGAACTTTTCAAGATTGGTACTGTCTCTACTCCTGTCTGTCGTCTGTGCAAATCACAACCGGAATTGTATGATCATTTCATAGCCCACTGCTCTACCAAGTGGAGTGTTTGGTTGGAAATACTGAACTGCTACTACCCTCTGGTATACTTTATTCCTTCCTCCCTCTACAAGATCCCCGCTCTTCAAGCCTTTCCCCCTGTCATTACAAACCGCTCCAAGCTTGTATCCATCGTTGCAATAGCTCAATGGAATATCTGGAAATCCTATTGGAACCTGATTCTCAACCAGGTTGCTTTTGAACATTCTTGTATCATTTCAGATACAATTTATCAGCTAGCCTTAGCTACAAAAAATCACTCCTTGCTAAAATAACCCTGATCATTGTATGATCTTTACTTCGTCTTTCCTTACTCCTGTTTTTCTACGTCCCACCTCTCTGCGATGCGTGACTAATCAATAATCCAACTACAAAAAAAAAATTTCATACTTTATATCTCTTGAAATTTTTTCTTAGTTGACGAAGGCGTGGCTGAAGCGAGGCGGGTCACCATGCCCGAAGTGTTGGATGTCATTGTTGACGAAGACTTACATATTACTAAAGACAATGCTGTAAATTTTTTCTTAGTTGACGAAGGCATGGCTGAAGCGAGGCGGGTCACCATGCCCGAAGTGTTGGATGTCATTGTCGACGAAGACTTACATATTACTAAAGATAATGTCACAGTACACTTAAAGGATTGCGAGGCGGGTCACCATGCCCGGAGTGAACAACTTTATGTGTACTTGCCTTTGTCTTTTACCATTTTTTTTTTTTACTTGCTAACAGAATTTTTAGTCTTGTTTTCAGCATTGTTTTTTCAATGTGTTTGATTAAAAGATGTTAAAACACATCATGGGCATCGATAACAATGAACACTGATTATCCTGCTCCACGACTGTCACAGCTACTTACAGATGTGAAGATTACCGACATAGTTTAAGCAAGTCAAATGCAACGGCCTAAATTTAGCCTGAACTATTCAAGGAACAAATGTCCTTTTTTTGTATTCTCTTTATTTTGTAATATCTGCGTGCAACCTTCAATAAATAGAAGTTGGTCATTCTATGTTGCTGTCAAGCTGTCTCGATCAACGCCAATATAAGGCTGTTAGTATCTAATCAAGAACTTGATACAATATACAATGGGCGGAAAAAAGACAAGTCAACGCTCGACTCCAAAATTTAATGACCATGGTGAGTCCATTGGCTATTAGTCGAGCTCCTTTGCTGATTCTCGTTTTGCTATAATAAGCATGTTCTTCAGGTTTATTTGGTGGATATTAAAAGAAAAAAGTTGGTTAACTATGTAGATTGTGATGTACGTAAGGATTGGTTTTGTAATGATTGGGTTTTATTCAGAATAAAAAGACAGAGGAATACTTTGATGATCCTTTTATTCTAAATAAGTGAAATAACGTTTTATCTAATGAATTTACAGCGACTATTTATACAAAATAAGCTGAAACTAGTTTATCCATGGACTCAAGCTGAGCGTAGATATCATTATTGATTAGCAAGCTTTAATGACTCGCTTTACTTATGATAAGGGATGATCTCAGTTATCATTTATATTTTGGTTCTACTGGTTTTTCCGATAGAATTGGTAATTTGGAGCACTGATTTCGAGAAGAGGGAGCACATAAATTGAGACGTTCAACGATAACTGTCAGATTGATTTCAACACGCACATTGACAACTGAACAAGCAAGAGGCAAGGTACGTAAATCTCTTTTTGTAAATCAACTATGGTGCAAACACCGCAGGTTTTTCTTCAATTTTCAGAATAATTATGACAAAGTAAGTATTCACTTATTTTTTTTCCGCCCATTGTACGATTTAAAGACGAAGAAAAGAAACTGCACACTTTATTCAGCTAACGCTTCTTTGTCGCTTTCTGCTTTGCTGTTTTGACGTGAACATAGCAGCGAATTCATCCCTTGACTTGATAATTGGCCCAAAGCGAGTATTGTTCATCTTGACTTTGTTTGAGAGCCCTACAAGGTATGTCTATGACAAACATTAATACAATTGTTGACTAAAAAGGGAAAAAAAGTACCAACCTTCCACTGACACAAGGTCACCATGCCTTGAACAAGTACATCATCCAAGAGTATTCGGTCGGTAGGGACCTCAACATTGCCCAGAGGGTAAGCAATGTAAACACCATCAGAACCTTCTTCAATAGCAGTCAGTCTGCCTTAGCATCCTAAAGCAAATGTCGTAAGCACCAATGTCAAGTTAAAGTTTGTGTTCAACAGTACAGGTCAGGTGACGATAGAATATTCTCTAGCCAATGATATTACTGGGAAAATATTTTAGAAGGCAGTGACGTCTGTGTTTTGATAAAGTAAGAACTTACATCTATCAACAACACAGTATTCATGTCTTCTCTATTCATACTAAAATATATATTCTAAATCAAATAAAGAAGGAAGTAATTACATACTTCATGTTGATTGATTCTTGCTTCTTGACGAATACGATAACAACTTGGCTTTTGCTAAAGGCAGTTTCCTTATACGAATCAAGTTCAGCTTTGACTTCTTTCTTCTATTGTTGTGTATTATTGGGGAACAGGAGTAGAAGTGGAAGAGAAGATGTTTTTTTATTAATTTAATATCAGATTCAATATTTATAGTTCAGAACAGTTGGTTATCTGAGGTTTAAACCTTTTCTTGTTTGGTTTATACATATAGGGAAGGTTATATTCAACCTCAATTGGCTGTCTTTGTTCAGAAACGCTATTATCCGCGACACCAAAAAAATCGATGAAGCAAACTACACACATACCACCCCAGGTTATGGCAATTATTCTGTCATTTATGTCGATGGTCTTTAAATCCTCAAGCAAAGCAACGTTCAAGCGGCAACATTTGCCTTGCTGTTCTGTCAGCTTGCGTCTGTCCGTATTTCTTTTAAACTCGCACAAGGCAACTTCAATGCCATTATCAGCCATAAATCTCATATCGATTTTACGACCGCTAACGTTGCTTGCTGTAGTTGATTCCGAGTGTGAAGAGAAGTAGGAGGATGAGTTACTACCAGAGAACTGTGACTCATTGTGCACCCTGTTTGCTTTGGTGCAGTCGGCAGTAGTTTCGCCGCTAAAAGTGTGTTAGTATTGAGTAAACAACAACAACAATATATATATACAACAGACTAACATCTTAATCTTCAAGTCACTGTCATTAAAGAAAATCCTGAGCAAGCCGCTCACCCGGTTCACCACTTCTGCTTCTGATGGCTGAGCGTTACTCTCCCAGTCTTCCATGTTGTGAAGTCTAAATCATTTAAGTTAGTTAGATGACTTTTGCTTTGTCGTCCCAATCAGCAACTACTTACAAATAGCTTGCAGCTTCTAACATTTGATACTTGAATGTTTTTCTTTCATTCTTGTCTAGCAACTCAAGTTGTTCTTTCAATACAAACTTTAGAGCATGATCCAGGCTTTGCTTTGCTTCCTGATTGTATGGTTCAGTAAAATATTGTCTTTTGGCCATTAGGCTAATCATGCTTACTTTGACAACAGCACCAAATACATCTTCAACAATCTTCTTTTTCTCTTCTTCGACATCCAACTGCTTCTTCTTCTTGTCTTCCCACAAGCTCCATACCTCATCGTTCTTGATATGATTCTTATAGAAAGCCAAATGTTCATCGTCAAAAAAGCTGACGATGTGACTTAAAGCCAACCTATCAATATGTTATTATTATGTCTCAGAGGTTCTAATATTGACCTACTTGAGTACAACGGTTTCGCTATGGCTGAGACTACTGAAGCGTTCGAGGAGTTCAATGGCCATCTTATCGAGTTGTGTTGATGGATGGGTGGAATTGAGTGCCTTTACTTCTTCAAAATCAGTTCGGGTCTTCTCCTTGATATCCTCGACATCCTTATCTTCTTCCTATGAAATATCGTATTACATTTAACGAGAGTTACACATAGATATAGTATATTTGAGCTTACCAAAGCAAAGTACATTGCAATGATTGAAGAGCGTTGTTCCTTGGTGATTTTCTATATAATATGTCATTTATGTGCACATACAATTGTTGCAATTTCTTTTTTACCTTGTTGTACTTAAAAGCAAAATTTATTGCAACCATAGACTCTTTTGCGCTGGTTTCAGCAAGCTTGAGATTTTGCTTCTTGAGCTCTACGTTGAAACTACTACGTAGAGCCTTACGCATACTATCTTCGGTTTTGAAATCATGGTCAAGGAACAAGTACAGTGGTTACATTAAGTGTCCCATAAAACTCATTTGTAAGCATGAATTAATATATTTTCGTCGTATTGACCTTGGATTAGTATCAGAAAAAGCGCATTTTTTTGCTGGTTACTTCAATTTTTCTATTTAGTAAGAGATACCACTTTTGGACAACTTACGTAAAAAAAATTTCCTGCAAAACTTGAATACCTTATTTTCTTTAGCGAATAAGCATCCTCAATCGTGGGTTTTCCACATTCTTTGGCAAATTCTAGCACAACCTATCCGACTACATATAAATACGGCAAGCTTTTCAGAAAAAACTCTTTTTTCTTCATTCTATATACATACCTTTTCTCCTTATTATCATGCCTTACAGCCTCCCGTACGATAACGAAACAATGTCAAATCTGCACTTTTATCTGGCAAATTGATTCGTCAGGTCTCAAAACTAACAGGTGTTACCAAATCAACAGTTTCTCGTATTAGAAAAGAGTTGCCAGAAATGAAAACTTGCACTGGTACCGGTAGACCATCAAGAGTAGGTCATCTTACGGCTTGTTTGCTACGAATGAAAGTCCGAACTGGAGCATTGAAGAATGCTAAAGAAGTCCAAACTTGGTTGTCTGGATAGGGTATTGCTTTGACGTATAGCGGAACAGTCTCTCTGATGAAAAGGGTAGGATTATACCCAAAGCTCAGGCAGAAGAAAATTTTCTTAAGAGTTTCTCGCCTTTCGAAGAGATACAAATAGGTCTTAGGTGACTAGCGATAAAGCAAACCATCATAATGACTACAAACACAATGGAAGCACAGAAAGTGGTTGTGCGTAATTCACCAGCAGCTTGAGCCCAAGGCAATAAATGAAGGACAATCAACACAATGGAAGCACAGAAAGTGGTTGTGCGTAATTCACCAGCAGCTTGAGCCCAAGGCAATAAATGAAGGACAATCAACACAATTGGAGTAGCCAATAGACCATAAATAGCCCATTCAGGAGTGCCATCGGCACTTGTATGACGCATTGAATCAATCACCAAAAATAAGAATTCAGTCAACAATGTGCCTGGCAACAAGACTTGGATCAAGAAAGCCAAAGACCAATAACGACTGCCATTGATAGCCACATCACTGCCCTCTTCTGTTTTGGAAGGCATAGTGCCTGTGAGTAATACAGTAGCCAAAGAACTACTGATAAAGAAGTAAATGGCAAAATAAGTAGTTGCCATCTTTTGAGTAGCCAATATGGTTGCTGCTAAAAGCAACAACCACCAAAACGTCGTCAATCCATAGAATCCAACTTGTGTCGTATTCAAACTCTCTTCTAACATGAATGAATGTTTGGTCAAGATCCACTGAGACAAGACAAGGCCCAAGAAAGAAACGGCAAATAAGTAAACAGTGACAGAATAAGTAGATCCATAAGTAGCAGAAGGGTTGATCAACATTAAGATCCAAGAAAAGAAAGCAACAAACACAACCATAGAGACAAGAGCAACGAGAGTAGAAAGGAGACCTTGTCCAATAAGCCAAAGATTATGTTTTAATGCCACTCTCTTGGCGTCTACATGACCTCCATTGTCAGTAGAGAACCAGAACCAAGTGAGAAGTCCCAAAGGAATAAGCACAAGTGACAGTACATTTAGCAATTGACAGGTGAAAAAGCTATAGACAAGCATAACACGGCCCAGAATATCGTAGTAAATGATAGGCTCAGGTTTACCTGCTTTTTGTATGATGCTCTCGATTTGATCAATACTAAGTACAGATCCTAAAGCCATTTGTCCCATATGTTGCAAAGACTGGGGAGTTGTATGTGCCAAATCATCTCTTTGTGTGTGATAATGGGATCGAGGATAATAAAATGAAATATCAAGACCAGGAACACCATATTTAGAAAACACAGTGTAGTCTGTATCGCTCTTGAGCAATTTAGCATTGAGTAAATCTTTACCCAAAGGAGAAGCATGTAAATAGCCAGCATTTGAAGAGGCCAGCCCTTGAACAGCAGACAAAATATTACTACAAAGCAAAATAGCTCGACCACCAGCACCTGTGCCCTCCAAATTGACAAACAACTTGATCGTAGAGAACCAAGGATGAAGTACAAACGCATCAGCACCAATCAAACCACCTTCTTCAAAGTTATTAAAAAGGAAAATCACTATGTTTTTGAAAGGATGTTGTACAAAGTAACGGAGCAATTCAAGAGCAACTGCCGTGCCCATACCATTATCAGTTACACCATGACTTGTAGATACACTATCTACTTACTATTAGACCAAAAGTACTTACAAGCTCTCCCTTACCGTAATGAGCATTGACAAGAAAAGATTTGTTTTTGTTATTTGATTGTCCTACGAGTCGAATCATGACGTTGCGTGATTCTACTAGCCAGTATCTAAGTATTTGGAATTAGTCATTGGATTTGCTTCCTCTGTTTCTTTACTTGCCTGTGTTGAATTTGTTTCGCTTAGTAACGATATCAGTTGGATCTTGATCAATGATATCCATCTCAATACCATTATTGTTTGCTTCTGCTTTGAATTCATGTGCTAATTTAACAATCCAGTCTTTGAGATAGCCATTTTCTCTTTGGTTGGCAGAATGGGGTGCATTGAAATGTGACAAGTATTCGTTATAACAATGAATACCGGCAAACCCGTTCTTTTCGCGTGCTTCAACGTCAGAAAGAGGTGTAGGCAAATTACTGCGAATGGAATAAATCAAGGCCATAAAGGCAAACAAGACACCAAGTACATAACCATAGATAAGCTTAGATGAATTCTTTTTATATCTCGTGGTTATTTGACCAGTTGCCCGAGATAGTAAAGGCGTTGTCTCTTCTATTCTTGAAGAAGAATCCATATTATAAAAAAATAGATATTCTATGGATCGTATGCAATTTATGTGCTTTTTTAAACAAAGTATGAAAGACGAGCCACTTGGGGTCTACTGTCTAGGTTAATACTTCATGCATTTAACCTAGTAGTCAAACATAACGCGTTGAATAAGACATTGAGAATATCAGCAAGAAATAAAAGTGAAATAAAAAGAAAAGAAAAAAAAAGGAGACGCATCCTTTTTTTAAATCAACTATCAAAATAACATCAATCAAAAATGACCTATGGTATCATTTCGTCTACGTCAAAAGTGTCACAATAAGGGATAGAGTCTTGTGTTGCGTTTCAAAAGCATCTGTGGTTTGAATACAACCTTTGGCAACATTAAAAGTCGTATTAAAACTGCTTAAATGGTAATTTTGATCATCATTGTTTATTCGTTGTGAAACAATCATTGGAAATGGCAAGAAGAAAAGACGTGTATACAATTGTTGGAGATGTACACTCTAAAAGCGAGGTCTAAAGTCGATTCTCAGATTGATAGGTCTTACGCCACCGTTTCCTTCAGCAATCATACCATCTCTATGCATAGAATCAAGAGCCAACGTCCATTCAAACTTGCGCACTAAATATTTGGTCAATTAGAGTTCTCTTTTTGCATATATCATTAGCTTACACAGCATGGCCAAAAACACACGTTGTTCGGCAAGACTGAAATTTTGACCAATACACACATGAGAGCCATATCCAAAGGGTACATATGATAGGCCTTGTTTCTTAGAAGTAACATCAGCACTTTCAAGAAATCGCTCAGGTTTGAATTCAAATGGATCGCTATAATTAGACTCGCTCATATGCGTAGCAGCAATGTCAACATCGACAAGTGTCCCCTGAGGAATGAGGAGTCCATCAACAGCAACATCTCTTGCTGCAATTCTTGGTAGTGTTTTTGTAATGGGAGAGTTCAATCGAAGAGTCTATCATGTTTGATTCAGCTTAAATTAACTCAGTGTAACCTACTTCTTTGACAATAGCGTCTAGATATGGCATCTTTTTGATAGATTCGATAGAAACGTATAGTGACTACAACAATAGCAGCAACGCGGATCTCGAACCAATCTAAAAGATATTAATGAGACAATCATATACGCTGCTTTTGTAACAATTGTCTGTACCAGAAACCGTTTTTGTCAAATACAACTATGGGGTCGATTACAAACATTTTGTTATCTATATTAGGATATAAAAACCCGTTTATTCGGATTGTTTTTACTATGCTTTAAAAAATTGTTTAATTACGTACAAACCGAATGTTTTTTTTTTGAAAAAAACGAGAGTATGTTCATTGTCTGTATCTCAATTAGGGTCAAAGGGTATCATCAGTAAAGTGCTTCTATTTCACGAAGGGCAGCAGCTGATTGTTGAAGGTTTTCTTCTTCTTCCTCAGTAAGCGGCACTTCATAAACACATTGAACTCCTTCCCAGCCTATTTTGGCAGGCATAGACAATGTTACACCAAGTCGCTCAACAAAGACTGACACCGGGTGAACCACTTTTTTGTTCAACACAATTGAATGAACCAAATCAGCCGCACAAGCACCAATGCCATAGAACGTAGCACCCTTTAAACGAATAATTTCCATCGCCTTACCAGATACGATTTTAGCCACTGCTTTTTTATCGAGCGTTTCATACTCGGGAAAAGAACTTAAAGGTTGTCCTCCAATGGTAGCTGCACTCCATGCAATCATTTGCGAGTCACCATGTTCACCCAACACAAGTGCATCCACACTCTGTGGGTTAACGTCAAAAATTTCACCGAGATGAACACGAAGACGTGTGGTATCCAGATAAGTACCCGAGCCAATCACTTGATTTGCCGGTAAGCCAGAAAGCTTGCGTGTAATGGCCGTCAAGATATCCACCGGATTTGAAACAATCAAGATAACAGCATCTTCTCGAATGGGTTGCATGCTACTGACTACATTATTAAGGACACGATAATTACGCTCAATCAGCTTGGTGCGTGGTTCACCGTCTTTCTGTTTGGCTCCTGCTGTAATGACAATGATATCTGCCTGGCCGGCTTCTTCAGGTGCAGCACCGCGAATGCGCGTATGACTTACGCTGGCTGCATCAGCTAAATCGAGTACTTGCGCTTTGACGATATCTGGACTGACATCCACGATAAGAATTTCAGAGCATACGTTCTTGAACATAAGCGCATAAGCAAGTGATGCACCAACAGCACCTGCACCAATAATAGCTGTTCTTGAATGGGTTACCATTGTTTGAATAAAAAAAGAAAAGAAGAAAGAGAAAAAACAAAAGGGTCTTGGTCTGTTCTACAAAGACTCATCTGAGTTAGAATGTTTATTTTTCGCATGAAAATGTTACGTTGATTGGGATCATTCATTTCCTGAGAATTGATAAAGAAGACTTTCAATTTGATGAAAAAACCCCCCAAGGAAAAACAGGATATTTTCTTGTTTAAAGTGATAAAATTCGAGATTGGTCTCGAGAGATTTCTCGATGAAAGATGAAGAATAAGCGTAATATAGCACTTGTTTCGTTTCTAATATTCAGTAATTAATGTTATACACTGCACCTAATATAGAAATGCTATTTATTAGAGCTTTAAAACAAGGCGCTTCAAAGGATATCTTTGTCTTAACCACTGTCTTATAGGACCTAAAATAAAAAATCGTTCCCAGGTATGTGCAACTAGCATATTGGCAATTGAATAGGCCCAAAGCTGGTATCGAAATGACTTGGGTAATACGTTGTGTCCTAGCGGATTATTATAAGGCTCGATATAGAAATCAGGTCTCTCATAGCCTAATGAGACCAAAACATCAGGGTTTCCACAATTAAGTCTCATTAAACAACCAAATCGATTAGGGTCTATATAATAGTGTTAGCATTGACTAAGTTTTTTGTCCTCTCTCTCTCTCTCTCTCTCTCTCTCTCTCTCTCTCTCTCTCTTTTACCTGCTAACTCCCAATAACTGACAATAGCAACAAAAGTAGCCCAGACAGCAACTAAAAAGTAATTACGATACCATGCTCTTCTAAAGATATAACCATAATTAAATATCATAGCAGAATTCACGAATTGAAATAAGGAGACAAATGTAAGTACATCAGCTTCAAAACTATCGCCCAACAACCACCATTTCGAAGCATCTGTAGCTCTTGCATCCCATTCTCGGCAAGTAAAGAAATCATCCCTTGTATACAACCAAATAAAAGCACCTGCTAAAAACCAAACATTAATCCACAACTGTCCAAGTACAGACAATAGCACTTCTGGTCCCAAAATACGAGCTGTGGGTCTATGATTTGACAGCTTCTTTGCAGCACCAGCTTGTGTGACAGCAAATGCACAAAATACCGTAATAAAGGCATCAATCAAAATAAAATTCCATTGAGAAAATGACATGGTATAATAAAATGTGCAGAACTTGACAGTTGCCATCGTCTCACCATACATAATCAAATACTTGTAACTAGCAAAAGAAGTGGCCAAGGCAGAACGTCCTTGAATGAGTAATTCAACACAGGCTTGCACAGATCGATTCGGTGTACTAAAAGGAGAGACAACAGATGCCTCGGACTCAGACATAGCAATACCTACATGAGCAGACCGAAGAGCACCACAATCATTGCCACCATCACCACACATGGCCGTAATTGCTTTCTCCATAAATAGCTCGATGCACATCATCTTGTCTACTGGTGTCATACGAGCAAAGATACGGATAGAGAACAAATAGTCGCGGATGATGCCTTCTTCTACTAACCAACGAAACGCTTTCCCTGTCACTGCTAGTTCGCTGCCTGACTGAATAGCAGGATGAATATCTGTTATTGATTGACCTGTTTCTATATCTGTCCATACGAGATATTCATCACCCTTCGATGTCACCATATCACCTAAAACAATGGATGTGGTCTGAGAAGGCACAAGCCCACATTGTTTGCCTATAAATGCACCCGTCATTGCATTATCGCCTGTAATCATCACTACACGGACATCACCGTTTTTGATCTGTTGAATGGCAGGTGTCGTGTCTGTTTTAAGCAGATTCTTGAACAAGACAAGGCCAATAAATTCCAGATTTGATTCGAGTTGATCTCTTGTCCAATTATTGCGAATATCAGCTTCCTGTTCAGGCGTTAAGACACCAAGATCACGATGAGCCATACCAAGCACATAGCAGCCCACGCGAGCATGTTCAGATGTCTGCCTATCAAAATCAGCCGGAATATGTCGGTTTGTTTCTGCCATTCTTTCAAAGGACCCTTTGCAAAACACGTGTACATGGCCTGTAGACATATCTTTGACAGCAATAGACATAGAAGCACGTGCATGTTGAAACTCAAATCGCTGAAGTACTTTTAAGGTAGGTAAGGACGTGGAGTGAATTTCATCAGTGTCGGTGATGGTTGCTTCAGTCGCTTTAAACATCACAATATCCACTGGATTACCAATGTATTGACTGTTCAACATGGTCACAGAGTGGCAACATGATAATCCCATTTGAAGCAAGAAGTGTGCCTTTAGACTGTGAAAATCATGATGAAGATCTTCAAAAGTAGCGTCTTTCGAGGGTTGTACACCATAAAACTCAAGGCCTTCATTTGTCAAAGTGCCTGTCTTGTCAAAACAAAAGACTTGTACTTTGCCTGCCATTAAAATTCTCGGAAAATCCACACAAAACACACCCTTTTTCTTCAATCTTCCTGCTGCTACCGACTGCCCCACAACTAGTATAGCTGGCAGCAGTGGATTCATGACTTGAGCTGCACATACAGTACCATAAAACCAAGCAGTCATACCAGTACCGCCTAACCACCAAGCACCGACACCTAATAAAACAATAGCCCAGATCAATAACAAGCAAAACACAAGCTTGAGTTGTTCATTGAAGATAAATGAGACTGGCTGAGGAAACAAGATACGCTGAATCAATTGTCCTTTGTCTGTATCTGTACGTGTTCTTAATACAAGTGCAATGGCATCAGATGTACATTGCTTGACTGTTGTGCCAGCAAACAATGAATTATTCTTTCCTGTAGACGATTGAGGATCAAAAGGCATAATATCACTGCTATTGTTTGAAAGACGTAAAGGGAATTTCCGAATAGGAAGTGGTTCTCCTATATATAATGGTTAGCCCTTTTCTTTTGTATTCTTACTAACCTGTAAGTGAGCTCTCATCAACAATGATATCTCCTTTCAGAATAACAGCATCAACAGGTACGATCTGATTTGACTGAATCTGAATAATATCGCCTGGGACCAAGTTAGCTGTTGTTGTATCTGCTTTCCATTGCTTGTCTCGCAATACGTTACAAGTATCCACATGTTCTGCCATCTTCTTGACTCTTTTCTCCGAGCGAAGGCGTACAACAACTTTAATAAAGGCAGCTAATAATATAACGCATGTATCTGACACACCAATTTGCCAATAAGCTAAGTAAAAATAACACCACAAAATCATCAATTGATAAACATAAAAGAACCCTGTCAATTCTTGCCATAATGCTTTAGGAAAACTAGGCACATTGACAGCAATGAAGTTGGGGCCTACTATATCTAATCGTGATGTAGCTACTGTTTCTTCAAGTCCTTGATCCATTTGAACTAAATCTTGAGGATGCCAAGAAAAGAAAGCATTTACATTCACAGGTTGGAACGACTGGCGTGCTAAATCAAAATGGTATCGAGTTGATTGAAATTCAAAGTATTTTTCATTCGAGCAACGTATAATAGGCACAGTCATGGTCAAGGTATCAAATCCAAGCAATTGTCTTGTCCCAGTTTCTAAGAAGGCCAAGAAATGCATAAGGCCATGTTGCTCTGAAGCTTCATGCTTCATTTGAATCACTCTGCGTGGCTTTTTGATTTCGATATAGTCTGCTTGTTCAAAAGGAACAGCTATACGGAAATAGTTTTGGATTTTTGAACGAGCGACATTGATAAACAAGTACCAACTGGTAGCAAGAAACCATGCTAAACAGAAAGCTTTGCTAGACAAGTCATATGAATTATAGAACAAGCCAAACGGTACATTTTGAGCAGCATATCCATAATAATCTAGACACAGCACCAGCAAAATAACTATCCAGGAGACAGAAATAAGAGCAATATAAGCTATCATTAGGTTGCCTAATCTATCTTTCTGAAACCCCTTCTGTTGTATTTCATCTGTTGAATCAGTCTGATATACTTCTTTAACGCTAAACTTGTCTTTTTCCTGTTTATCATGGCTGTATCTAATTTCTTCAATGATGGGCTCCTCAATGACAGAATGGTTCTATTTTTTGTTGGTTTGTTTGTTTGTTGGTAAATAAATTTCTCCGAACAGTTTGTTACCTTTTCCTTCATGCGCTTATAGAATGCCCAAAATGCCCAAAGAGGAAAAAATCCAAGATAAATAGACAAATAAACAATAACAGTGTTTGCTACAAAGATATAAATCCTAAAGTTTCAATTGATGAAGTTACCTTGAATAGGAAACTGAATGCCCTCAGGAGCATCACATACATTCCAAATAGCTGCTTGACTGTCGTCTTGTAGAGTAGCCCATGTGTCTATAAACAGAGTGTCATTGGTCATAGCTCTTGAGCATGATTCGTATTGTTGTTTAGTCGCTTGCTGAGGATCATAGTGTGAAATATCAACATAAAGAGGTGTTCTGCATGCTTTTAATATGGCATTAGGTCTAGAAGGACAAGAGCAGACAAACTTGGTTGATTCACAACTCGTATGGCATGTACCATCTGCACACAGTTGAGTGTTGTCTGGACAAGAGGATGGCCCATAATCTTTAGGACATAGTATATGATCTGTGACACACAAAATAGGACAAAGTACATTCGACTTTGTCATCAAAGGACATGTTGTTCCATTGTTGAAATGATCATTTACTATGAAAGTGATAAGGTTAAGCATACTTAAATTCTTGCATAATATCTTTTACCTGTATGAAATTTGGGAATCGCATTGACAGGCAATAACAAAAAAGCTACACACAAGAATAATGTGAGCATTGCAATAAAGAAAGAGCAAGAAAAAAGGGAGTATACACTAGTGATATTTGTTGAAAAAAGAAATGGAATAAACTATGCGGAAAATAGTTTCCCAGTTTGTCGTTGATGCTTTGTATTGAACTTTGCGTATTGTATCCGAATCTTTGATCATCCAAAAACTTGGTGCATGCTTTATCAAAACAACTATAATCTAACTCTTTCAGCCTTAAAAAATTGTTTTCAAGATCATAAAACTAAGGAGCAAAAGAAAAGAAAGGCCGCATGTTTTTGTCATTTTATATCAAACTTACATAGGTTAGGAGTTAATGCCTGCGTAAGACTACTATAAGAATTTCTGCCTGATAGTATAAACACATATTTAATTTTGTAGAATTGACCAAGAACCGCAAGCGCAACAATGATGATAAAGTTAATTAAGTTTGCATGTGGTTCTAAAAGTAAGACGGTGACACAGGTGAGAATTACAGTGATAGACACAGTATGCCAGGGACTCGGTCATGATTGCAGAAGTATTAATATTCATTGCAAACAGACTTGCTTTTTCAACTAAAATTTTGCCTTTGCCAATATGATGATTGGAAAAAATAATGCCAATTTTGATTTAATACAAATAAAAAAAAGGTTTACAACAGAGTTGGCGGCTCCTTTATTCATCCAGGCCTATTTGATCTAAAGCACCTCCCATCCTTTGATCTCCCTGAGTTATGTATGCTCCGCATGAGAAATATGCGCAACCACTTACCATGAGATTCCCTTGACTCTATGCTTCCCTCATCTGCCTATAAATTTCTCCTTCACTGCCATCTCTTCCTCGACAAAAACTCACTAATTGGTTTTCCTCCATTATCAATCTGACTTGAGCAATTGTAGTCTATTTAGACTGTGTGTTCAATTGAGACTATCTTGTATATAATACTTTGGATTCACAAATTAATACACTTCTGTGTTAGTGGAGAGTTTGAATTTTGTGATATAGCAGTAGATAAGTGAAATAAATGATTAAAGATACAAGCAATATGTATGACTTTATTAACGGACCTGGCATGGACCCCAATTTCCGACAGCTGAGTCGATATAATTGGACTATAGATAGCCCAGGCACATTGGTATGTCTGATACTTTGCGTCTGTCTGAATACTAGATCAACAAAGGACTTTACCTATATAAAAAACCTAGTGGACTGCTAGATAGATCGTGCACATTGGGATGTCTGATACTCTATGTCAGATTCAAGACAATCAAATGTTTCCTTTTTTCTATATCTTAGAAAAATTTTGCTTCTTTTTTTGGTTTCTCATTTGTAGAACACAAAGCATGTAGTACAGATTCCGAAAGGAAGCAAAATGCGGAGCTATAAACGCATTGTGCTTGCCTTATTAAAGACAAACAGATTTTTTGGAATCTTTTTTTCTCTCTCTCTCTTATTCTTTCTCCACTTGTCACTAGACTATGATGAAGGAAGAGCCAAGAGTTCGCCCAAGACGAAATAAGCCATGTAAATCAATTCTGCTTTCTTGGCAAAAATATCATATTCCATACTCACTTGTAATTCTTTATTTTTTTAGGTGAAAACTGTCGTATGCACAGGCGCAAGTGCGTCAGCTATGATAACTCAACTTGCGAACGCTGCCACAAACTCGATCTCGACTGTATTTTTAAGATAACAGAGAAACCTAACCGCCCTTACAAACCAGCCATCTCAACTTCAAAACGTAATAAGCTATACGAGGCTATTTGGACACTAGAAGACGAAACTGAAAATATTCAACTTGAACTTTCTCGGTTAAAAAATATCGCCAACAACGAATGCAAATGCACTGATCCAAATAAATGTCAAGCAATACAGACATTGCCTTCTTCTAGCCATACACGCTGGGCACTCACTATTTCCAGTAATCAACATGGTATTCACTTACAAACCAATATTCGATCCATGGCAGACCTTGCCAGTTTCTTACAAGAAGCATTCGGCGTATTTGTCAATGAAGGCAAGTTTTCAATTAACCACTCTCTGTCTGAATTGGACGGCAGACAAGTTGTGCCATTAACATTTCAATCCTTGGGCTACGAACGGATGTTTCGGCCCTTGTTCTCAGCAGTCACTGCCACGCAAGTTGCCCAGACAACCGAGTCTCTTTTGGATGGATTTGGGCCTAATGTTCATCGACAGATTCGTAGTCTAAAATTGTCCATGATTCGTATTTATTTCAACTGCCAAGGCCTAGTCAACCCATTCCTGATTCATTCTTATTACTATCCTCTTCTTTGCGAGAATCCAGATTCATTACTAGCCACTGCTGTGGTTGCCATGGTCGCACACTCGCCTTGTGTCCATGTCAACATGTCGGGATTTACATTTACACGCTCTCAATTTGCAGAAATATGTCGTTTAGAAGCGAAGGAAATGCTAAAGGAAACATTGTTTGAAGCTGAACCCACGTTGGATACGTGCCTCTCGCTTCATATTCTTGTTTTCAGCAGTCTTCATGCACTCAAGGGCGTCGAAGGTCGATTTCAAGCAAGCATTTGCTGGCAAATGATGACTCAATTACGATCGACTTATATGGATAAACGCAACATAAGAACATCAGAAGATATCATCAAAGCAGAAGCATTTAAGCGAGTTTACTATCTTGTGCGATATATTGAAGTAACACTACACATGATATATGATAATGCTAAAGACTTTTCACATATCACACAACACCCTGATGTGGGCCTACCGAGCGTATTACCCTGCGAAGCCTCAGATGATCGACTTGTCAACTCTGTGCTCGCTTTTCAGACTGTATGTCGTTTGATTGTATCCCCAAGTGCTGATCTTAATGAAAAGGAAGGCAGTGCACTTCGCTTAATGGCAGGTGTGGTAGAAGCTATCCCTTCAAACATAATCCAACAATTAGAACGCAACCTTCTCAGTGTATGGGAAGCAACAGCACCACGGGTCAGATTGGCTACAAGTCCTTATCGTCTAATTGATTCAGCAGTAGTTGAAACATGTCAAGACCCTTGTATTTTACGTTGTAATCTCAATTACTATATTTACTGGATGTCATTGCATTCTAAAGTCATGGAGCAACCTCAAGAAACAGATTTGACAGGTGCTGCATTTGGTCGCATTGATGGCGATCGTGCGCTTATTATTGTCTCTATCTGCTCAGATGCTATCACTCAGATCTATAAAGCCATGAATGCTTTACTACCTTGTGCAATTGAAATCCATTGGATCACCATGTGTGTTGATGTGCTTAAGCTATTGTCTACTTCAGCAAATATACCAATACGAAAAAGAGCTGAGCAAAACCATGATGTATTGTCTCGTGTCCTGTATGACAAATTACGTTGTATGGGCGACGATTCCAGCTATCCTTTTGCTTCTCAAGCACCATATCTTATCCACATCAAAAAAGCCATTAATGGTTACATGAACACATCTAAGCATAATCTGTAAATATCTTTCTTCATTGTATCATAGTTATTATTAATTAAATATTAGAATATTATAAAGTAAATGATGTACATATTAATATTATTGTTGCTGTTGACTGTATTCGCCACTTGCTGTAGTAGAACTTAAGACATCGTAATTGACACTAGCTGTACTACTGTAGCTTGCCGTATATTTACTGATAATCTTTTTCAGGGCGACACCCAAGGTTGTCCAGGGAAACACCTTGACATCCTTTTCAATATTCCTTGGCTTCGGGTTAGGAAACCCCATAATTAACTTGAAGAAATCAGCAGACTCAGGCTTCATCTTGCTCACTGTCAATGGTCTATAACCCTCTAGATTTCTTCGAATCCTGTTCTTTTCTTCCACTGTAAATTTGACACCAATCAAGTTTTCCAAAAGATAGATACAATCCACTGAAGTGATAAAGTAATCATCTTTTTCTTTCCAATAGATGCAAGAGACAACGATGATCTTGTTCATATCAGGCTGCTTGGATTTTTCAAGGGGAAGTGTAAACTTATCAAACTTACAAGTCACTTCATTACCTTCTTGTCTTCGCCAGAATTGAACAAGACGACGTTGGTTTTCCCATTCCTCAGCTGTCCAGTATTTGAGCATGTCTTCTAGATTGCCTTCAATACGAAGATTGGCTTTGTTCAAAAGATTAGCAAAAGGATTGGCGCCAGTCGATGTAGGTGAAATAGAAGAAGGATAAGGTTCGCTTGAAGACGAAGATAATGGTGGTTGAATAGGTTTCATTTGTAGATTAGAAGTAGGTGATGGAAGAAGGGTAGAAGAAGATGGCAAGGAAGGCGGATGTTGCTGCGATATGGAAGCAGTGTCTAAGATTGGCATCAAGTTATAGGCTTCTTGAGGTGTGCTTTGAGGTTGTGTGGGAGGTACTGAAGGCTGAGTCTGCGTAGCCAACATGGGGGCCGCGCTTCCGCTTGCACCCATGAAGCTAGACGCTGTATCACCATAAGGTGATTCGAAATTACTTGTAGGATCATTTGATCGATAATAGCTTAATAAAGTAGGGTCTTCAAAATATTCTCGCTGTCTAGGCGATGGTTGTGTAGGAGGCAAACCTACGTATGGAGCATGCTGAAGTCCATAATAGCCTGTGTTGGATGACGATGAAGAATAGCTAGGTGCAATCGTATAGGATGGTTGTTGCAAGTGATCTATATGAACTGTATAAGAAATCTATCTATTTTCGTTTTTTTTTTCTTTACCTGATCTAGAGCGCTTTGTTTCTTCATTAAGTCCAGCACTACCTACCTGTCCATATTCTGTAGATGCTCGTTTTCTTGAATAGTATGAAAAATAGCCAACAAGCCAACTATCAATAATCTTTTGATCTTCCTGTTGCATAACAATAAGATAGACAGGCACTCGTGAGAGATCAGTGCAAGTAAGTACATTTGAGTTTGGCACTGTTGTATGAAGGGTGACAACTTGAGTAACCGGATTGACTGAAAAATGACACGTTGTGAAACAAGAATCAAAAGCTATTCTGAGTGCATAGGAAGGGTCCAAGCTTTGTTGTAATGTAAAATTAATATGAAACGTATCTCCCTCTTGGCCTTGAAATGGTCCATAATCTAATATACGTGGTGGTTTGAATTGATTTGTACTCGTCTGAGGGATTGATCTGATATCATTATCATTATTGTTTGCTGGAGGTTGATTTGGTGGTAAATCGAAACCTATAAAAATGTGAGTGGGTTGAGCATCTCGTATACTCAGACCATATTTACATTACTTTGTGACATGGCCACTTGAAGCTTCGTTCAAGTTAGAAAGAAAAAGGAAAAGAGGGGGAAAAAATAAAAGAGAAAGTAAAATGAGTGCAAATGATTGTAACTAAATTAATCTTATTTAGTTTATATTTTTTTGACAGACAGTTGATAGATTGTCTTACCAATGATTGTCTTGGGGGGGTTTTTTTTTTTGGTTGGTTTTTTCTTAATTCCTATCAAAAACAAAAGAAAAGAGAATTAGCATTATCAAAAAAAAAAAAAAAAAAAAAAAAAAGAGAGGCCGGAGAGGTCAAGTCATAAACTCGGTGCTTCATCAAAAAGAGGAAAAAATACGAAAAAATACGAAAAAATAAAAAAGAAAGAGAAAGGAAAGGCTGTAAATGAATTCTATTGTTCTCGACAAATTGACTTCCGACCATAACGTTAAACGCATGGTCGCACATTCCCATGTGGACTAACTTACCCTATAATGATAACACAAGAAAAAAAGGAAGAAGATAAAAAAGAAATGAAAAAAAGAGACGAGAAAAACTGAATAAGATGGTTTTACTACGCATAAAAAAATCTAAAACTAATTCAATCATTTTATCAAGGAAAAAACATGGCATAAAAAATTGCTCGTCGGTTTCTACAGACTTTTTGAAACAATCCAAATGATCAGCCTTTCTATGTCATAAAAGATACACTCGTGCTTCAATAACCAAAGAGAAAGATATCCATGTCAATGCCTACTGTGTTTTATTTGCTCTTTAGTAAATAAAGATATACACAAGCATGAAATCATTGCATGTATCCCACACACTAAAATTCTGAATGCTATGCTGCCTATGCCAGATAAAAAAACAAGCTTTTGAAGGGTATGTATGAAATAAACGCATATTATCGGACAATCTACATATCTACCACATGCTACACTCTTCTGAGAATAAGGCACTGATTTTGATGTAATTTCTGTGGAACAACTAGTATAAATAGACATTGCCATGGTCTTTACAACACTTGAAGCATTCATTGCATCAAAGAAAATACGAGTCACGTATCACTGATTTTTTCTGTTTTTTTTTGACTGGAGTATCATCTCATTCTTTTTTCTTCTTTTTTCGTCACTTCAAGAAATAACCCTGGCATAGCAGTCCATTATTTTCACAACAGCCAAATAACATACGAACTGGAAAAAAATTAGTAGTTCCCCACTCCCTAATAACACTGGTATTTATTTTAATTTTTTTTTATTATATATAATGTTTGTGCAAGCCCTAAAGAACAAGGATAGCAGTAGTATGCTTATTCTTGTTGTTTAGAAAAAGTTTTCCTTTTTTTTTTACATTTTCTTATCTGTACACGTAAATCCTTACACTTCATTTTTCCCAGAACACATTTACACAACCTATCCTATATAACCACCTTTTTTTCTCTTTTCTACCTCATACTCAAAAAGCTATAAATCTTTCTATATATATATATATATATATATATACGTACAATACCATATTGAAGGTATATTGGCATGCAAAATAACAAGACTTCATAAATAACAGTGATTAATAGATGTCAGATAACGAAAACAACGCCGGCTCACCTATCGATAGATCCAAGAGACCTCGTTTTGAGGATGAAGAATTAGACTCTGATTATGAACGTGATGCTCACGAGGATCGTCACCCTAAGCGTTTAGCAGTACCTGATCCAGAAACAAAAGCACCGCATTTTGTTCCTTCCGCTGAAGAGACAAAAGACAATGAGAAGCCCTGTAGAAGAAAAAAGTGGGAGGAGCATAATTCAGATGATGAAGCACACGCTCAAGCAGCAGAAGAGGAAGGAGAAGAAGGAGGCATCAGGGGAGAACAAGGCGGTACAGCCAACAGTGAAAATATTGCCATTCGCTCTCTTGTAGGCACAAAAGATGCAGGTGTCATTATCGGTCGAGGAGGTAAAAATGTCAGTGATATCCGTGAATTGTCCAATGCCCGCGTTACCATATCCGAGATTGTTCCTGGTGCATTTGAGAGAATCCTGACTGTCACAGGACCTATTGTCGCTGTTGCTAAGGTGAGAGAAATAACTACATAGACTCTCCCTGTGTACTAACAGACTCCAAGGCATACGCTCTAATAGGCGAGAAAATTTTACAAGAACACACACAGCAACAAGAAGAAAGCGGTACTGGCGATAACAATACATTATTGATCAAACTCCTTGTGCCTGATAGTAAAATGGGCACATTGATTGGTAAAGGTGGCGTCATTATCAAATCAATTCAAGAAGAAAGTGGTGCTCGCCTCAATGCCTCTGAAGAACCTCTTCCACTTTCTACAGAACGCACTGTCTCTATTCAAGGCACTCCTTATGCTGTTCAACAAGCAGTTCAACGTATTGCCAAGATTCTTATGGATCATAATCCAGATCATCGCCCTATACCTAATCTTGTTCATTACCGACCTATTCCTATGCGCAATGCCAACCAGAACAATCCTAATGGATTTAATGGCATGAGACCTAACAATGCTCACCATCACCATCATCACCCAGGAGCTGCTGCTGCTGCTGCGGCCGCGGCTGCTGCTGCCATGGGATACATGCCAATGGGTGGGCTACCTATGAATGGCAATCAGTTCTACTATCCTGGTAGTAACAATGGATACGGAAGACAAGATTATGGCATGAACATGGCTGGTATGAACATGACTGGATTAACTGGCATGGGCACTTCTCAACAAGCTCAACAGATCTTTATTCCCAATGAAATGGTGAGTGGTTTGTATGTATATTTGCATTTGTATATACTTATTATGATTAGGTGGGTTGCATTATTGGTAAAGGAGGTAGCAAAATCAATGAGATCAGACAACTGAGTGGTAGCCATATTAAAATCGCTGATTCGCATGGAGACACAAACGAGAGATTAGTTACGATTACTGGTACACCTGAAAGTAACCAAATGGCACTTTATCTTTTGTATTCTCGACTCGAATCTGAAAAGAATCGCTTAGGCATGCGTCACAGTTAATACCAATAAAAAAAAACCCTTTTTTTTTTTACAACAGTTATTCGTCATACATTATGACAATATGATATCAATTACAAGCAAATGCAGCGTAAAGGAAATTTAAAGTCACATGAAAATAAATACCATCTTCTTTCATCATGACAACCTCAAAGACTGCACTACGCGGCCGTCATGGTAAACAAACAAAGAAAGATGAGAAGGGCATAGATCGTTTTATCGATTTAGCACAAGCAGCACTAGAAGAAGCAGACATTGAAGAAGAAAGAAAAGGCGTCATTCATGAAGTGGTGGAAGCACTCATTGCCAAATCAGGAGCACCACTTGTCAAAGAAGTGATATCAGAACAATTGCATAGTCAGGATGTGATTGAACGAATAGCTGAGAATCACGAAGAGAACCAACGTCGTCTGAATACTAATCCAATGATTCGTATAGATTCCACAGAGTCCTTAAAGGCACCTGATGATGAGATCTTGGAGATACAAGAAAGTATGCGCACATATGATACACCTGAGCTATTAGCATTGTTTTCTGAATATTTATGGCGACTTTTTCGCGTTTTATTATTAGCAAGTCTTGTTGGACTTGTTTGCCATTTCTTGAATGTATAAATTTGCCTTTTCAAAATGGCTTACCGATACCTCCTCACACACACATATATATATATACATACATACAAAATAAATACAGTTTATTGTTTACCAGCTGCAGTAGATGAGCGAGTCATGGGTCGATAGTTGGCTGCAGGGATATGCTCTTGAGGTGGAATGTCTGATATTGCTGTTACCTTGGCTTTTCTTTCTGCTTCCTTGTACTTTTGCTTTTGTTTTTGAATATATTCTTGAGATTGTCTTATGTGTTGTTCTTTTAGACTCTCAGGTACCTGAGGATTGTTGTCTCCATATTTAGCTAGATAGTTCTTTTCTCTTCTGAACAACAATACGTGTGGCTCAGGAGCTATGCTATTGATAAATAAAGGCATATAGATACATACATTATCTTACCATAAATCATATAATGTTCCCATCCTGATGTTTGATATACGCCCAATTCTATCCACTGTGCAGGTTCAAGCAATTTAGGGGGCTTTGGTAGCCAATTAGCCAAGTTCTTTGGTAAAACAACATGCTTGTATTCATGCTCATCATCTACCCTAGTTATTGAGTATATAGTTCTATACAAAAGTTGTTTACCAAAATAGTAATTTGAATACACAATTTGACTTGAATACTCATCAATGTCTTTTTGCTTTTGTATCTTTTCTAGTCGAAGTTCTTCTTCTGTCTTTTTGATCTGTTCTGGTAATACATTTCTGTTTCTTTTGATATATTTCTTTTTGATCAACAACTTGCGTCCTCTTGCTTGTATCTCTTGAAGTTCATGAATCGTCTTTGGCATCAGATTACCGCCATAGTCATTTCTCTCTGAATGATTTACTGATCCTGTGTTTTTGGTCTGCGTGTTTTGGTTCTCGTCGTTGTTCATTCTATGCTTTAAGCAAAAAGATAACTTTGTAAAGGACTCACTTGTTTTATCCAATAAAACAATTCGATTCCGTGACTGTCACTCTTAACAAGATGTCTTAAATAAGGCTTGGTATAGATAAATTCAAAATGTTTCGTCTAATTTATGCATGATGATTACTCTTTGAAAAATGAAAATGCAATCGTCAATATAGCATCAATAGATAGATGTTATTTCTCTTATTATTGTTTATCAACTGAAAATCTGTTAGCATGTTTGTAGCTCTTGATTCATTAAAAACAAGAAAGATAAAACATTTTAAATATGTCCTTCATCTTGAATCAAGACAATCATTATGTTGTGCATTATCAACACCCATGCAATCTATTAAGGCTTTATGAGCTTCTTTTTGACAAAAAGCATATATATATATATATATATATATATATATATTACTATACTTGTGGTGGAAGATAGTCTTTGGCTGTAGCTTCTTTACAAATGTTTATGTTCTTCCTTAAAGCACTTCTTTCTACTTTATTCCACAATGTTTTTTTTACATTCATTTTTATATGCAATTGGATAAATGGCTGTTTTTTTGTGATGAACAATACAAAGAATGCCATAAAAAGATGTCACCTTGAAGCAGTGATGTCCGTTCAAGTCATCGATGCCTACTTTACTTTCTATTTGATCTCGTTGGTGGGGAAAGGTTTTACCCCATGGTAGAACTGAAAACCTTTGCTTTCCCCTTGGCCATGAATAAATTTGCCTTTTCTTTGGCTACAACGATCAAACTTGGATACATTGTCCAAATTTACGAAGCCAAATGCCAGCAAGTTGAAAAAGAAAAACAAGTGCATTCGGAGACAATCACAACCAACGTGGTTGAAGAATTGCTTTCAAAAAACCGAATCAAAGGAAGACAATACTATAGTGTTTTTACACTTTGAACTCTTTTCTCTTTCTCTTTCTCTTTTTTTTTTTTTTTTTTTTTTTTTTTTTTTTTTTTTTTTTTTTTTTTTTTTTTTTTGTTTATGTATACAAAATTCTTTACTATTTTTTTTATTATAATTTCAGGGCGTTTACAGTTTGTGAGCCAGATCCATCATGTCCTCTTTTTAAAAAAGCAGTTACTAGAAAAAACCGAGAATGAGGGATTTGATAGTGTACTTTTACAGTTTTTCTGCAAGCGAATCAGAATCGAGGGTTCTTTTTCTTAGAAGCATGATGCAGTGAGTCAAGTGGAGCAAGTAGTAGGATTCTCTACGTCTCGATAAAACATCTAGTGTTTGCATGAAACAAGTCCTATAGAACTTATAAACGACAACACACAAAGTCTAAATAAAGTAAGACATGTGGGTTAGATTCAAATTGTTGAATGCTTGGCCTTCAGCTCTCAAGACCTTAGGAAGATGATAGCTATGGTCAATCATAGCTTTATTCCATTAATGAAAGCGACTTGTAGCTTTTGAAAGATCATCCGACTATACATCTACCTTTGGTAGGACTTGGCTGTTGATAGGATACCTTATCTTACATTATTTTTTTCTGCAACACTTTTGCTATCTGTTTTTTTAACTTCAATTTTGTGGTTATGTTGCATGCTGTCTTTCTTATTGAAACAACTGTTTGCTATGATTGAGGCCAAAGTAGAGGACTTTTAGAGCAAATAGTGTACATGGCTACAATGTCATGACGGGGAGGTTAAAAGTCAGATCTTCATGGACTTACAACAGACGGGAGAAAAAAGATAATGAAAAAACAGCGAATATTAAGACCAAACCTTAAACATGGCGCTTCATGACGCCAACAATATCTCTGTAGCAAAATAGTAAACAATGAAGGTCTGTTATCAAAAGGGCAAAATGAAAATATCTGTACCTTTTCAAAACTTGCCATATTTTTACATAAACATGATCTATTGCATATGCTTATATATAAGAGACTAAAAAAAAATAGGGAATATGTGTGAACATTCGCACCTGCAGCAAGCTGTCAATCCTTCGGTGGTAATATTATGTTTGAAAATGAATGTTTCTTCAAAATAAAGTGTAAGAGTAGCAAACTATAGTGACGAGTTTTGTCATAGACTGACAACAAAGAAGAAGCAGCCTAATTCTTTATGTATGCATCTAAACGAACAACCCATAACTGACTCGTAATCCAAGAAGCAATATATTCAGATGCTTAAAGATGTGTTCTGATTCATTTCGAGCAGTGGTTTATTCATTCCTCGATGCTCCATGTCGTTAAAACATCGTTGCATACACAAGCGACATACGGACAGGGCTGGTCAAGACGCAAAAGGTATTTTTTTTATTTCAGGAGCACTTACTTCTTTTCGCTCGCCTTCTTCTGCTAGGGCTTCCTTATAGAGAGAACTCTTCTAAGAACATATACTTTGCTTCAGAACAAAGGAAAAAAGTTTATCTATCTTAAAGATATAGACACAAGGCATTGACTTACTCGTTATTTACATATATCTACCTTTGGTTTATATCTTTTATTTTACTCTATTCCCTAAAATCTTTGAAGAAAGCTAATTTACTGACTGTAACTATTCTAATTTGGCTTTGATGACTTGGTTGCGCAGAAAAAAACCCTCGTGTCTTAATCTAAGTGTATACAGTGAACAAGAAGGTATTTGAGAGCACTGCCCTTCATGGTATACGCACACGTCAAGCAACAAATATATAACATTCATGCAATGACCAATCACATTAACAAATAATTCTAAAAAAAAGGGGATCGGAAGATCGATAAGAATGGCAAGTTATTGTTCCTTTTATGCACTACCTGTGTGTCCTACTTTTGCGCTAATGTTATTTTAGTGACCGCTTTAGATGTGCGATAGATGCAAGCTGCCTCTGATTCTATCAAAGGAATTTTCTATATGTAATCAAATTGCCACCTTTTGGCTCCTATCCTCAATTCTTATAAATACTTCATTTTAGTCTTCTTTTTTTATATAAATCTATATTTTGCCAAACAAGATAACAAAATACTTTGCACTTTCTCTTTCTTTTTTTAATAGACATGGCTATTTATTGCTATCATTTAAGAGAGAGATCACTATTTATTTCCCAATACCAACTCATGTCTTATCAACAAAGAGCAGTTGAATACGAAAAGGTGATAAATAAACTCGAAAATAACCTCAGATACCTACTTGATGATTGGAAGACACTCGACATTGTATTTCAATCCGTCCTCAATGCATTTGATGCTACAAAAGATACCACAGAGCAACATTTGGATGACGTTGACCGAGAATTAAGTATTGCCTACGATGAATTAATGGCACAAGCACGACAGTTGGATCGCAGGCTAAAAAAAATGGCGTTGGAAATCAATCAAGCACTAGTGTTATCATCGTCATCATCAACACCCATTCCATTAGCGATAGAAACCGATCGAGAAGCTTTTAAAGAAACGCAAGGCGGAAAACGACAAAAACGCTTTTGAAGTATTTGCTCCATTTATACTTGCATGAACCAATCATATTCATCGAAACAAACATCTTGCATGTACACAGATATTAAGTAAATCTATTATTTGAATGAACTTGTTGTTCATGCAAAGCACAAAATGGTGTCATTCTCATCTTGTTTGAATTAAATCCGAATGTGTTTCCCTGGATTTTGATAGATAAACTCTATGTTTATTCTCTGTCAACTATTTTTTTTATCTTATTAGTAAAAAAAAAAAGGGGGGAGCATGTTCTGAAGTGTATACAATCGAGAGCAAAACAAAATTCTACCACTCTAAACCTAAAAAAAAGAGAAAGAAAAACTTTATTTCTAAATGATCTTCGTCACATTTAAAATTACGTGTATTTTTTATTCGGTCAAAGACCGGCTTCATGTCGTTCGGTAAACAAGTTCTTTTGGTATGACGTTTTTATACACACTTGAGTATGGATAAATAAACGCGTTAAAAGTAACAAATTGTTTCTTCTTTTCTATATTTTTTTTTCTGTGTAAAAATGACAGATAAATATCAATGTAATAACGGAAGAAAATCTTCAAGTGCAACCATTGTCCCACCTCCAGAGATTAATAGCCATAGTAACAACAATCTAAAACTATCATTGCCTCCATTAAAAATCAACACAAACACAAACCCTACCTCTGTCACGTTGAATCATATCACAACATCTTGCAAACCCATACATTATTTACAGAAAATACTCGAAAGACTAAAAAATAAACGAAGCACTGAATTGTACAAGCAAGAGCAAACAACACAGAATTCATTTCATGACCTGTCGCCTGGATCAACAGCCATTGAAGATGAAGAAGGACAATGCGATCGGTATTATACAACTGCTAGTCCAATCACTCCACAAAAGAGAACGCTAAAAGCATGGACCACTGCTGTGCTAATGATCATTATTGGTATCTTTATTGGTGTCACATTTGTGTTTATGGGATTAGGAAAAGCCATGATCTCTGAGGAAGAACAGACAACGAATAGTTCAACATCAACAACATTGACAGCATCATCAAAGACGCTTGCTTCCGTTTCGGCAACGGCTACTGTCACTGTTACTATTACGTCTTTAATGACATCAACTATTTATGCGGTGGAGACATAAACAGAATGTACATAATAAAAGAAAAGAAAAAACATTACTTTTCTACCTTGTTTAGAGTTTACAAAAAAAAAAAAAAGGTATTTCTAGTTAGACAATCTGTATGGTCGCTGCACATTGATTTCATCATAATAATTCGTCATTTGACATTCGAATGAATTCGTACTTTCCTGGAATGATAAAATATAAATAGGATGAGCCCCTTTGTTCCTCCTTTCTCTTTTCTTTTGAAAGCCCTCCCGTATTTCATGCCACAGCACTTGAAGTTCTAAACTGGCTAAACATACACTATTCTTAAAAGACAAGCACGCCTTTCCAAATGATATTGCTTGTAGCTAATAAACAAGGTTGCATTTACAGTCTTTTTAAACAAACAGTTTTTTTTTTGTCAAAAGCTATTTTTCAAGATCTTAAGTCTAGTTCGAATGCATATTTAATGTCGAAATAAATTAATAGAATGTCCTTCTTTACAAGAAAAATATGATCTATACATGTTTACGTCTATAACATATTAGGGGAAACCAACGCCATTATCCAGAGAGGGTGCACTTCTTTTTACAAGAAAGGCAGCCAAGCATGAGCATGAAGCAATAAATGAACATACAAAAAAAGTTAAATTTGGCATGGCAGATACAGTCGAACCATATAAGGTATTAATACCTAAATGAGCAAGAAGGCCTACCACAAATCAACACTCATTACATGTAAAATTTTGCTTACTTGCTATAGAATCCAAAATAGCAATCGCACCCAACAATTCCCCTACTTGGTTTCGATTGACCATCGTAGTAATTAGTCCACGAATAGATGGTTGTGCCAACATGGAAAAGCTCTGGAGCATGCCAGCTATTGTAAACACCTTCACATTGGTTGCAATACCTGACAAGGCAAGACAGACTGCATCAATACCAATACCAATCCTCATCATCCAAATATCAAACGTTCGTCCTTTTTTAAACAGACTAGACAAGAAAGGCAATACACCAATCATAATCAATAGTTTCATCAGAGAGGCACATGTATAATATAGACTGCCTTCATAAGCGGTCCATTTGAATTTCAACATGGCATAAATGAGCGTAGGAGGGCGTCTTACAAGTGCCAATAAAAAATCTGCCAGGGCAATCCATACTAATGCATAAGGCGCCATTGAAGCAGATTGATTGCGAATAATAATACCAAGTGCTGAAAAAACATTTAACTTTTGCCAAAATGATACTGGTGCTCTTCGCTGATCTTGAAATCTGCTTAAATCAAAGGATTCTGGTATAAGAAATGTTGTGTAAATGACATTGACAAGATCAACAAAAAATGCTATATAAAATACATAGACAAGACTTCCTGTATGCTTGTAATGATGGTCAGCTCTTGTTGACTTCTTTCTTTTTCTTTCTTACTTTAAGAATAAGACTGCTGACAAAGGGTCCAATAGCAGATCCAATGAATAAACTAGCCATTAATCGAGCAAACACAACGGTTCTCGAATCAGCCAAAGTACAATCAGCAATATAGGCTTGCACAGCAGCCATTAGTACACTTTCGCCTACTAGTAATCCACGCACCAAAGGTCCTAAGAATAATAAAGAGATGCCGATGGATCTGTAGTACTTTGCTGTCAACAAATCACAAGTGACATAAAATAAACTGCCTAAAGTCGAAATACGCAAAACCAATGTGCGCCCTTTTCGGTCAGATAAACGACCGTAATATCCTGCGCTGATCAATGCTTCTCTGGAAATGAGTATGAACCAAGTGAATGAAAATGCTTACTTGATGCATAAGTCAAAAACATGATGATTGCCTGGGCCCTTGATACCATTTTTTGAACAGGAGGAATCGAACAATCTTGAATAGGAATATTTTTTCCATTGTAATGTCTACTTTGTCTTTAAAGACCCTATTGCTTTCCTTTTTCTTTTTCTTACATGTAACAGAATATCTCGGTATAAAATTGCACATGAGGTGCAAATAAAGCACTTGTCGGTTTATGTAAGCAGAGAGACATACAAAAAGAATCTTACCCTCCAGAAAAAGCTACTAGCATCATAGTCATAATTGGATACCATGGAGATGGTGCTTTAAAGCTTCTTGACCCAACTAGAGGGGTGCTTTCGTTCATGTTTTTAAAAAAAGAAAGAAAAAAAAAGGTTTTTTTTTATTCTGTAGACTTCTTTTGTAAGTGCATAAACCAATTAGGAAATAGTTAACTTGATTGGATAATACAATGATTAATAATCAAAGAAAGTAGAAGATCTACAGATTTATTGTATACAGTTCTAGGACATGATATTCCTTTATTTCTTATTGAAAAAAACACATGTACATACAGATAAATATCTTACAGTTTTTGATACTTTCTTAAGCCTGCTTCAATAGCAGCAGCAGCCCATTCTTCAGCATGATGGAAACCCTCTTCAGTAGTGGATCTGGCAATAGCTTGTTCATCATTGTAACAAGTCAAGACACCAAACATGACAGGAACACCTGTATCCAGTTGGACGCGCATAATGCCATGAGTGACAGCATCACAAATGTATTCAAAGTGGGCAGTTCCGCCCTTGATAACTAAACCAATACAAATAACAGCATCAAAGGGACCTGTCTTACGATCGTTGGACTTGGTGTTACTACCGATAGCAGGAGAACCGAGCAAGTCACTAGCAGTTTGAGAAGCTTGAGCTTGAGAGAGGTCAATCAATTGCTTGGCAGCCATAGGCAATTCATAGGCACCAGAAACAGTGTCCTATTTGTTTGCTGTCAAATCAAATCTAGCGTCAAGCTTGACTTACAGTATGAATATTTTCGGGCTTGACGTTATAACGTTCAATCAAGGTTTGATAGACTTTGTTATAGAGTTGGTCAACAAGAGCATAGTTCCAACGTGTATGAACAATAGCAATACGAAGACCAGAGCCATCCAACTTGACCTTGGGTGCAGATACGCCCTTTTGAAATGTTTTTTCACTCATTTGTTTAGTTGGGAGAAAAGGAAAAAAGAGGAAAATAATACGCGGTCTATATATGAAAGCAAAAGAGACACGATCGAATTGATAGTCACTCATTAGCTATGTTTTCTAAGTCAGAAAGACATGTACTGCATAGTATTCTGAATTCACAGCTTCTTATTTATGACTAGAAGGCTAGAGCTAATGTTCAATATGATGGAACTGTTATTGGAGCGAAATAAAGCATTTGGCTTCATTGGCTCGGCTACTATAGTAAGTCTATTGAAATCAGCTGAAATATGACATGACATGGTATGTATATTTATTTGTTAGAAAAATGAGGTGGGATCAGAATAAGAATGCTATTATTGTCCATGATGGGATTGAATGACTTCTTCAAAGACAGCCAATTTCTTTTTTTCTAGATACAATTGACTCTTTGCGTATTCTTTGATGGACTTGAGCAAATCTTGTGTTGCATTCGGCTTGTAATTGTTTTCAATATCATGGTTTAAATTGGCATCAATTCGTTTAAACTTTTGCAAGTTTTCACTTTCCCTGATTCGAGCCTATAGACATATAAATTAGCAGACAAGACATCGCATCAAGATCTTACATCTTCCAAAATAGCGATAGCGTCACTTGCTTGATCTCGATCAATATTGATAGATGACTTTAGTCTCTCAACGTTTCTCAAGCTTGATTCTGTATATTTTCTACTTGATAAATAAGCAGATAATGCATTAATTCTTCGTTGCATTGCATTCTATCAATTTGTAAGCAACAATAAATAATAAAATGCTTTACCTTGGCAGATTCACAATTTCTTTGCTGATAAACAAGCTCGTCTCCTAGTGTTTCGCTAGAAGCAAGTGCCTAAGAAGGGCAATTAAGCACTCTATTAACTTGAGCCTAATCCTACCTGCGATCTTTCAATGTTAAATAACTGCTGATATCCTTTTGCGATTGATTTATATAAACTAACAAAAAGGATAAGGTTTACTTGCTTTGTGTAACTTGGTATCTTACATAAACAGGCTTGGGTTTCTTTCAATGCCACCATAAGAAACCCAGGCATTCGATAAACTAAGCCAACAGCGAGCAGCATCTATGTAGGACTAAGTGACTCCTTTCAGGTAAGATAATAATTTACCTGTTTGTGTTTGTGCTAATTTATCAAGACGTGTTGATAATTGATGCATATGCTGAACAAAACCACTCAGTTGTGATGAACAATATCCGAATTCCGGTTCCATGTCCTCTTCTGATACTTGTATAACAATCTGCTTTGTTCTGGTTTTGTATAGCATGGCCTTGTTCAAACTCGGTCTAAACTACAAGACATTGTATAAACTTGATCAAGAATGGCATTTGATCCACTTACCTACCCCTACTTCGGATTCAATGAATTCTCTGAGTCCTTCACTCATCTTTGCCCTTTCGTGTTCCGCTATTCTATTTAACCATATTTGTATCCTTTGTTCAACAGCATTATCACCTTGGTTATTGTAATGTTGTTTCTTTTCTTCATTCGGCAATCGAATCGTATACCACCATTGCCTGCCCACTACTTGACCTTCCTTATCTAATCGAGGCTTAGGACATGCTGGCAAAGGTGGAATAAGAGCGTCGTCTAGGGTTAAGCATAAATGGTCATGAAGTTTTTCTAGTTCAGAATAGTATCGTGGTACTCGTTTTTGCTTTTGTTTGTATTTCACAAGATTTGTCTATAAAGTTTTAGTTTTTCTTAGCTTTTAAATTTCTTACAAGCCCTATACCTCAAAGTCTATCCAAAACACAGGGTCTTTACGCTTATAGTCGACGTGTGTGATTTGCAAGTCTATTCGAGATGACATACAGTTTATTGGAAAAGGAACCAGATAAAAGAAAAATAAGAAGGAGCGAAAAAGAAATCCTCTGGTTCCTTTTAATGATAAATTTTATGGTGTGTCCTTAGTTTTTTTAAGCATGAATCTCTTAGAGAGCGTGTGCTAAAATTGCTCAATAAGGCCTGGTAATGACCTTTCAAGCTTTCTTCTCGATCTATAATCTCAAGAACCTCGTCTTCAAATTTGATAAAATGGTCTATAGTTGCACCTTCAGCTGTAGCGTTCACAATGTCCACATACCCTACAATTAATTCTTCTATGATGAAATTCTCTACAGTTCTCTCCTTCCCTTTGTTTACTTTTCTCTTCTTCTGCACAGCTTGTCAAATTACCCTTTTTTTTTTTTTTGCTCATACTTTTTTGGCTGGTGGCTTCTTCAAAGCGACATTGATGATACTCGATCAGCGCATAGCAGCAATGGTTGTACGGAAAGGTGATCTGCTCTTAGGTAGTTCTGCTCTTGCTGATTTTCAGTTATAGATCAAGCCGAATTGCTTCTCGTATTGATGTGAAAACCTGATGCTTCAAAGAAAGACGCACTTTTTCGTGAAATCTAGATCTGTGTCCATCGATTGCATATACCAATTGTATTTTTCCTGTAGATTAGTTTCAGAATTTCTTGATTCAGGCTCAAAGATAGGTTTTTTGACTGTGATGAGCATGGTATATTTGAATGGTGGCTGAATTATGCCTTTGAGATACTGAAATCCATAAATTGCTTGGTTTGTTAGTTGATTATGTCAGCACTTTAAAGCTAAGGACCTTTGTCAAGTAATTTTATAACGTAATCTTGATGTTCACTTTTACATCCTATTTGGTTTAGACTTTCTGTAGCAAAAGTTGTAGATCTTTGCTTACTAAATCTATTAATGTAAAGAACACAAAATATTTACCACTAAAATATTGAGCAAATACACAAAAATGTTTATAGGGTTTTTCTATCATATCGTACCATTTTTATAGTACAACTGTTAAGCAAACACATTCACCAAAAGCTAAGGCCTCTGGTGCACATTTTGAGTATCTAAGCTTGTCGATAGCCCTATTTTTCGTCTCGTAGCATCAAAAAAAAATCAAAGGGTTGTCAAGTTGTACGTTTTCATGAGTAATACCCTCTGGTCGAATGGTCATTTTGACCAAATTTCACAGGATTGTATGTATTTACAACGTTCATGCGTGTATAAGCGGGCTTCATGCTACATATCAGTTTGTTCTTTTGATGAGTTTGGTATCATCATTGACTAAACCAATGACACTTTGCGGCTGGAAATAACTCATTTATTATATGCATACCTTCTGAAAAACGCATTAAGCATCAACAAACTGATGAAACACTTCTTCTCAGATAAAGTGTAGCCACAACCCTTTCGAAATCAATTTGTGTACCCAGAAATGATAGTCTCTTCTCTTTCTGTTGTATGCCATACGCCTTCAATCTTAATATGACATTTTCAGGGCTTGAAGTAAAGCAAGAGCAAAGCTTCCCCATAGAGAGAAAAAAACTTTTTTGAAGTGCCCAATGACAGAAATGGAAAAAGTTACTAAAATATTCGCAAAATTCAAGTTTTCCAAAAACGAAAAAAGAATTTTTGACCCCCCTTGCTTTTCTTTCTCTCTATACATATTCAATCATGAGAAAGCCTATTTACAGTTTGACCAGAAAGTTGGGACGTATGTCCTGGAACAAATACAATTTGTACAATATTGCTCAAAAGGAACTTCCCAACATGAACAACAAAACTCTTTTCCAACAAAAGTGGGTTGCTAAAAGAGAAACCCGTGCTTACCATGGTGATGAAGTGACAGAACGTCAATTCAAGAACAAGTTCTTTGATCCCAAGTTACCAGAAGTCCTCTCTTCTCTTGATCCCAACCAAGCTCACCCTCCTGTTGCTGTTCTTACTTTTGCTGAACTTGAGCGTCGTTTAGACTTTGTTGTCTTTAGATCCAACTTTTGTCCTTCTGTTTACGCTGCTCGTCAATTATGTGTGCACGGCAAGGTGTTGGTCAATGGTAAAAAGGTAAATGTTATATATTCGAGAAGATGTCTAGTAGACTCATGTGTGCTCGTAGATGGCTTATCCTTCTCACAAATTAAAAGATGGTGATGTTGTAACAGTTGATCCTCATGCTATTCAATTCCTTAAGGGAGAAAAAGGACAAGAGTTAGATTTTACACCCAAACCATTCTCACAACCTTTTATGTTTGTTCCAGAATATCTCGAAGTCAACTACAACACCTGTCAAACTGTATTTTTGAGATCACCTGTTTCTCGACCAGGACGCTCAGAAATTCCTTCACCTTTCCCTCCTGAATTCCATTCTCTCGCTTATGAATATTATGCTCGTAACAAATAATTGCGTTATTAGATGTTTATAAAAACAACAAAAATCTGTAAAATAAAGATATTAAAATATAAAAAGTCACATCATTCAATTATTAAAACTTTTTTTCTTAAATAGAATGACAATTAACACATACAAGTATGACAATGTATCCATTGTTCAAGTAAAAGATTTTGAACGTCCTCATGCTGTTCGCCATAAAGTATTTGTTCTTGAACAAGGTTATTCATCGACAATAGAAACAGATGAGTATGTATTTAAAATACAAATCAAATAAATTCATAAAAAAAAATGATTAGTTTGGATGACAAAAGTACACATTGGGTTGCTACTTGTGATAAAGTAGACCAAAATGGGACTCTAATTGAATCAAATGTAGACGTTGGCACAATTCGCCTGGTTCCAAAGAATCAAAACATGGCTAAATTGACTCGCTTTGCTGTTGTTCAAAATGCTCGTGGCCTCAAAATTGGTCAAAGGTTATTAGAGGCATTTATTGATTATTCGAAGAAGAATGGCTTTGATACTATTGTTTTACATTCGCAACATCCTAAACGAGGTTTCTATGAAAAGGCTGGATTTGTTGTTGAACGAGGCGATGATGAAGTTTTTATTGAAGCAGGCACACCTCATGTACGCATGTGGATGCGCAACTTGCAAGATAAATCATAGAGCACAGTTATCCTTTATAGAAAGTAAAATTAGACACTTCCCTTTACGGCTAATCAACAAAATGACAGCTTTGACATAAAGCATTGATTCATCCTACTGTTAATATTTTATACGAAATTAGCTAAATATAGCTTTATGCATTTTATTTGATGTACATCTTCCTATTCGAATTCTTTGAAGTTAAGATAGCGACCTCAGAGGACCATAAAAAGTCTCTTTTTCCCTTTGTGTTTACCTTGAACGACGAGACTAACAGATATAAGAGATAAACCAATAATTAACAACAGAAGACTGTAAAGACTATTGTAATTATAGAGAGAGATAGACACAAATAGAGAGATTTTAACCTTAGGCACAATTCCTTCAAAAGACAATGAAGATATATGTAAAATAATATTTAAGATAAAAGATGACTTTTTTTTTATTCCTTTTAAAGTTCTTTTTTTTCTGTGCGATTTATTTTTTTGAAAGTACGCACATCTTTTTTTCAGAAATACGCGAATAATTTTTCCGTTTGGTGTATCATGAAACAAAATACGGAAGAAGTAGGACAAACAAGGAACATCAGAGACATGTACCATTCCAATTTGAAGATTTGTTAGCATAATAAAATCACCAGAAAAATTGCGAAAGAGAACAAAGAAGCGACATAAAACAAACATGCACACATGACATTAATGTCGAGCCGAGATTAATTACGAAGCACATTGCAAGTAATACACAACTCATGCAAGAATTGCCGCTAGAACTAGAAATGAAATTCCGAAAAGAAGCAAACGCAAATAAAAGAAGAAGGTTCTCACCTAACATAAAACGAAGCAAAGAACGAAGAAAAGGACCAAAAAGGATACTTAGCAGAACATTGATATTAGTCAGTTATTAGCAATTATATTTAGTAAATTATTTTATATTTCATGTCTTCAATTACTAATTACGTACTAGTACAAATAACTAGAGAGCGTATAAATAACCCACATAATCTAAAGAATAAAAAGCATTCCTTTTTTGATTAGTGATCAAAACTACTTAGTTTAAATAATTTCCTTTTTGGGTGTACTTCTTTGGAAACAAGAGTTAAAGAACAAGCCTAAAATAGTATTTCTTGATCACGTGATCTTATTGCAGTTATAAACATTCCTAATAAGACGCAAAGATTACAAAATTGACAGTGATGATATGTGAGTTTATAGAATAATTGAAGCAGATATTCTAGAAGTAAGATAACCGATTAATCACTTATTACACACGAACACCAAGGAAAGACTGTAAAGAACCTACTTCGAATGTAATAGCACCAGATTCTCAGGTAATCTCCTTCAAAAATATCCTTTTAGAAAAGTTCGATAATTTTATTAGGTTTTACTAATTCAGCTTTTATACAATTCAACGGAATTAGATAGTAAGAATATAATGTACTAAGATACAACGATAAGAACATAGATAGGTACAGACAGATAACGGGTAAAAAAAAGGAAGTAAAGATAATAAAGATCTTGATTTGCTTGCATAAGAAAGAGTATAAGAAAATAATGGGAATTAACACTGTTGAGAAAATACATGATCTGTATGAAATGAGAGATGGCTTATTGTTTTGCTTGCTAGTATTCTTGTTGGTCCTTAAATCCACATGTTCACCACGAACGCACCAGAATCATCACCAACACCTGTTACAACACCCAGAACAAGAACAGTCATTACTCAGAGGGTGCTTCACCACTTTACTACGTACACTCATAGTATAGAAGCGGCACGGACACGAATGAATTCGGATCGGAATAGATGCTTACGCCACCATTCTCTAAGTATTTTTAAGCTACATAACAAGAACATTTAATTTCTCAAAATTGTCGTAGAAAAAAGCGACATAGAGCGAAAACAACCGATTGAAGTTGAGTACAATCTTCCTTATAGTTACAATCCAAATAAGCGAAGGTTTAAACCTCAAATATCGAACAAGAAAAGAAAGAAGGTTAGACTGAATCTATTACGCTTAAGGAAGTTGCCTTTAGGAGACGCCAAGCTCGCGTGGCATTCGTCGAAAAAGAAGTAATCAATCAAGTTGAAGGATATAATTACTTCCTGCTTTATTAGTGATAGAATAGATATTTTAGTATAGAATAGAAAAGATATAAATACCGTGTTGTTGATGATTATAAGTTACTTATCAAAGACTTATAATATCAAAACACAGGTAACATATAACAAAGAAATAAAAAAAAAAGATCAAAGACTTATAATATCAAAACACAGACGTCACTGCCTTCTAGAATATTTTCCCAGTAATACCATTGGCTAGAAAATATTCTATCGTCACCTGACCTGTATTATTGGATACAAACCTTAAAGAAATATCAACTTGATAAAATGAGGAGAAGTATCATGGCCGAGTGGTTAAGGCGGCAGACTTAAGATCTGCTGGACGTGAGTCCGCGTGGGTTCAAACCCCACTGATACTAGTATCTTTTGCTACCTTTGTTGAAAAGTTGAATCTGTTTTGTCTGATGTTTTTGATGTTTGGTTCCATTGTTTTACAGAAAAAGAGTTCTTCAGCGTCTATACATTCGCCAAAGCTTTAAGTTTTTCTAATTTTCCCTTTAGGTCTTCTGTAGTTCGTTTTTAAATCTATTGCACCCAGATGAGTCATGTTTGATGGGTTTTTCTATTCATAAATCCAATAAGCTACAGTAACGTGAGCTGCTCTGAGTTTCCTTATTCAGGTCGAGTAGTTTTCTATCTGTTCCTGTACCCAAAAAAAAAAGACAAAAAAGACTTGATCTCAATTTAATCATAAATGACGCACTGACTGAGCATAAATAATTTGTATACCAAATGAAATCCGTTTCTTCATCCAAACAACCTGACCTTGGTCAAACAAATAAACAAGCACCTAATTTGTAAAAGTATTGGCTATCTTACACATTTGCCAGAATAAAAAATGACTTTTTTTTTTTTTTTTTTTTTTTTTTTTACTCTTCTTATGTTCATGACCACACAACTGTCTTTTATTCATTAAACTTTAAGCTAATACTATTGACGCAATGTCTTTCATCAGTGGGTGTTTTGAAGCCTTCACCTTTGAATACATGTCCTAAATGACCACCACATTTAGCACAACAGATTTCAGTGCGTACCATACCATGAGATACATCTTCATGTCTTGTAATAGCACCTATTTATTCCATTTAGTTTGTATACTTTACCATAAACCTAAATACCTGGAATGCCTTCAAAGACTGTTACTCAATTAGTAAAACAGTATCATGGATAAATGTTAAAACTTACATGCAGGCCATCCGCATCCGCTGTCAAACTTTGTGGTCGAAACATAAAGTGGGGAGTCACAACCGGCGCAATGATAGACACCTTTCAGAGATAAGGTCATCAGTGTATATATTTCATATCACAACAATACCTTTCTTATAAAACTTGTTGTATTCCCCAGTTCCGGCAGCTTCTGTACCTATAGCCATCATTGTCAGTCTTTATCTCGAGTCGTTTTTTTTTATAAATTTACCTTTTTGACGAAGTACGCGAAACTGTTCGGGCGATAAGACAGCTCGCCATTCTTGTTCAGTCTTTGTGGACATATGTTTAAAGCTTAAAAGAGCAATAGGCTTATATAAGAGGGGTTTATGAGGAGATAGTTGTTTAGTTGTTATTCTTGCAATAGAACGCAAGGACATAAAAAAAGAATAAACACTTGTTTTTTGTGCGTAGCATTACATTAGAAATCTGAGTGACACGTGAGCCCTGAAACTTGCACCAATCAAAAGGAAAGTTTAGATCAATGATATCAGTTTTGAAAAAGACATTTATTTGTTATTTACACAATCCCTTAGAGAGCTTGATTTCCCCCAAATAAATTCATCTTGGCGCTTGTGCAAATAAGAGCGCCTGGGTTTTAGCGGTCTTGTGATCTTCAAGGCTCGAATCATACTGGCTTCTGCTACAATCATTCTAAGGTTATTGCAGTTTGAACGCAACCCTCTGATGTAGGCATGCGATTCAGTCCATGCTGGCCTTTTAGGCTGATATGCTGGTGGTGAGTCTTTTTTCTCTTTGGATGTGCTTACGGATTTTTTGAGTGTAAGATGTCCTACACCAGTTGAAGAAATGGGTATTTTCGAATTATTTTGTAGTAAGATCGATAGATCAATGATGCGTTGAGGAAATGTACAAGGTTGGGAATTATGAATCAAGAGTTGTGTAGTCGTATATGCTGGTGTAATGGCGGACGTAGTAATCTTGTTGGCTTTATTTGCTATTGGTAAAGATTTGTTTTTAAACAGAGTTGATAATGTGTAGAAAGTCATAATGCTATGTACATTGGAATAAGAGATTAAAGGATCCATAATAATAGACTATATAAGAAGTAAAGAAAAGCAGAGGTTCTGAAGCGTATTTATATCACGTCAAATCATCAGGCACAACACAACATATTTCTTTTTCTGTAATTCGGCCGCTTTCTGACCTATAGATTTACCTCACATGGCTCTTGTTGCTCATACTCTTCGTGTAGCAAGAATACAAACAAAAAGTTAAAATGTTTGTTTTTCTCTCTATTCACAAATAACGGGCACTTACTATAAAAAACTTCTAGAACAGATATAGCAGCCATAGTCATGCCTTGCTTGTCCCTCCACTTTTTTTAGGACCAAATTAAGCGTGGATCACCACATGTTTACAGAGCGTTGACAACCCAACCTGAATTTGACGAAGTATATATTTCAATTCATTCTGAAACTAATAACCCTCTTTTAAGAAGAAAAAAAAAGAACAAGTAAAGAGAGGCATGCGATTCTACCTGTCACTATAAAGCAATAATAAGTGATCAAAGAAAATGTTATGGCCTATTTGGAATACTGTTTTTCTTAACCGATTTTCTCTAGTTTCGTAAAACAACAAACAAACAATGAGGGACAAATATCCAAAGTTGTATACAAAGATAAAGAATCGAGTTTATTTTTTCAAGTCTTTCTGCCATTTTAGTATGCATAGACCAGGTATATTTGTGAATACTTTTGCTATCTATATCGCTGCAAAGAAATGGCGCGAGCTACAGAAGGTAGCTTAAGGTTTAGAAAGTTAAAACATGGCAAATAGTGAGATTTCAGTTGACCATGTAAAGTCTCAAGAGAACAAGCTCCCTTTTTTATTGTTGATGCCGTAATGGCCAATTTTGTGCATGCAATGCCTAAGCAATAGGTAAGGTGAGAAAGTTTTAATGAAAAAGATATCCTGCTTCCATTTCTTAACACCGAGACGCTTGATAAGGTAATTGCACATATCAGTTGAATTTCTGTGTAGTAATTGTTTCAGTTCTTACGCTGGGAATAAGATAAGTTTGTGTTTCTGAATTTGAGATTTACTATAACCAAATAACTGGGTTTTATAGTATCATTCCCCCTTTTTTCCAAGAAGGAAGCCTTTTACATAGTCCCACTGTTTACTTTATTATGAAATGATATTGCAATTCTTTGAGAACTGAACTGGTGCCTTTAAACTGATTTTTTTGTGTGGTACAACAATATTGACGTCAACTGCTAAACTTTGACGCTTCTTAATATATACATAAGACTTGGCATTTACATTCGATGGCTGAGTGTTAAATCAACAACATCTCTATCTATATGTATTTAGTCAAACGATTGTCTTTAAATGTGCCAATGGGACAATACAGACCACATAGAGCATTATTCAAGTAGCCAAATTAGAAACTATGTACATACTACTTCATTTTCATTTTGATGATAGCATTCGAGCAGAAGAGAATAGTCAATTAAGACTGTTGTCTGAATGCGGTGGTTGAAGATTAGCTTCTAAAAAGCTTCTTTTTATAACATACATCGATTTGTTTTTAGAATTCAGGCTTAGATAAGCCCTATTTGTGTTTGCTACTATGGATTCTTGAGCCATTGCGGTTTATTAAGGTACTGTTTATATAGAACAGCCTTCGCTATGTTAGTTTTGATATATCTATCGTCGTTAAAAAGCTAGAAATAAAGCAAGTGTCTTTAATTTTCTGTAATCTGATAATTTTACCAAATTAGGGATATTTTCCCATTGCAATAACAGATAATTTTTCTATTTTTATTATTATTTTATTTTTATATTTATAGCTACTTTAGTGGTTTTTTTGATTCTTTAGATTTTCCGCCGCTATAGATAGAGAGATCGAGTGATATATGTGAACATTAAAAAGTATAAAAGCTCTGATTTATTATTGATTTTTTTCTAATTTCACTATCAATTTTACCATGAAGTTTACTTCTATTCTTACTTCTGTTCTCATTACCACCGGAACCCAGCTAGTGTTTGCTGCTCCAACTGCTACTACGGCCGATGCATCTTCTACTAAAAAGTGCTACATTCCTCAAGCATCTCCTGTTTTTCCCAGTGATATGGCTACAGCTACAGGAGTAGTTGATTCATACAACGAAGGCCCTTATAATCTTAGCACTACCTTGCCTACTTACACTGTATCTGGTTACCCTGAAACTTGGAAGACACCTCCTACTGATTCTGATGAAGTCAAGGCTGCTATTGCTAAGATCGATTGGTCCAAAGTTCCCAATGCCCCTGTCAGAAAACAAACAAAAGATGGTAACTGGGTCTCTGACACAGATGGCCCCAAAGATCCTTACTGTTGGTGGTCAGATACAAACTGTGTCAAGCCCAAGATTAAAATCCCTGAGGATTATCATTCTTGTCTTAAAGACAATCAATGGGGTCTTTCTTACGATGATGGACCATTCAATCTTTATTACGATGAGAATGCAAAGACTGAAAACGCTTGGGCTGAACCTCAACTCTATAACTATTTGGTGAACCACAATAATCAAAAAGCCACTCTTTTTGTAAGGTCCTTTTTTTATACGTCAATTCTCAACTAATTCATTTTTATTTTGATAGTATATTGGTTCTAATGTTGCCACTTATCCTGCTGCTGCCAAGAGAGGATTTAACGATGGTCACTATATCTGTGTTCATACCTGGTCTCACCCAGCAATGACTACCAAGACAAATGAAGAAACTGTTGCTGAACTCTACTGGACTCTTAAGATCATCAAGGAAACTCTGGGTGTCACACCCAAATGTTGGAGACCTCCTCAAGGCGATGTTGATGATAGAATTAGATCCATTGCCTGGCAAATGGGCATGCGCACTGTATTATGGGATAGAGATACCAATGATTGGGACATGAAGGTCTGTTGCTTTAAATAATTGATTAATTATCTTATACTAACATGCCTTGACAGGCTCCTGGAGGTGGTGATCTTCCTGTAAGCACTGTGAATGGTTACTTCAAGACATGGATTGCTGACCAAAAAGCTGGTAACCAAACTTCCGGTCACATTGTTCTTGAGCACGAATTGAACCATGCTACTGTCAATATGACTGAGAGATGGCTACCTACTATTCAAAAGGTCTTTGATGTTGTTCCCGCCTTGGCTTGTAATAATGTAACCCAGCCTTATTGGGAAAAGAACATGGTATATCCTACTTCCACATTACCTGTCAATAACGGAACCGAATCTGCTTAACATTAAATCAACTACTGCTTAAAGCGCTAGATATATTTGAATTTATTGTTGTAATAAAAATCAAAAATCGGCATCAAGAGAGAAAACACGACTCTCTTTTTGACTCATAACACTTGCTCTTTGATAATCAGAAACACGCTTCTCAAAAAAATTAGTTTTGCCTTGAAGAGAAATCAGCTCCATGAAATCAAATGGATTGCTTGTATGATAGTGTTTAGAAAAGCCAAGTGCAACCAAGAGTCGATCAGCCACAAATTCAACATATTGACACATCAAATCGTCATTCATACCAATCAAGCGGACAGGTAGCGAATCCTTAAAATAAGACTGTTCGATTTTAACGGCTTCGGATATGATCTCAAAAACAGTAGCTTCGGAAGGTTGATGAACTAAATGTTGAAAAAGCAAACATCCAAAATCTGCATGAAGACCTTCATCTCGGGTTATGAATTCATTGGAGAGAGTCAGCCCAGGCATCAAGCCTCGTTTCTTTAACCAAAAGATAGACGCAAATGAACCAGAAAAGAAGATGCCTTCGACAGCGGCAAAAGCAACAAGGCGAACGCCAAATGGTTGATTAGACTCGTTTGAAATCCATTTGAGCACCCATTGAGCTTTGTTTTGAATGACAGGAATAGTTTCAATTGCATTAAACAAGAACTCCTTTTGAATCGGATCTTTGATATATGTATCAATCAATAACGAATACATTTCCGAATGAACATTTTCAATCATGATTTGAAATCCATAAAAGCATTTCGCTTCTGCAATTTTAACTTCATCACAAAAGTTCTTCACTAAATTTTCGTTGACAATTCCGTCCGAGGTAGCGAAAAAGGCTAGCACACGAGAGATAAAAAAGCGTTCATCTTCGTTTAGTTTTTCTTCCCAATCGTTTATATCTTTTGATAAATCAACTTCTTCAGCTGTCCAAAATGAAGCCTCGGCTTTCTTGTAAAATTCCCAAATCTAATTGGATATAAACATTACTAATGCGCATAATGTTCTATTACCTCGTAAAACTTGATAGGAAACAAACAAAATCGCCTTGAATTTTCCTTCAAAAGAATTTCCTCACCGGGTTTTAGGCTTAGTCCTGCCAAACGGTTTAGAATAGAAGCTCTCAAGTCCTTGGTGGTGAGTTCGGATTTGGCGTCAAAGACTGTCATTGTTTGTTGATACGAAAAGAAAGAAAAATGTCTTATCTATTTTATAGACAAAAAGGATCTATATTATTTTTCGTCATGCCACTCTTTTGCTGCGTATTTAAGCAATTACTATAAAGAAAATGTGAAACATCAGTCACTAATGATAAACTTTAGATTACGCAGACCCAACCTTGGAATGGCATGGTATATTCGACAATGATCTCTCTCAAGATAAACTGATTTTCTTTGATCAACAAAGCTACTCATTGCTATGGTAACACTGAGTTTTAAAGCATTCAGGGGAGCTAATGAGGGTCGAGCCTTTGCTTTTGGTTCGGCAAGAAAAAAAGTCACGCTGTACAGCCGCCCTTGTACCAACAATTTGCCTTGTCTAAAAGCCCTTCCTTTTTTTCTTAACCTTTGTTAAATAATATGCATCGCTTCAAGGCAAAAGGTATCAGTACTCGTTTAGCTTCTCAAGCCCAATGGGTGAACCCTAAAGACCAAGTTACAAAGTGGAATATTGTTACCGGTGACAAGGTAAGTCTTTTTCTCCCTTTTTTTAAATGTTTCTAATACATATCTTTAGGTTGCTGTTATTGCTGGTAAAGACAAAGATACCATTGGTGAAATCAAGTCAGTCAACCGCCAAACAAACACCGTTATTGTCGAAGGAAAGAAGCTTGTAAGATATTTTCAGTACATATTCAATTTCTAAAATCCTTTTTTTAGGCCAAGAAACATGTTCCTATGCAACCTGGTGCACCTGAAGGCGTTATCAGAAAAGAATTGCCCATTCATTACTCTAATATTATGCTACTTCATCCTGATACACAGTATGTCATGCATAAACAATATCTTCCACAGGCTGAACGTTTATTTTTTTTTCTAGAATGCCTACTCGTATTGATCGTCGTAAGGTTACAGAGACCTTGTCAGATGGTCGCATTGTTTCACGCTGGAGTAGATTTGTCAAAGGTACCGATATTGAAATTCCTAAGCCTGTCAGAAAATACAACGATCAAAGTGGAGAGGAGCTTTTCACAACATCTCCTGAAGATGCAACCAGTGCCACTTACACTCCCGATCATTCACAACCTCCCTTCCCTCAAGAAGTTGTCAGAGAACTTCGAAACATCTACAAAAAGAAGCCTATTGTGCCTTTAGCATAACCATCATGAGTCGACAAATGCATAGAATGAGGTTTTTATTTTTTGACGAGAGTTAACTCAATGTACAGATTTATATAATTCAAATAAAAAGAAAATAGACAAAATGAAGTTTTTATCCTCTATTGAACAACTTTTCTAAGGGAGATATTCCATAGTAGGAAAAGAAAAGAGGTTCTGACGCTATAGAGAAACGATAAACTCTTTTCGATCTCTTAGTCAAACCTATCACCTTTTTTGGGCGAGTATATGAATCAAAGGCGCTAAAGAGTGCTCAATATTTTATTGTTTTAAAGTATCTTTCAATTCTTGAAGAGTTAACTTTTCTTCCAACTTCTTTAAACGAGCTTCCAGCTTTTCAATGACTTCTTTTTGAGTGGTGATTTGGTCTTGAGCATCATCACTATTTCCAAAGCGTAATTCATTTAACTTGCGATTAAGCGAGGATTGTTCATCCTTGGGATACATAAACCGAGTCGCTTCAATGGCTGCATACTTGGAACTGGCATTAAGTTTAACAAGTCCTGAAGCAGCTGTCATTCGGACAGATGAGTTAGGGTCACGAATTAAGGTTTCTACATCAAAGATTGTTAAGTATTTAATGGCTATTGAATTTATACACATACCAAGCACTTCAATAGCTGCTTTCTTTAAGCTATCAGATTGCCATTCAGCAGAGAGAATTAAGCCTTGAATTGCAGTAGGTCTAGCACGAAGAGGCTCCTTGTTATAACCAACACGACTCAACAGGTATTTAAAACCTTCTTCACTACGGTGCACACCCAAAGCTGTCGTATTATAAGTATACTGCTATCAGCCCCTCTTTTTTTCTTTCTTACCCTTAAGTGCTCCACCACGAATAATACCATGCTGACCAAGCTTAGAATCATCTTTAGCAACTTGCAAAAGGTATTTCAAATCTTCTGGATTCTTTTGTTGAGCTAAGGAAATCAAAGCAGCTGCGTGAGCACGATAAGGAAGGTTTTCTCTCTTGAGTAACTGAAGCAAAGAGTTTCTCAGTTGATCATCAACCATATTAGCAGCACCAACGATGAGAAAGAGAGCCAAAGGATCCGTTTCATTGTCTAACAATTCAGACAAGATTTGAAGGCTGTAAGTACTGTTTAACTTGGCAAGGCTTTTAGCACCTATATGAAACAATGAGTATCTTATGCACTGTAGGCTATTAATATTTACATTGTATTCTAACACCATAGAAAGGTTCCTTCAAAATAGCTTCATGAACAGCTTTTAAAGCAGGTCTTGATCCACTCTTGACTAATTCACCATAAGCCATAATGCGATCCATCAAGTTATCACTGTCCTTGGCAGTTCCAATCAAGACATCTCTGTCAATGGAAGGCATTTCGATCACAAACAAGACTTTGCCCTCAGGATCAATAGAGATCTGACTAGGCTTTTGGCCTTCAGGCAAAGAAAGGAAACCAGTTACTGATTCTTCTTGATCAAATGTGAGTACAGTAGAGATCTTCTTATTATCATTTGTGGTGATCACAACATCCAAATCAAAGGCAAAAAGAGGAATTTGCTCAGCAGCATTGACTTGTGTTTGAGTCATCGTGATCTTGACACGATTAGCATTTGCATCGTACTCGTATTTACCATTAAGCTTAGGATAGCCCTTAGAATAGAGCCATTCATCAAAGAAACGAGTCAAGTTGAGACCTGAAGCTTCTTCTAAAACGTTTTGGAAATCAGAAGTCTGTACAGTCTTGTTGTAGAAACGTTCGATATAGGTCTTGACAGCACTCCAAAAGACTTCTTCACCTAAGCGTCTACGAAGCATATGAATACGCCATGCACCACCAGGATAAGTGTGCATATCAAACATATCCCATGAAGCATCGTATTTACGAGTAACAATGGGACGCTAAAAAAACTCGTAAGCTTTCATGGAAAGACAGACGATACTATTATACCATATAAGAACCACATTCTTGAATATATTGTGTGGCATTATCAAACATTTCATACCGGAATTCATCTTCTGATCTGTTATCTTGTAACCAACCTGAACCCAATTCATAGTCAATAACTCGACTTAAAGACAATGTAGCTGACACTTACATGATTCAATATAGTTTGCCCAACCTTCTTTCAACCAGGCATGTTCAAAATGGCGGATAACCAATAAATCACCAAAATATGTATGACCTAGTTAAATTGAGTACAAATTTGCTTTGGATCCTCATATTATACCCATTTCATGAATGTTAACAGTATCAACTAAGCGCTTTCGTTCAAGAGCATGCGTTTCATCAAGAAGTAAATGCTCAACCCAAGTGACTAAAGAGATATTCTCCATAGCTCCACGAATGGCTGGTAAAACAATTTGATAATATTTGCTCCAAGGGACTAGTAAATCATTTTAACATGCGTGTTCTAATTTGACAAGGTCACACTTACATGGAACGCCAACCTTCTTTTGAAGCCATTTAATCATATTGGGTGTTTCGTCAAACGATCTCTTAAGATCTTGCTTTTCATATCCCTTTGCAGTATAATACTGATGTATTGTTTAAGCACCATGGGCTATTGTACTTTTTTTTACTTGCCTTGATTGGTTTTCCATCTACTTCACCATCGTCCACTTCAATAAAATCACCTACTGCAAAGCAAATAAGGTAGGAAGGACTTTTTCGGTTGTGTTAATCATTCCAAACTGCACTCAATTGATTCTTACCAAGGATGATCCAATTCCCACTTAGTAGTCGTAAATTCACCTGTCGTTTCTGAACTTTTCAAACTACCATTGGCCAAGGAAGTGTATTGTTGAGGAGCTGTAATTGACCATGTCAAGGTAGTACGAACAGTTGGGAAATCAACAGTAGGCAACCAATGACGAGCTCTATACAAACAAATGTTATTTTCTTTTTGTTCTGCTAATCAAGCACACTTACTTTTCGGTTTCATGATCTGTAATAGCCCAAGCAGAAGTAGGATCTGGTATTTCATCATCCTTGTTGAAATAAAGACCTGCAACAGGCTTTTCAATCGTGTATTCAACAGTCACCTTGCGCTCACTCTGCTTTGTAAGGGGTTCTTTCCAGTACAAATGGATAAGATGGCCATCATAGTAAAAGTTGGATAAGCCTTCACCACTCACTTTGACATTTTCAAAATCTTCGGCATTCAATGCAATTTTCGACAATTCCTTGTTATCAGCAACCAGTCCTTGACCCGTATGCTTAAAAGTGATTGTGACTTTTCCTTCAAAAGATTTGGTAGAGAGATCCTGAAATTTGACATCAATATCTAGAAACAACAGTCAATATCGACTCCATTGGTTTTAGCGCGTGTTTTTACCAAGGTGGACAGGTTCAATAACCTTGCTTGGAGCATAGTGATTGGTGGCTGTAGCAGAGAAAAAAGAATCGCTACCGCGCTTTGTACAACAAATGTTATGAGGCATATTGATAAGAGAAAGGAGGAAAAAATTGCCTTTTTATATTTAAAACTTTGTCGGACCTATGCTATTGCATTGGCATTGCATTATTTATTATGTAATATAGCCGGTTCAGGATTTTTTTTCTTGCCACCACCAAATATTTCCCACTCTTTGCTGCGGTGAATGTCATGAGTTGTATTACCATGATCGAAAATAGATTTGGACTCTTTTGAAGATTTTTAACAAATTAAGAAACTCTTGAAGACAAAATAGGAACTTTGAATTATTATTCAATAATTAGGGCCATCAAAATGACAAAGAGCTATTGTAAGATTCGTATTATTTGCTGCAAGAATGTATAACTAAATATTATAATTACACCAAAACATATATTTCTGTGATGGCAAAGTTTATATTGATCTAAAATTATAATATTGATAGCTGTAGATGTGAATATGGCCCATTTAATTATGCAAGGAAAATAGATAGCATGTACTGTTGCAGAAATTAAGATTGTTTTTATTAAATTTTGTACATATTTAATAGCTTTCATCAAACAAGTCTTTCAAGGCTTGATCCTCTTTGGAATCTTGCTTGTTACCGTTGGATGCGCGCTTATTGTCCTTGAGAGCTTCTTCTTTTGCCTTCTTAATAACAGCATTGCGCTCCTCCATCTTTTTGACATTGGATTCCCACTCAACTTTGTCTTTGACCCATATTCCCATACGTCTCTCTTCTTTATCATCGAGAGCAGGCGGCATAATAGCCATTGTGTTGTAATACTTGAGTATAGTTGTTAGAGTGTTGGCATCCACTTTGTATTTTTCCATGATGGTCTGTCTTATCTCAGGCTTGTCGATATCACCTGGTGCTAATCTTTTGCGTTGTTCCAAAAGCGCAAATAATGAATCAATTGAAATGGCTTCTTCTGTGGCTCGTAAGCCTTGGACTTCTCTTTCTTCTGCTTCTTGTCTTTGTCTCATGATACCTAACATTGTATCTGACTATACATGAATGTATCAGTACATACTGTTTAAAAAAAATAAAACTTACAGCTCTCATTTTTGTCACCGTAGGTGGGACTTTGACAGGACCCAAGTTTCTCAAATTCTCAAGTAGCTGTGGATCGCGGCTGTCTTGTTCAATAAACTCGTCTTTAATTTCTATAGATACGTATAAGACCTTATTCCCGAGATCGTGGTGCGTATTTTACCTGAAGCAGCGTTAATTGTAGAACCTAATGTAGAAGGAGACTCTTTTGGAATGTTTTGGAATGTTTCCGGACGCGCTTTAGTTGGTAATTTTCTGGCAACTTTTGACGTTTGTGCACCCATAATGTAATCTAAGAAAAAGAGTATAAATTCAATTAGATATTTCAATGTCTGGGGGTTTTTTAACTGTGAAGATTCATTCTCAGTTGACTACGCGCAGAATGCTTTTCTTGTGTGTAGGAATAGAAAGAATCGTGGCTTTAGACTTGCATCCGATGTGTATGTACTGTGAAATTTATGCATATACATATAAACACTGACTTTTTTCATGCAAATTTGGTTCAATCTCTTTTCAGTCATAAAATAAAGTATACCTTGGAACGGAGTGTTACCCGTTTCATCTTATCCAAATGTAGCATGTGGGGGCTCATTAATGGGGGGTGAGTAGTTTTCTTGACTGCTAACAAATGCAAAAAAGTAGCCACTGTTTCTAGTTTCTTTTTTTTTCTCGAAAATAATTTTACTCAGTGGCATAATAAAGCTTTTCTTGATACTTTAGGAGAAGAACACGCATTTGTATTATGCTGAAACAAGTACTATTATCGAGAGAGGGAACTTACCCGATTGACTCTGGCGAGGCATTTATGTTCTCGACACCTTTATTCATAGCTCCTACACTCTTGTTTTTGTTTGTCACACTAGTAGGGTTCATTCGTAACCGAAAAACCAAAGATGTAAACTGGCAAGATATTTCCGCCACACCTAATAGAAGGCTTTCGGCATTTTCAAAATCCATTATTGTATTGGCTTCCTTTGTCCCATTTTTCTTCTTGTTGGATGTTGCAGTGCTAGTGGCCCGTGTATTATTAGAGGAAAATGGACAACCCTCGATGATGCTTGCTTATTACATTGTTTTATCTTGGCTGGCTTGGGTAGTCAGTTTGGTTTGTCTTATGGATGAATCTCATAAATTTTCAAGATGGTATTGGCTGCAATACACTTTCTTTGCTTTGGCTTTTCTTGCTGAAACATCTGTAGGCTGGCTATGGTATATGGAAATAAAGCCAGGTAATATATACATGCATAAAAAAAGACTTGGTCCGTTAACTTTTCTTTTTTTTTGGATTGTCTAGAAGGCGTTGTGCTTACTATCTACGATAAATTGCTGTTGGCAGCTTTCCTTGTTCGCTATATAATAGTAGCCATCATTTTATGCCTGTCATTTATTCACATGATCTACAGCAACAACTCTATTCGTCATGATGAAACGTCTCCTTTATTGGACTCTCATCCTACTTATGGAGCAACTGTCTCAGAGGTTGTGGTTACCACAGCAAAAGAAAAAAGCAGTTTCCATGACTTTTGGTCCAAGTTTATCAAAGTGTTCCCTTACATTTGGCCTCATCATAACTTTAAGTTACAACAACTGGTCATTCTCTGCTTCTTACTGATGTGTTTGGGTCTTGCTATCAATGTCTTGACACCTTTGCAAATCGGTTATGTTGTTGACAGATTGAACAATGATCCTAAATCGTTTGCTTGGGCTGCCGTCTTGGCCTATGTTGGATTTAAGTTCTTGCAAGGCAGTTCTGGTCTCATTCAAGCATTACAAAACTATCTCTGGATCCCAGTGGGCCAATACACAACGCGTGAAATTTCTGTCAAGCTATTCGCCCACTTGCATAATTTATCTCTACATTACCACATCAACCGTAAGACAGGCGAAGTGCTTCGTACAGTCGACCGAGGTACCAATAGTGTTGTCCAATTGTTGTCACAGATTGTGTTCCAGATCTTCCCTGCCCTTGCTAATATTCTGGTCGCCGTCGTTGTGTTCTCTGTCAAGTTTTCATTGCCTTTTGGTTTGATTGTTTTTGTGACTATGGCCTTGTATCTCTATGTGACAATCACATTGACGGAATGGAGAACTGGATTTAGACGCAAGATGAACGAACTCGACAACTATGCTCGTTCAAAAGCCGTTGATTCTCTGTTGAATTTCGAGACAGTCAAGTACTACAATGCTGAACAGTTCGAAGTCAACCGCTACAATCATGCGATTGTAGACTACCAAAAAGCTGATTACATCAACTCAGTCTCACTCAATGTGCTCAACTTGGCACAAAATGCTGTGATCACAGGCGGCTTATTAGCAGGCTCTTTGTTATTTGCCTTCCAGGTCTCCAAAGGCAAATTAACACCGGGTGATTTTGTTTCCTTCAATGTGTACATGATGCAGCTCTATATTCCTTTACATTTCTTTGGTACTTATTATCGTATGATCCAACAAAACTTTGTGGACATGGAAAAGATGTTTGACTTATTTGAAGTTGAACAGACGGTCAAGGACGCTGAAGATGCAACTGAATTACAAGTGACGGAGGGTCATGTCAAATTCGACAAAGTCTCATTTTCTTATGATCACCGTCAGACAGCTTTGAACAATATTTCGTTTTCTATCCCCAGAGGAGCTACTGTTGCCTTAGTTGGTCCTTCAGGTGGTGGCAAATCTACCATCTTGCGTCTCTTGTTTAGATTCTATGATCCCAATGCAGGTCATATCTATATTGATAGTCAAGATATTGCTGGTGTCAAACAAGCCTCTTTGCGTAAGAACATTGGTGTTGTTCCTCAAGATACTGTCTTGTTTAACGATACCGTCATGTACAATATTCGATACGGTGATGTCAATGCCTCAGACGAAGATGTCTATCGTGCTGCTAAGGCTGCTCAGATCCATGACAAGATTCTTAGTTTTCCTGATGGTTATGATACTAAAGTAGGAGAACGCGGTCTTCGTCTAAGTGGAGGCGAGAAGCAACGTGTGGCTATTGCTAGAACGCTCTTGAAGGACCCAGCTATTATCTTGCTTGATGAAGCCACAAGTGCTCTTGATACCACGACAGAACGACATATTCAAGGCGCTTTATCTGCCATGACTAAAGATCGCACTACGCTTATCATTGCTCATAGACTTTCTACCATTGTTAGTGCTGATTTGATCTTGGTCATTAAAGACGGTCAGGTTGTTGAGTCTGGAAGTCATGATCAATTGATTCAGGGTGCTTTAGCAGGAGAAAACCAAGGTGCTTATTATGAGATGTGGCAAAAGCAACTAGACGACCACCATGATACTAGCCAAACTGCGAGTGAAACTGCTACTCCTAAACCTTTAGAAGTTGTTGAAGAACCAGAGTCTTTTATTGGAGAAAATGATCAGAAAAAGAAGGCACAAAAAGAAGAAGAAATCGTTCGAGAAGCTCAACAGATTCAGCAACAAGCAAAAGAGGCTGTTGAAGAATCTATTCAAGAACAAGTTGAAACCGAAGAGATTCAAGAGCAAGAAGAAGCTCAAGGAATTAGCACAGATACCAAGCAAGAATTGGAGCATGAATTAGCTAGTAGTAACAATAGTCCTCATACTTCTACAGCCAATAGCAGTGCAAACAACAGTGATTCTGAAGCTAAGAAAGAGATATCCATGACACCTGTCGATCAAATTAAGAACAACAGCAAAACCCGCCGTAATTCAAAGAACAAGAAGAAAAAGAAGAAGAATAGTAGAAAATAATTTCATATGCAGAAAATAAATGGATTGGCTTGTTGAGTTTTTTTTTTTTTTTTGTCTTTTCACTTGTACACTATCCTCTCATCTATTCTAGATCTCAACTTACTATTGTTTAGAAAAATGACGCGTATTGTAGTGCTAGTGTGTATTGTTTCTTGCTTTTTTTATTTTTTTGAAGTAGCTCAAGCTTTTAACTTGAAATCTATGTTATTTGGAGATAATGATAAAGACTCACAACAAGGACAGGCTACCACTGTGCCTTTCGGTACACCTATTGTACATAGTCAGTCACGCCGTTCTAGTAAGCCATAATTTGTCTATTAGTTCAAGTGTTGATGATTATAGATATACCTTGTGAGCATTACATTTGTGAAGAAACAAATGTATGTGTCGAGAAACCTTTGGATTGCCCTTGTCGCATTCAAACAGACAAAAAATGCTTTATTGGAGACTGGTATATATGTATAAGAGGGGACGAATCCTGCGATCAAGTACTATAGCAATAATAAAATAGAACGAAACATTCTGTATACAGCTAATCATCATGATATGATTGATAAATCAATTACTTATTTATTTAAACAAAGTTGTATCTTTTTCTCTTCTTCTTCTTTCTTTCTTCTTTTCATATGCCTTCTGAAATCACTTATAAAGACATCGTCTTGTATAAAACTGAACATTGTAGAAATTGGGATGAAAAGGGTTTCTGCAGGTAAATAAAATATATATATATATAAATTCATGCAAATAAAGAAATTGTTAGATATGGAAAAAGATGTCGTTATGCCCATGGTACAGAAGAATTACGTCCAATATTACGCTCAAATCAATACAAGACAAAGATTTGCCGTGCTTATCATGAAAATGGTACTTGCTCTTATGGAATTCGGTGTACTTTTATTCACCAAGTAGATGAGAATAAAAGTCAAAGTAGCAATGATGATACCAGCATAGCTAGTCAACAACAACCTACCGAACAATCATCTATCCATTATAGCGATTACAATACTACATCTCGCCGTAAACAAACACATGACACTACTCAAGACAGTGTCCTTTGTGGAGGAGATAAGGTTGCTGCTTGTAGTTATATTTCAAGCAATGTTTGGGATTCCATGATGGGCTTATCTTCGTATGATCCGTCAGAACAGCAAATTTATCATACTAACAAAAGACCTCTTTTTTAATTATTTATCTACTGTTTTTTATATATATATAAACTATTCCATGATTTATAACATACTGTTGTTGATACCATTATTTTATTATTATAATACTTTGCATGCTGTATTAGAAATCTCTTTTGCTACATGTTCCCTTAAGAACTCAATGATAGGAGATGTCTTTGGAAATTCAATACTATCATAGATAGCCATATTAGTCCTTTTTTCTTTTGATATGTGTATATATATATATATATATAACTACCTTTCATGATTTACATAAATTGTTTCTATTGGTAACAATAATCTCGAAGTACTAGTAACAAAGCACCCTTCCCATTTCCCTTGTTTAGCATCTTGCAATGTTGGGAATTCCCATTGAAAGGGTATATTGTGTTTCTTACATAGTTCAATCACTATTTTTAAAATAGATCCTAGCAAAATATGATCTAAAGAAGCACAATACACAGTCCCGTCTTTTACTGCCAAAAAGTTTGAAGCCATGCCTTCATAGAGTTGATCTGCATCATCCATCAAAATCACTTCATTTACATCTCTTGGTTTATTTTTCTCCAGGTCCTGTCGTTCACGCACCCATTGCGAATCCTTAACTTCAGGTGATTTCCTGGCTTTCCTTTCAATCTCTACTTTGACGCGAGTATGAGAGGGGAATGATTTTAAATGTGCAAAATGAGCAGCAAAGCAAGGTTGTTGTTTCTAATATAGAATCAGTGAATATTCCTCTCCCCCTTTATGATAGCTAAAATTTACCTTAAAAGAATAAGTCAGTACAATAGATACTTTGGCTTCATAAGGGTGTTCTGTATGTGTAGTTTCATCTATATGCTCGTAATAAGCTTCCAATCCATTTTTCAAAAGAGGCATTAATTTGTGTTCAAATTCGACAGAATCTTTAAAGGGTGCTAGTTCCCTTTCTGCTTTCTCTGTTGCCTGAACTGTATCTCCCTTGAATTGGATATGCGATATAGAATTTGTCATGCGTTGCATATGTGTCTTGAGCTCTACAATAGCATCTCTATTGACTGTACGCATACCTGTATAGGCACCTAAGAGCTTATACTTAATCATTCACATCTATGTTCAAGTGTACTTTACCACTAGGATAAGATAAAATAAAATCATTAAATGTTTTGTTTGAAGGTTGAATATCATATTTGACATTGGCCATGTCAGGTTCAGTCGGGTTCACTTGTTCTATAATCACTTGAGAAAAAAAAAGGATGTCAATACGCGTTATTAGAGCTACATGTGTTCCTTACGCGAAGTATATTTTGACATGCTTGAGAATTTACAACAAGTGTTTATCAAAGGACGATGAAAAGAACGGCGTAGTAAGAAAAGTGAAACTAGCATGAAAAAGACAAGGATGAGTCACGCTGCATTATCGGTACTTGTGCTGCAAGGAATTGATTGGCCCATTGTGAGCAAAGTATATATATATAAGGCAGTATTTTACTATGTTCAATAGGATAACCGCATAGAGAAAGAAGATCTCAATGCTTCGTTATACATGTATTTTTTATTCTTCCTAAATAGTTTCTAATTGACGCCAATTTTGTTTCTTTCTTTTTCTCTTTATAATTTTTTTAATGTCTAGACAATTTGGAAATAGAAGCAGTGTAAGGTGCATACGAAAACATACTTACAACATCACATTTTAACCAGACCAACAGAAGCTATCAAAACTTACATAATAGAAGCTCCCTTTTCGCTGGAGCACAAGATGGACGTATACCTTCATCATCATACCAAGATGAAATAAACGGATCACAGAAGTCAGTTAAAATCAACATGAACGACAAAGACTTGGACTATTTGGAAAGCCAAAACGATGACGAGATTTCTGGACTATCAGCCAAAGTCAATATATTGAAAAACGTAAAGTATAATAAGAGAAAAAAAAAGTAAACTAACATGGTTTAGATTACGGGTAAAATTGGAGAAGAGATTAGGTCTGGTAATTCATTAATTGATCAAATGGTAAGTTTTATTTTATCAAACTATTTTGTTAATATGACAGAATGATCAATTCTCAAATACTGGTTCAATACTGGGCAAAACAATGAATAACTTTAAGATAATGGCTTCTAAAGAGTCAGGCACAATGTGGTGTTGTTTGACTCTGTTTATTGTGTTTATTGTGTTTTTCTTTTACTATTGGTTTTTCAAATAATAATAAAAAGTATTTCCCACTCTCTTTTTTTTTCTTTTTTTTTTCTTCTTTATTTATAATGGATCAATACAAACTAGTAGAACATAATGACACTATTTATCAAATACCTATTAGAATGATTGATGGAGAAAGAGTAGTGTTGCTCAGTGATGCTCAGTCTATATTACCAAATGCCACCGCGTTTCTAACAAATTCAAAACTTGTTCCTTTTAAACTAGACTCTTTTAATCATAGAGAAGTCTTGCCAAAAAGAGTACTGATATCAGATACAGACCTGAATCATTCTACTCTTTGGCAAATACATGTTCCTCAAGATACGAGTCATTCTGCTATACAGTCAACCGTAGTCGAGATCCAGATCAAGCTAGATCAGTTGTCCGAGAAACTAGACAGAATACTTTCTGTTCGACATAGTGACACGCTTGATGAATCAAGTAGTGAAAGGACACATAATACCTCGGAAAGCTTAGAAGAAAGCAGCCATATAGGAGCAATACCTTTGCATAATCATCATGAAGACAATACAGCAGAGAATTTGGGTTCAGACGACAACGACGATGATGATGATAACAGCAGCCATTCAAGCAGTCCTCCTCCTGCTTTTTCTATACCATCTTCATCACAGCAACAGCAGCAGCAGCAACATGAAGCGCCGCCCTCTTATGAGACATCTGTCTTGAGTACCATTAAATCGCTGAATGATAAGTTACGCTTATATGAATCACATATCTCAAACAGACATAAATCACCTAAATGGATGGCTAAAAGACAAGAATGGATTTCTCGAGAACCGAGTAGTATTGAGCAGACTGCTTATCAATTAGTCCAGCTCGAAATGGCACTTTTGTGGACTGCAGTGACTGAATCTTGGATTCAAGAACGGGAAACATGGTTAACATTAGTAGCCAGTTCAAGATCAGAAAGACATTTAGCAGGTGCTATCATCAATTTAGAAAGACATACGTTAGTGATGGATCAAGAGTGGGCTGGTATTCGAGAAAGATGGATCAATGAATTACTGGAAATGGTCGTATTGCCCTTAAGTCACGGATAAATAAAAACACAATGTTTATTTCTTTTTGTTTGAGCAGTCTTTAGACCACATCTTGACCCAGTCAATAGCTAATGCTCGTCTGTTGCCTTTGCCCCATGTTGGTAGCCAGTTATTCTTGGCATCGTAGAATTGGTTGACGGCATGTGAATCATCGTTCTTCCATGGCTTACTTGCGTCGTCTGGCCAGTATCCATTTACACCTCCCACAGCTAAATTTAAGATCAAATAAAACTCTTGATCAAAAGGCGCAGAAATATCACCTGATTTCCATGGATTCATGGTAGGCGAAGAAAACTGGCCTCGCTCCCAAGCAGTTTTATCAAAGTCAACTTGAAGAAGCGTATTGCCATCCACATAAGTACGAATACCTTCTTCTGACCATTCTAGACCATAGGTATGGAAACCATCAGCCCAAGTATGAGGTAAGGATGACTTGAGCTGATCTGTTGTCAAGAGATATTTGTTCAAATAGAAATTAGGTCCCCAGTGAAGTGTTGAAGACACAATCGATGTATTTCCAAAAGGATAATCTTCATTTCCTCGAGATTCCATCTATAAACAGTCGTTATTTTCTTAAGAACAACTTGATTAGAGTTACTTACAATGTCAATCTCACCTATAAAGAGAAAGAAAGAAAGAAAAATTAGTACATCTCCTTGTTTGAATTACTTTACCACTTGCTGGCCATGCACCATAAGAATCATATTTGGGTAACATCCAAATAGCAGGCCTAAGAATCTTGATTAGTCTCTCATAAAGAAAAAAAATACATACCATAACCAATCGCCTTTAGGTAAACGAGCTCTCACTTCAACTTTACCATAGCGAAGTGTAACTGAATTGATTGTTCTAATTCTAGCGGATTGAATAGGATTGAGATAATTGCCGTTGGCAGCAGCCCCTGAAGATCTATCACATCCTATATATATATATTTAAGAATACCGCCTTGACTCTATATTTAATGTACCATAATTTGAGTTATCTAGATTTAAAGTTTAATTGATGAAATACATATTTGTTTGCATATGTACCTGTACAATCTGCTGCTGGTTGGCCTGAATATAAACTAATTCTTCCTCCATTCTTTACAGCATCTTCACCAATAGTACCAGAAGTTAAAGTAGGCTTCAAATACAAAATACCGTCTTCAACAAAACTGTTGGATCTATTATTGGTATAATGCTGAAACTCCCAATTGCCACCACCACTAAGTGTGATTTCATGCTAATATACATATTCAGATGAGTTATTTTTTTTTTCTGTTACTGCTATATGTTTTTATCTATACTTTACTTGCCACGTTTTAAGATCAAATGTATTAAACTGGTCTTCAAATGCTAAACAATAGTTTGATTCGCTCGATTGTTGAGCACTAAATCCATTCTCAGGACCTAGCGAAGATGCCTTGATTTTATCTGGTTGTCGGTATTCAAATCCAAACACAGCAGTAGGCAAGACAATTAAACATGCAATAGAAAGCAACATGATAGTAAAGAGAGGAAAAGAAAAGAATATGACATTTGCTTATATAAACAAAGTTTTTTTTTTTTTGTTTTCATTCCTTGATAAAATAGTTTCCGAAAAAGAAAAGGACATTCCCCTTGTTGGATCGAGAAATCAAAATTGAACATAAACAAAAAGTGAATTGAATGGTTGTCTGTTCGAAGCTTTTTTTTTCTTTATATAGCCTGCTATTTTATGATAGAACTAGTTTTATTTATTTCTAAGAATGAAGAATGTAGATACTTTCTCTTTTTTTTATCAATGCAGAAAGAATAGGAGAGAAGTAAAGAGATGGTAAAAGAAAAAAGCTGAATTAGGTAGAAATATGGTTTTTGTGGTATTAGTATTCAAGAGTGTAAAGATCATTGATATCTTGCATAAATTATTGACATAATGAATAAAAGTACTTAATTAACGTCGCATATACACTTTATTTGAAGAAAAATAAGCAAAGAAAATAACAAGTAAACAACATATAAGATAGTTATGTTGATGCTTACATCAGGCAATGAGAAAGAGCAGAGAATAGAAGTGAGAAAAAAGAGAAATAAATCAGCAAAAGGCATCACATAGATGCTAGGTCGAGGCATTGGAAAGCTGTGATTGAAGCAAAAGATGGCCATACCATATATTCGTTTTTTTTTTTTTATTATTTTTTTGTTTTGATAAGTAGCCTAAAGTTTTATTCTACAGGGTTTATAGTGATAACCTGTCATGCTTCAAGAGCTTACTTAAGGGTAGAAAGTATATAACTCTATTTATTTATTTATTCAAAAGAATCATCCAAAATTACCAAACATTTCTGACTCTATAACAATAAGCTCTTTGATCATTTTAGCCAATCCCAAAAAAAAAAAAAATACATTGCATAGCTAAAAAGGAAAGAAGAGTAGTTTTTGCTTTTTTGCATTAAACCTTTACAAGTTTCTTTTGTATATGGAAAACTACATTCTTTAGAAATACTCGTTTTAAATTTGATCGTCAGAAGGTATCAATCGATTATATGTACAGTTAAAGTTCTTCTTCAAGTAATTAAAACCTTGAAATGAATTTGACATGAACATAGTATCTTTCGATATGCAAAAAAAAGGGAGACTATTATGTAGATAAATATTTATTACTATTACTATTACTATTGCTGTTGTTGTTGCTCCCCCTCTTCAACAATGGGATATAAATCACCAAGGACATTGCGAGCCTCACAATCATTAGGATAAGCGTTGTCAAAGTAAACGGCTTTTCCTTCGTAGAGACCGAAGAGAGTTACAGTAACTGGGTCGTACTCAAAGGTACAAACACCACCAGAGCTCTTGGCTTGATCGAAGTTACCCTCAATGGAGTCTAAAAAGGTACAAGCAGCTTCGGGTATAGGGTGGTCTCCACCAGTAGGGTTACATTCCAGTCTAAAGAGTTGGCTAGTGTCTTTTTCTCCAACATTGATAGCAATTATAGTTGAGGGGATAGTAGGCTTGTCTTGTGCCATAACAAATGGAATCAGACAAGCTGCTGCAAGAGAGTAAAGAGTAGTTAATGAGACCATTCTTTGATATAAATCAAAAAAAAAAAGAAGACATTGAAATCTATCAAGGACTACACTGTGATATTTATAGTCCTGTTTTATTTTGCATTCTTTTCTTGAGGATACGCCTTAATATATTTATGTTTTGCCTACAAAGAGAAATGTATCTTTATTTTGTTTGCATGCGTACCACTCCTCAAAATGTATATGTTTTTTAATGAAAAGCTTTCAAACTGACAAATCACAGAGGTTTTAAGTAGCAGAAGGGTACCTATTTATGGAACCTATTTTTTTCTCTTTTTATCCATACGCACAAATTGAAATAGAAAGTTAAAGAGATGTTTGATCTTAACAACAGCTTGTCGGTAACTTTAACATTTCTTTCTATAGGCTTGGCTCTAATCATAATCTGTGATTGTTTAAGTAAAAAGTCTTTAAATAGGATGCATTAAGCTACGATTAAACATATGTATTTTAACTTTATCAAAAATTTTGCTATTCACAACCTAAAAGCTAAGACAAAAGTCTCAATGCCTAATCATTTGAATAGTTTACCTTATCATTTCATTTGGTATATAAAAAAAAAATGTTCAAGTCAAAAAAAGGAAATAAAGGATATCATGTGAAGATTGCTTTAAGCATTAGCACAACCCTTTAATCAAACAATAACATAACTGCATTTGTTTAATAGAATAAGAAATGAAACCATATTTATCAAAACGGATATACTGATAGTTATAAATACAAATTCTTATAGTCATCATAATAAGCATTTTTCAGCCACTACTTAGTAGGTTTTAACATCCTTACTTACCCTTTGCCCTCAAATTACAAAACAATATCTCTGCTTATAGGGAAAAAAAAGCAAAGGATGATGAAAAAAGAAACTCTCCGGCGGGGAATTGAACCCCGGTCTCCCGCGTGACAGGCGGGGATACTCACCACTATACTACCGAAGAGAGACATTTGTCGATCAAACGCGCGTTATTTCGACGTTTCTTTTATACTTTTTGCGCAGAAACTTTTTCCCTCGTTTGCACGTTCTTTTCCTCCAAAATTAGTAGCAAACCATCCATTTTACCTTCTTCCCGTTTTCCCGTCTTGTCTGACTCCAAAGAACAATCTCCCGCCTCTGGTTACACTGCATTAATTGCAGATTTAAGTTCAAGTCCTACGGTTACCGTTACAAGTTCCACTGCATCTAATTTACTACCTTCTGAATCGGTCCATTCGGTTACATCTTTTACTAAACGACCTTTTGTGCCTTCCCCTACTTCCTCATTAGGTACAATGTCTAAAAAAAGTGCTATTGTTCCCAAAGTAGTAACTACTGCTACTTTTGTACCTTACCAAGTGGATCCCAAGCTTCTGGAATCAGATCTACTAGATCTCGGAAGAGATCTCCGGCTCCTTCCCGATTGCCTGTTGCTTCTGCCTCTGAATTGGTCGCTACTGGTTCCAAGCCCTCGGTTCTGCTCCTTCAGTAGAGGAATTTGCTCCAGCCATTCCATCTACTGTTGCTACTTTGCCTTTGCTTCCTCCTGCTGGAATGAGTCTGCCTGATTGGGCATTGAATTTCCAATCGCAACTTCGGTTGTGTGAGGAAAAGCTCAGTGTTCATGACGGTCGTCTTGAAGAAGTGGAGCGACTAGCTGCTGAGAATGCTCGCTTACAAAGTGAGTTGACAGCTACCAAAGAGGCCTTGCACACCTCACAAGACTTGGTAGCTCAGCTTCAACAGGAGTTGGTCTCTCTTCGCTCTGGTGGTGTCTCTGTTGGTGGTGTTTCTTCTGGTGGTGTTTCTTCTGGTGGTGTCTCTGTTGGTGGTGTTTCTTCTGGTGGTGTCTCTTCTGGTACTGGTGATGACGGTGCTATGGAATGGGCTGATGATATTGCTGAAGTTAGTTCGTCCACTCTTCTAGATGACGAACTTACCTTCCCTGCTTTGAAAAATGGAACCAGTGCTTCCAAATATGCTTCTCTCCCTCCTGTGCTTGCTCTTTCTCAGCCTGAAAAAGCAAAGTCTGCCCCCTCTTTTGCTACGGTGGCTAAAAAAGCCAAGGCAAAACGTACAAAAGCCCCTCTCCCCCGTCAAGTGGCTGCTGCCTCTAGACAATTCACTGCTCTGCCTGAGAATTATACTCAAGGGTATCAGTATGTGTACTTGCCTAGTCGTCATAAGGATAGCCTTAGAAACCTACGCGCCAAATTAGCTATTCTCAAAGTTAATAACTGGCGTGTACTTGATGTCCACTTTCCTGCTGCTCGCGTCGTTGCACTTTTGGTACACAACGACTACGTTTCTGAACTTTGCTCTGTTTTTGCTAAAGCTGGTGTCAAGCCTATTGATGACTTTGACCCACTTGACGCAAAACACCTGAATGACCCCCGTGTTGCTACGTTGTCTGCTGTTGAGGCTGGTCAAAAAGCCCAACAAGTTCATCAAGGCCGTCTTTTGCGTGCTTTGAAGTATATTCGCTCGCCTGCATGTAATGCAGTAGCTGCTGACTTTTGTGCACGTAACTGGCTCAGTGGCGAGCAGCTGCGCGAGTTTAGAAAAACTGGTTCTTTCTCTGTGGTCTCTTTCTCTGGTGCTCCTGGTGGTTCTGGTGTTGCTGGTGGTTCTGGTGGCTCTGGTGTTGCTGGTGGTTCTGGTGTTGCTGGTGCTGGTGGTGTTGCTGGTGAAAAGGAAAAAGAAGATCTTGAGATGAGCGAAGCTGAATCTCAAGCTCAAACTCCCCATGTTTCTACTCCTACTGATGGTGGTGAATCAGTTAGTGCTCAGTAATGAGTACTAACGAAATTACCATTACGATCTGGAATGCAAACTGTCTAGATCGTTTCACCATCAATACAGTTACCCAGTCCTTTCCTTCTTCTTCCTTGATTTTTATTACCGAAACATGGCTTCTCTCTCCTTTACGTCTCCCTACTTCATGGCAGCAATATCATACTTATGGCTTGCCAGTTCCTAATATGCGTCGTGGTCAAATGGGTATTACTCTCCTTGTTAATCCTGACTTTCCTTACCCTGTAACTCATTTGCCATCCTCCTCTCCCTATGTTCTTTCATGTCAAGTCGCTTCTACTCTCATTCATTGTCTATACCTTCCTCCTTCTGCCTCTCTTTCCGACTCTTATGCCCTCTCTATCTTGCGTGATCTACCTGTACACCGTTTGCCTGGTCAAACAAATACAATTTACTGCGGTGATTCAACGCTCGTCATGCCCGACTACTTGGCGATACAAAGTCAACAGTTCGTGGCACTATGCTCTATGAATGGATGGTCGATTCTGGCCTTCATTGCTGGAATTCTGTCTTTGCTTTTGGTGTACCTACACATACAAAACAAAGACGACAACAAATCTTTTCTGCTGGTGGTTCTGGTGGTTCTGGTGTTGCTGGTGTTCTGGTGTTGCTGGTGTTGCTGGTGTTGCTGGTGTTGCTGGTGTTGCTGGTGTTGCTGGTGTTGCTGGTGTTGCTGGTGTTGCTGGTGTTGCTGGTGTTGCTGGTGTTCCTGGTGTTCCTGGGTTGTTGGTGTTGATGATGATGCTGTTACTATTGATAGTAATGACATTGTTGTTGATGCTGATAGTGATGCTGATACGGACGATGGCTCCCCTCTCTCCGCCAATGATAATACTGTCTCTTATATTTCATATGTATCAGGCAGTATTATTGATTTGTTTATAAGTGCTGCTGATCTTCGTGATCCATTTCTGACCGTCCACATGATATCAGTATCAACTCTGATCATCATCCTGTCTCGCTTTCTTTTTCCGCTCCTTGTCCTCCTCCATCTCGTACTAGTCATCCTCGTCTTCTTTGGAATCTATCCAGACTAGATGAGCCAGACTGTACATATTCGACTTTGTTTGCTGAGAAGGTTGCTCCACTAAAAGAGACACTGATGAGTGCACTGACTGCCACTCTTGTCCAGACCTTGATGCTATCAGTGATTCACTTACCAATGCAATACATTCCTCTCTTTCCGAATCAGTCGGTCAGCGCAAGCCTCGCTCTCCTGGCAATACCTGGTTTGGACTGATGAATTGCAAGTGGCTTTTGAACTGCGTGAGTCCATGCATAACCGCTGGCTACGTGCACCTGATCCGGTTGAACGCTGCATCCGATGGGCTGAATACCTCAAGTCTAAAGAGGCCTTTCAAAAAGCAATGCGTCGACGTCGTCGATTAACATGGAAGCAATTCTGTGGAAAATTGACAAGTCAGCCATTGTCTGAAACAAGTGGCACGATCAAGAAAATCCTCAGAAGTCGAACCACTTCGGCTTCTTTTTCACACCCTGATGGTTCCACTGCTGCTGCTACTGCGATGGCTCGTCACCTGAAAAGTACCTTTGCTGGTGACTCTCTTCCTGCCAATCGGCAACCAAACCCTCCTGCTCCTGTTGGGCCTCACTCGCTGGACGATTGTCCTTTCAATGAGGATAGTCTGGACTTCTTCTTGACCAAGCGTTTGGCTAGGCGTAAGGCACCTGGTGTTGATCACCTGCGTGCTGAGATGCTGATACCGATTCGTTCGTCTCTTGTTCCAGTGTTACTGTTGTTGTTCAAGCTCTGTTGGCGCTGGTCTTGTACCCCTTCTTCTTGGCGTGTGGCACAGGTGGTGCCAATCTATAAGAAAGGTGATGCGTTAGATGCTGCAAACTATCGGCCCATTAGTCTTACCTCTGTTCTACGTAAGCTTTTGGAAAGATGTTTGTATGATACGCTCGTTGAAACTGCTCCTGCTCTTGACATTGTACAAGGTGGTTTTCGTGAAGGTCGCGGTGCTCCTGATCAAGCATTATGCTTGCACGATCTTTGTCAACAGCATCGTCTTGACTATGGTTCTTCTCCTGTCTTGGCCTTTCTTGACATCAAGTCGGCGTATGATACGGTTGATCGTGGTATCATCTGGCGTGCGTTGGAGACTCATGTCTCTGATGCTATGCTAGGTATACTGCAAAACTTGTTTGATGAGGTGTCTGTTTGTGTCTTGGTGTCTGGTGTTTGCTCTTCTGGTTTCTGGCCTGGTACTGGTGTTCTACAAGGTTCAATCCTTAGTCCTTTCTTGTACTCTGTGTACATTAACTCGCTGCCTGCTCTACTGCGTGAGTCATTTAGTGCTCGTGTGGTGGACTCTCCCCCTCGACGCTACAATGGTCTTTGGTTGAATTCACTCTTGTATGCTGATGACGTTGTGGTGATAGGTTCACCTGAAGCCATGTCTCATTTGCTTGCAAGAGCTGAAGCTCATTCTTTTTCTCTTGGATATCGTTGGAATCCGCAGAAATGCGTGGTTATCAACACGGATGATATCCCTCTCTCTTCTCCTCTTTCCTTGTATGGTCAGGCCATTCCTACTGCTTCTTCTTTTGCGTATCTTGGCTTACCATTCAATGCCTCAGGATCTCTCGACTTGGACTTGCTGTTGGCTCGTAATACACAATCTGCTCTTGCTGGTATGCGTAGTCTGCAGTCACTAGGCTTGCACTCTGCTGGTTTCTCTCGGTTGCTCTCTGCTCGTCTTTATGCTGCGTTTATTCGCCCTAAATTCGAGTATGGCCTGGCTATCTCTTGGTTTCTAAAACGGCACCTCAAGTTGCTGGATAAGGCCCAAGATCAATGTCTTCGTCTTGCTTTTGGTGGTCATCGTACCTCGTCTACTATGGTGTTTCGCCATATGTGTAGCCTGCCGTCTATGACAGAAAGGGTGCACATATTGGTGTTCAAGATGCTTTGGCGTCTGCACCATCAGGTGCCTGATGACTCTCTTGTTCGCCTGCTGCTTCCCTCTTTGGTGTCATCTCGACATAGGTTGGCCAAATTGGCTGATCAGAATCCAATTTGGGACTCTTCTTTTGGTGTGTCTGCTGGTGGTGTTGGTGTTGCTTCTGGTGCTTCTGGTGCGTCTGGTACTTCTGGTACTTCTGGTGCTTCTGGTGCTTCTGGTGCTTCTGGTGTGGTAACTCTCGGTGCTGGTGGTGTGGCTGTTACGGTGGGTGGTGATGGTGTTGCTTCTGCTGGTGGTGATGTTGATGATGATAATTGTGCCTTGAGCAAGAGTGATTTGCCTAAATTAATCAAAAGGTTTCGTCAGGAAATGCTCAACAGAATCCTCTTTCCTGTACCTCCTCTCTCTGCTCCTGTTCTTCTCTCTGCATGCCGACCTTTGATCATGCTAGACCCTATCATGTATCTGCCAATGACGAATTTTGACAGAAGTCGAATTCTTCGTTGGCGTATGGGTTGGTTGCCTGCTCGTCCTGTTGCTTGTCGCTGTGGTGCTCCGCACGCTAGTCGTGCTCACCTTCTTCTCTGTCTGGACGCTGTTGGTAAACTTCGGTTTCCTGGTGATCCTCGTCCTCCTCCTCCTGGTGCTACTGCTGCTACTGCTGCTACTGCTGCTACTGCTGCTGATACTAGGTATAGTCCTAATCCCTTGGACTACTGGTTAAATCGCCTGCCTCGCGATACACCGCCTGGTACCAATGCACGTCGACGGGCTGCTGCCTACTGGTCTGTTCGTTGGCCTGCTATTTTGTCTCTGCTGTTGCAGATTGATCAGATCTGTAACCCTGATGCTGACTTTGTTGGGGACTCTCTTGTCACCTCTGGTTCTGCTTTGTTGGACTGGTTGGCGCCGCCACCTTCTGACACTACTGCTGTTGTGTCCTCGGCTAATCAGCTGCTTAATGATCATGCTGCTACAGTACAGTATGCCTAGTTCTCTCTTTGTGCTGTTGTACGCGTTATATACTATCTGTAGGCTACCGCATAACAAAAAAACAAAAAAAAAACAAAAAAAAACAAAAAAAACAAAAAAAACAAAAAAAACAAAAAAAAAAAATACAAAAATTATATATTTATTATGCCGCAATCACTTTTGATCTGTCATAATTATCTGATTCATCAACACCGCCTGTTCTGCTTCGCTGTTACTTCCTGCTGCTCCTCTCTCCTATTTTCTGCTCGCCCCTCCCTTTGACCACCATAATTCTTGATTTTATCTGTTTTCTTTTTCTTTAATGTACCTTTTGTGATGAGTAATTTGCCCTACAGGGACGCCACTCCTAAATCACTTTTTTTAATAAAAACCTTTAAACTATACTATACCAGCGGAGACATTTGTGTGAAGTTGGCAATTGAGTGTCGAAGTTTGATTTCAAAAATATTTTTGGATGACGTTGCAACTACTTTGATTGGATCGTTGTTTGAAAACAATTTCTACTGCCAAAATATAATCACTCAAAATCGCTTGAAGCAACCCATACTATTTCTAAAAATGGAAGGCAACCTGAACACCAAAGAAGTTTCACAAATATTTACATTTAAGCGAAAAAGGTCACCTCACAATCGCAAATCTTCTCAAATCAATCATTTTGATCAATTCAATTTTTATCGAGTGATATTCTAAATGACAAAATCATACGAAAAAGAAATATTGAAAACATATAAATATCGATATATTTTTAAAATAAAGAAAAAGAGAGAGAATCTTATCATTATCAAAAAATCTATTTGACATTTCCTCAAGTAAGAAGAAGTATTCTGGTATATCTTAGTCTGAAGATCGAATCTGTCTGTCTGTACTTGAAAGGAAGGAAAGAAGTTAAAAAGAAACTATTGTTTGGAAGTTGGAGAACATTTGGCTTAACTGTCTCATATAACTGGTTGCTCTTTGGTAGAACACACTTGGTAGTTATCTGGAGAAGAATTTGAAGCATTGGTTAACATGTCTATACTTTAGTTATATTTTAATTCTTGTATCTGTCATCTATATTTTTTATTATTATTATCATTTGTTGTACTGGATTTGTAAGTGAGAATCCTTTAATGAAATCATGACCGTTTACATTCTGTAAATAGGCCCCCTTTTGTTGATCCGCGTTTGATTTGATAACACCAAAACCACAATAAAGAACACCCTCAACTAGGACTGAATACTCAACATTATACCGTGACAAAATTTGGTGCGGCTAAAGTGGAAAAGAAATCATATTGCTCGGTATTCTGAAAAACATTATACAGCTTATTCAATTCTATACAACATATACATCACGTTTTAACAAACTACATATCAATCAACATCATGTCAAATACTACTGAGAAAGGCAAATCTCGTGCAGATGATATCAACACAAATGTATCACCCTATTTGATGAAATTTATGAGCAATCCTACTGATTTCTCAGGTGATATCCGTCGAACTAATCCTATGACTTGGATTAAGAAGATGGAAAGAATCAAGAATTTTGGACGTCTTGATGATGAAAACATGCTTATCATTGCTGTTGACCATTTGGTTGATCAAGCAAGTTGTTGGTTCAACGTTACTCACCCTGATCCTGAAAAGTTAACTTGGAATGAATTCAAGACCTCATTTATGGCCAAATACTGTAGTGGTCGTATGGAAGTTTGGTGGGAAGAAATCAATTCCATGAAGCAAAAGCCGGACGAAACTGTTGAAGACATCGAAATCAGAATGCGTGAACTTTATCAATTGGTCGGCGTCAAGGATGAAGCTATGATTAAGAGAACGTTTCTTAAGGCGATCAAACCTGAAATTGCTCTGGAAGTCGAAAGAAATGGCATTGAAGAAGAAACAAGTCTAAAAGAAGTTATCAAAAAGGCCATCAAGTTTGAAAGATTCTTGAAGAAATACCAGAACAAGGGGCTCGTCGCTATTCCCAAAAAGATGTCAAGCAATGCCAGTGAAGTTAGCTACAATCCTTATGCTCAAGTTGATAATTATGAACAAATGACAAATCAATCTACCTACTCTGATCCTATGAGTGAATTGATTCGTGAATTTAGGGAAATGAAAGTTAGCTTACTCAAGGCTACTAACTCTGCAATCTCTGGCACAAACAACTACAACAAGCTCACTAATAACAATAATGGCAAAAAACCATGGGCGTGCTTTTATTGCAAAGAAGAAGGTCATCGTAAAGCTGATTGCCCTAAATTCAAGAAGGATACTCAAGAAGGCAAGGTCCAAGAATCGGGAAAAGACAGAGCACGTCAGTAAAAACTGAGGGTTCTGACGTGCATTCCCAAATAAATCCCTCTGACTCTGCCCACGTACATTACATTGACTCCATTCCTCAAATGCCTGTATTGAGTGCCACACAGAAAAAAAGAAGAATTGGTCCTGAAGGTGTAGAGAACCAAGCCGAAATCATTGCAAATTCTGTTCCTACACAAGCTTCATCTTCCAATACTACTTTTGTCCACAAATTACCTCAAGCAATTCCGATTCCTGCAAATGTTAATTACAGCCAAGGTCCTCAGACAATTCATCCAAATGGACCAACACAAAATGTTCAAAACCCAGGTTTTCAGGGACAACAAACCGTTGTGCCAGTACCTCAAGTACAACCACCAGTAGTTCAAGCTTCTCAGACCATTCAAACCAAAGGTAAAGGAAAGATCCAAAGAAAGAGAAAGCCTGCTCGTTATGTCAAGTTGCAAAAGACTGCAAGAAAAATATTGGCAGCCTTGGGCGAAACTAATGCTGGACTTTCTGTGCTTGATTGGATGATGCTCGATCGCGAAGCTCAAAGTGATGTTATAGCTGCATTACGTAGCATGAGAGCCACCAAAAAGAAGAAATCCGCCTTGAATTTGATATCTGAACCTGGAACTGCTACAACTCCTATGGAAATCCATAATACCAAAGGTGCAATGAACTGGAGTACCCTAGGTGAAGATGGAAGTGATAACGAAAAGGGCCAAGACCTATCAAAGAAAGAAAAAGAATGGGACACAAATTCCAGTGACTTTGATTCTGACCTTAGTTCTGATTGGGACACCTCTGATGAAGATGACACTGATATAGAAAGCACTGTAACCAGTACTTTACCGTATGATTTTAATATAAATCATGTCAGAACAAGTGCTCCTCTTCGCGCTCCAGTGCTCATCAATGGTCAACTCGTTGAATGTATCTTTGATACAGGGGCTGGTGTTAGTGTCATAAGTGAAGGTCTAGCTGCTAGGTTGAATATCAAACCCACACATAGTGATGAAATGGTTTTAGTCTCTTTTGACGACAAGAAGCATCGTGTACCTGCAAGAGTAAGCGCAAATGTACCCATCAATGTCGCTGGCCACATCCGAAGTGAACATTTCTGGATACAACCACAAAACAGTGCAAAAACCTCTGACTTCTGCATAATTGGTACAACTTGGTTCAAACAGTATAAAGTAACAATCAGGATGCATGACAATACTATTTGCATTCCAGTTGGTGATGGTCGTATTGTTGAATTACAAGGAACCTCTGATCGTGACTTCTTACGAACAAACAATGATGTAGCTGAGGTCTATGCTGTTACTGTCTCTGGCAACTTAGATATGGAGAATGTCAATCATGTAAATGGCACGGTTGAAGTTAAGAGCTATGCACAAGACATCATTGATGAAGATGTCGAAATCCAACAATTGTTAACTTTTGAACACATCTCTGATCCTGAAATAAAGAACATTTTGATCCAGTATGAAAGCGTTTTTGTTGAAGTGAGTGGGCCTGGTTTGGTGAACTTTCTCGAACATGAAATCCCTTTGAATGAGGAAAACCCCACTCCTATCCGTTCGAAACCATTCCGTTTAACGTGGAACGAAGAAGACACACTCAAGCAAGAGATTAAGAAGATGGTAGATCTGAATTTGATTAGACCGTCCAAAGGCTTGTGGTGCAGTCCGTGTTTCTTTGTAAAAAAGAACAATGGTAAATTGCGATTGGTAATTGATTACAGAAAGCTAAACAAGATGACAATCAAATCTGGGTACGCTTTACCAATTATCGATCATCTGTTAGATCACCTCGGAGGAAACAAGTATTTTTCAGTCATCGATTGCGCAAGTGGCTTTTGGCAAGTTCCTCTGAAGGAAGAATGCAAGGAATATACTGGTTTTGTAACATTGCATGGATGCTATGAGTTTAACGTAATGCCCTTTGGTCTTACATCTGCTAGCAGTACATTCCAAAAAATGATGCAAATACTACTTTCACCCTACATTGGTCATTTCGTTTTTGTATTTATCGACGACGTGATAATATTCTCAAAAACCATTGAAGAACACCGTGAACATTGCAAGTTGGTCCTGGAGAAATGTCAAGAGAATAATCTTCGATTGAATTTGACAAAGAGTCATTTCCTCAAATCGAAAGTAGAGTACTTAGGACATGAGATATCTGCGGAAGGAATCTATCCTCACTCTCGTAACATGGACAAGATTTTGCAATTTTCAACACCCAAGAACGTTGATGAAGTTCGATCATTTCTAGGCACTACTGGTTATTACAGGCG